ATTTACTGTAGTGTAGTCTACTTGTACCAAGTAATACTGCCAACAGACCAAAACTGTGGGAGGAGAAGCATCTTAAAATATTTAAAAGATATTTCTATTTATAGACAGATAATACAAACAAACTTTTGTCAAAAAAATATGAAAATAACAATCTAAGTTATGTTTTAATGAGTAAAATGAAGAATTTTCACCGCGTAGTTTTTAATTTTTTAGTCAACATTTCACAAAAATGGGTTTGAAGTGAAAATATGTGTATAGAATAATAAGACTGATTTCAAGAGGGTAGAATTTTGAACATCAAAGAAGGTTTACAGTTTCTTATCATTCTTGAGATTTATTATTTGCATCATTTGCAATAAAATCAAATCAAAAATTATATACCAATCCAGGCATACAATTTTTTGTTTGTATCATTTGACTTAGAGAAAATATGGTAACACTGTTCATTGAAATTATCAACCGATATGCAGAATTTTTTCAAAGCGTATTAGTGCCATTTTGACACTTTTAAAATTTGTAAATTGTACACATTAAAGTATAAATTTTACGCGTTAATCTGAAAAAAAAAACATGTACTGTAATCTGTTATAACCAAACGCTCGTTCCATGATGTTATATCTAACAATCGTTTGATTGCAGAACTGTTACAAAAAAAATACTTTTCTTTGAAACAATTTTTAAATGCTTCTCCTTCTACAGTCTTTGTCTGATTTCAAAATTAGTTGGCGCACAAACAGATTACAGTAAGATGCATAACTTATGGAAGCGTATTTCTGTTACTAGGACATTTTTTAAATTTTTTTTTCATTTTCAACACTTTGTTCTGTAAGATTTACACTTTTATCTGTAATATTTACACTTTGATCTGTTTTACACATTAAATTGTGAATTTTACACTTTAATTTGTAAAAATTTAACACTTTAATCTGTAAAAAGTTTCACACATTGATCTATACAATTTACATATTTATCTGTAAAATTTACACGTTCTGTTTGATTCAAAAAATCAAATTGGCAGCTCATACATATATCATACATATTTTTAAAGGCTGAGATTTTTTACAGGGTAGTAAATTCCAGGTGAGGGAGGGGTTTTTAAAGGTATGAACGCCTTAGGGGCTTGCAGCCTACCAGCTGTAGCCATGTAATTTCTTTATAATAATTTTACTTTTTTAAATTTTCCGGGAAAAAGAATATTTTCACCGACCTACCGAATGAGTCGAAAGAGGACAATCAAGCATTAATTTTATGCATATGGAGTTTATATATCTCAGTTGATTCGACATGCAAGAGCATGTTCTACGTATGGACAATTTCTAATCGAGGTAAATTATTAACAAGAAGTTGATGAAATAAGGATTTCAACAGCCTCGTTGAAAGACATCGTAAGTTCTATGGTCGATACAAAACCTTTTCAGCAATAACAGTTAATCATTGATTCAAATGCTGACTGACGTTTTTCATACCAATTGTTACATGTAGTACATTATTTATAAATACTGAATTGACGACGGAATTTTTCCGTTATTTCCCGATCATGTCAAGAAGCACACAGCGGGTGTGACCGGTCGGCAGGGGATGTTCAATTTCCCCACGGAACCTGATCCTACCTCTGATGTATATACGAGGGTTGTCCAATAAGTTCGTGGACAATGACGTTTTTGTCAAAATAATTTATTCAATTATCGGTTCTATATGCATCTATTGTATATCAAAATATTTCTTATGAAAAACCAATTCAGAATGGTTTAATTTTTATTTAGGAAACTTAATACTTTTGTCAAAATCGGGGTCTTTAAAGATCGCAGATTGTGCGCACGGACCAGTCTGACGTTAAGCTAATTTCATTATAACGTTAAACATTTTGATTTTGACTTAACACATGTTCATGGACACACACTTCATTTCTTTTTTTAAGGGGCAACGCATTTTCAAGTGCTAGCAATAATCTTTAAGTATAGGTTATAATTTATTTCATTTTTAAAATTCAAAACAATGCACAAAAAGTTACGAGTGTTATCTATATTAATAGATTGTATACACAAATTGCACAGCCCAGTCCGACGCTGCGCTAGATTTATAACAACGTCATGAATAGAAATCTCCATTTTCAGTAAACTATATGCGTTTTTAAATTCTTGTAGTGTCTTCAAATTTGTACACACAGTTGAAAAACCGTATATACCAATCTGAAATTGATACACTAAATGTATTTCAATAATTTTCAGTTGGTTTAACAAATATTTTGTCTCTTACGTCGTTTCAACCGTATTAAAACTAATTTTTTGATCGGACGCTTCCCCGTGCGGACGGTTGACGTCGCTTTTTTGTCGAGTTTTGACACATATTTGTTAGGGTTTTTATTTAGTATTTCTACTGTCTATACAGTGAGCGATACTCAAGATACCAGAAAATGATTATAACCTCTTTATTTGTGTTTCATAAAAATTTAATTAATTTTTGACTTGTCTTATATAGAAAATAATCATTTTAATCCGAGCACTTTACATCAGAGTTTATGTCATTTTAACCTTGGTCCGTGCGACCTTTAAATACCCCAATTTTTACAAAAATATTAGGTTCCATCAATAAAAATTAAATCATTCTGATTTGTTTTTTCATAAGAAATATTTTGATATAGAAAAGATTTATATAGAACCATTTATTTTCACAAAAACGTCATTGTCCACGAACTTTTTGGACAACTCTCGTACATGTGTCAAAATCTATCACTGTAAAACTACACTTCATGGTAAAGATAAAGTTACAATATATTTTCATAACCTACTTATTAGATAATGTATTAATGAAGCCCTGAATTGATCATTATTCTAAAAAGTAAGCCAGCATATCATAAAACAAAAACATTATACTAATATGTCAAGCAATTGTACTTAAATAAGTTTTCGGAACCAATAGACAAATATTCCCGTACACGACAAAACAATCCTGTTAATAAGTATAACTCATTACCGAAGAAAAACTTCAAAAAGAAATCTGTATTTTCATGGTTAAAGACAATGCAAAACCCACCCGTCAGAAAGAAAAAAAAATGATTCAGAACACAATCACGCATAGAAGTCAATTTTGTGTCCTGTTCAAAGGTTATGTTTAAACAAATGTTTCAGATTGGTGGATTAAATCACAAAAATGTCATTAAAATATAATTCACGAAAAACTGTTGAAAATAAAAATTTGAAATTTTGATTGTATATTGTTTCAACGAATTTTCATTTTGATATTTTTCATCACATCTAAACGTATGATCTTTGTCATCTTCTTTATCAAATTTTTTAAACAGTCATTTTTACAAAATAAACGATTTACATTTTTATTCATTTGTTATTTTCCAAAAAATATAATGTTATTTGGGTAAAAAAAGACTATTAATCGTTTACATAATGGATGGCAATAAAACAACGAAGGCATTTTTAAATGTTTAGAAAATATCTTTTCCTCTTTTACATCAGTTTTGTCATTTTACATTAAATGATAAAAAATGGAATGAGTTTACAGCAACATTGTATATATACTCAATTTTTGGTAAATCAAAGCATATAAAAAGTTTTCCTTATACATGTATATGGCTCATAAACTTTCTCATTATATAGTTTCTATTTTTCTTCAATGAAAAAAAAAAATGTAAACAGACAAATTTTACTGTCTACATTTATTCCAATTACAAACAAATCTAAAATATTAAGATTTACATATATTCAATAAATTACATAATTATAAATGTAAGAAAAATATTTGTCACGGATATCAAATTTTTTATCACAGATATTTTTAAAAATAAACTTTGTAATTGTAACTTTAATTAATAAAAGAAAAAAAACAAAATAACAAAAAATATTGTAAATGAAAAATTACATCAACTTTACAAAATCAATATAATTAAGAGTGTTTGTGTTTGGTGGCCTTTACAAATTTCTAAAGACATTTTTAATAGTTATTCAAAACTTTTCATAAGTTTTATAAATGACAAATTAAATGTTGAGTTAAAAACATGTATATATACTTTGTTCAGTTACTTTATGTAATGTTTAAAAGTCATTCCTTTACATGTAAGTTGGCTCATCATTTTTTCATTATATAGTTTCTCAATAAAAAAATTTAAAAAAAAACATTTATTGTGCCCTAAAAATGAATGAAAAAAGTTTTACTGTTAATGATTTAAATTCCTTACAGAGTAAATCAGGAAAAATTAAGGTTTAATTCTGCATATATTCAATAAATTACTATAATTATAAAAAGCCTAAAAAAAATGGCACATTTGGAAGGATATTTTCCTTAGAAAACAGATGTTTTTAAAACTGCAATGTAAGTTGTAACATTGATAATAAAAAAAAAGAAAATTCAAAATCACAATCTCAAATATAATTGTGGGAGGTTAACTATATCAACTTTACACATCAATATAAGTAAAGAAAATTTGTGTTTAGGTCCTTAATTGGTTTTCTGCAACTTTAAAGAAAATACAAAATGAACATGATATCATAATTAACATTTAACAAACAATGATGAGAAAAAATTGTATGATTTAAACATTCATTTCTTTCAAAAAGTAATGTTTAAAAGTAGATAATATAAGTATCATTTTTTAGAGAATAATTTGAAAATAATACAAAACATATTAATATTTATCTGCATTATGTGTTCAATATATACATGTATATATGTATTTTACACAGCTAGTATTGTCATTTACTAAATATTTTGCTATATAAATGAATGTATAGATAATTTGATATGACATATTTTTCTCTACGAGTTTTTTTTCCCTTGGTCACCATTTTGGTGATCAACCTTATATCCAGTATATCCAGTTATTTTCGCATGTTGGAAATTTTGCGGAAAAGGGGTAGATTTATTGATTTATTTTTTTTGCCTAAGTTATTTTTTTAAGATTGAAGATTTATTTTCTTAAAATGGTAATGTTTTTTTTTTCTTTTACATTATAGCTGATATAATTTCTGCGTGTTTTTATATTTTGCGAATTGAAATTGGTTGCAGAAAAAGCGAAAAATAGATCATCGCAAAAAAAAAAAAACGGATATACTGTAATTTTTCCTCTTTTCTTACCAAATCTAAGATGTTGTAGCAGGAATATTTGGAGGAAAATCTTTATGAAATGAAATTATTAAATAAAGGGGGCTCAAACTAATGTATCTTTTAAAGAAAAAGCTTTCTTTCACACACTTGCCGCTATAAAAAGTTTAAATATGTTGAATAATGAAGGTATATGAGCATATCGACCTTCTATATGGCGGCCAACGGGAAATAACTGTGTTTAATGTTGGGCCTACTGAAAACTATCTATTGTACTTTGTTGCGGTAAAAAAAAAATCAGATCACAGACACAGTAGTTTCTAGATGTATATTCACAGGCTTGTTTAGAAGGGGCCCGGGGATGGGGGGCGGTTTCCTGGATCCGCCACAGAATTATAATTGCATATAAAGAGAATACCTACATCATGTGACCATTTATAATGAGGAAGACACTTTCTGAGTTTTCAGTTCACTAAGAAAAATAAATATTTTGAGCTATGATATTGCACCAAAAATCGCATATTAACTAAGAAAAATTCGAACATTCTGTCCTAAACTTTAGACTTCAGGATGTTCATAAAAATACGAATATCAAGATCTAGTCATAAAATAACCTGGACATTATAGAAATAGCTCATCGTCTCAAACCACGGTCCGTAGTCCATGCAGATAGTGGATTGGTAGAGGATCGTGATTTTATGGTTTCCGTCCGACCATGAGAAATAGCTATGTGTTTCTATTTTCTCCACTTTTCCTATAGTATTTCTTGATTGTTGGAAAAATTGACAAAATCTTATGACGGAGATGAAATTGAGAACAGTCAGGACGGAGATGAAATTGAGAACAATCAGGACAGTTCTTTACAGCACAAGATGAAATGTCTCTCTATATTATGGAAGGGCTTACATTTCATACTGCTTGAAATGACAATAGGAAATCTACCATTACTTGCATGTTACAATCCTGTATATATATAAAACTAATCAAGAAGAATCAAAGTAATCGTATTAAATTCTTGATACTATACACTGTGCATAAAACAATAAATAAATAAAGTTTGACTCAAGTTGAATGAATGATATTATCACAGTATCGAAATAGTCTGTTATAATGTTTGGAAATCTTTCAAAAATCACAGACAAATGACTTCATAAATGAATTATATTACGTCACATAATTCAATTTAGAGGCGAGTCTTTTAGTGAGATCGTACTTGCTTCCGTTTGAACTCTTCATCCTTAATCCGAACTTGCTCTGCAAGATCTGGTCGGCCATTTTTCATGAAAGCATTGGTCAAAACAGTCACCTGTTAGAATTTGAAATGCATAAAACATGCATATCTAATAGTAATTTATGGCTTTAGCAAAGTAATTAAATCAGTGCTACATGTAATTGTCCACAAGTTGAAAAACACAAAATTACATAAAATTATATGACTTTGTATAATATTTTCTCAATCTTGTTGTTTAAAAAGCTGACTTCTACAGATATGTACACATTTCTTGTTATTGAAAAGTATTACAGAAACACATAGTTACAACGAATGTCATCATAAAATTGTTTCTATATGTAACAATGTAATTTGCTACTGCCTAAAGAAAGCATTGTAAGCAATAAATCGCAATATCCGTTTTCATTTCCTCTTGCTGTACTATTAGAAATTTACCTTATCTATAGACTTTGGCATTTTCTTTAACCACGTCATCAACATCTGAAAGCGGGCATCCTCATCTGTCGCGTCTGTGATTTGGGCGTTTCTTATAATAGCTTGGATCCGTGCCTTACTGATGTTTAAGGTCGAGGCAACCTTTCGCCATTCGTCGCCCATTTCTGCCGCTAGTTGTCGCATCAGGTTCTCATTAACTGCATCCGAGTCGTTCCGAATGACAACAGGTGCCTGCACTGGGACAGGTGAAGGTTCTACGTGATACTGAAGGTAAAATGAAAAGGGGTTGCGAATGGTTATCAAATCTTATAGAGGGATTGTTCAAGTATATCTTAAAACCAAAATTGGGTTGATTTATTTTATTATGTTTTGAAATAGAAGAATTTATATAAAATGAAAATATTTTAACTACCTTAGGTATGGTTATGGGGATTTCACATAACAGAGTCTTTCTTTTTTCCTTTCGCACACAGAACGAATTTTCATCCATAATGGACTCCTTGCGAGCTATTGTCTTTTTGTCCGGGGTCACAAACTGAATTTTATAAGCTTCTATCACTCCCCGAAAAACGTTAAAATTCCTCTGTAAATACTGGTCAACTTCAGAGAGCAGGAACTCGGAGAAAGAAACCACATTCGAATTGTAAATTATATTTGGAGATTTGGAGCCATTTTGAATATTGCCCCGGAAGTTGATTTCGATTAAGTCCCCTTCGGACACGGCCAATAGTGGACTTGGTTCCGGTCCATCTTCATATCCGTCTTCTGCCAGCTGTTTTACGATTTTTTGAACTCGACTGGCGGGGACTATCGTGAGTCGTGTGTCAAATGGGTTATCAGACCTGAAATTAAATCAAATATTGATTGATAACGACGATTGTCTGTTCTCCTTTATATTCTATATAAAAAAAAGGTGGTTGGAAGATAGATAAGTGGAAAAATTCGAAATTTAAAAATTGGTTTTTAAGTGCCGCATCGCAATTGATAGTTCAAATGTATGGTAAAAATCATAAAGTCATTGGTGCTGTTTGTTAGGAATACAGTAGTGACATTAATTATTCGTAGATAGGCTGCTTGCATCACATTGAAGTAATTTATCTTAAAATTTGAATTCGCTATTAAAAATACAAAATTTATAATGTGGTTCTAATTTATTTAATAATGTAATGAAGTTGTTTACCTTTGTTTGACAACAACTTGCACAAACCGCTTTTGGAGGAGGTCAAAGATCGCAGTGGACATAATTGGAAGTAAATCTTCATCCGTATTTGTCCGCACTCGCAAAACCATAAACCTGTTGAATCAAATAAAATGCTTTGAAAATTTTCTCTTTTCTTTCATCGGAATTTCAGAAATTTTGGCACTTGTTTATTCATATTTCAACATACTGATCTAAAGGTTTGTCTAGAGAGAACTGCAGCAAATCCAACTTCACTTGCGCAATTTCCACTTCCGGTACGACAAACCATTTTCCTGTTCCGGTTCTCGCTAGGAGACAGAGTTGGTCATGTTCGTCGTCTAAAAATAGAGTTAGTTTTATGAGTAATTTAGTTATGATATGAAGTATTGCATTTAAGGCCATCGATGTGGTGTAATTTCAACACAGTCCTTCGAGAGCCTTTAAATGCATTCAATCATAAATATCAGATTGTTTTATTTAACTGAACTTTGAACTTTCAACTTATATCATTTTCGTGACCTATTTTTCCAGAAACTTACCATCGTTGTGGGCATAGTCTCCCATGTACCATTTCGTTGGTTTAGGTTTTTCCTCTTCCGGTGGCGCATTGATTTCCGCCAATTGTTCCTGCAGAGTTTTCTTTTTGGGTTTCGCTTTCTTTTGTTTCCCTTGATTTTCCTCCTTTTCTCGAATGTCCAAAGGAACCGGAATATTTTTCTGAGGATTTTTCATTTTTTCCTCTTTTATTTTTCTCATTTGGGCGATTTTTCGGGCCTTTGCCGGATTTGGTGGACAAGGTATCGTTATCTGTTAAGAAAAAGCATTGAAAATGTTTATTTTTTTCAATTATAAGTTCACTCAAGATATAAATAAAAATTTTGTTTGATTTCCTAACGCAATAAAATTGACCGATGGAAGCAATTTAAAAGGACCTATTTTTAACAATTAGAAAAAAATCAGAAGACATTAAATATTTCTCTGGGCCTATGTCTTTTTAAAGTTCCATCCGAGTTTTCAATGACAGAATGGATGTCTGGGGACCAAAATTAACAATAACGAGAAAAACGGGTGTGACATTGAATAGAACCCCCCCCCCCCTTTCCTGGCTTGTCTAGGAAAGTCCTGTGCAACGTTGATTCGTGATGATTTAAACCCCCTAGGAGTTCCAATTGCAAAAACAACAACAAAAACTCTATAATACTACTTTAAGAAGAGAAAAAAACGATTAACGAGATCCCCCCCCCCCTCAAAGTTGGCCTCTAAAGGTTAAATAATCGAGAACCAATTGATCACTACTTACAACAATGGGTTTGTGGAATTCGTTGGATTCCCACTGCATCTGTATAATAGGACTAGAGGCCAGCAGATGTTTACAGCTGGCGTTCCTCGTCTGAAGGTCGTGAACAGTACCAGAATCCACCGGCTGTACCTTTAAAAGTTATTGATGTAAATTAGAATTATGCGATGTTGGACTCCTAAATTCATAAATACCCCCACACCCCACCCTCCTACACTGTAAAAAATGATGTTTAACTTGTGTTTAATTTTTAAACAGTCGTGTTTTACAATTAAACATTGTAGGTTTAAATACAAAACACTAGCGTTTTATATATAAACACTGACATTTAATCTGGTGTTCAATAAGTAGGGTGTTTAATCATCCGTCTTAAACACGTAATATTCATATGCATCAAATCAAAAAATAAATTAAGTGTTGGTTCTTAGTATTTGCTGTATGAATTTGTCATTTTTACAATGTCTTAATTTACGAAGTAATTCCGCACATAATATTAGATATTTATCGACACAAAAAAAATACGAATAGCAAATGGACAATGTGTTGACTTTAGATCATACCAAACGCATTCACAATTAACATTAATTGGTAGTAATTTTGTGCCAAAATTTCAAAATTTTCAGAAACTGTTAAAGAGGAAATAAAAACAAATATTATGATATTTTCTATAACTGTATCGATATTTTAATCACCGGTGTTTAACACGAGTGTTCATTTCTTAATCATATATATTTATAAATTAAACACATGGTATTTATATTGAAATTGCAAATTAAACACCAGTGTTTAATACGTTTGATAGAAAATGACGCAGTTGATTATGTCATAACATGCCATTTGAACGCAGAAGATGCAAATCACGCACATACTGACAAGAAACACCATATCTTTATATTTGTACATTTCTTTACGTAAAATCTTTTAAAAAAGAATGTAGAATACATTAGAGATCTAAAATGCTTTTCATTTATGAAATGCAGGATTGTTTCCTATAGTTAGTAATCGTCTGAGTGCAATCCGGCCATGCGCAGAGGTAGACAAATAAATGCTTATGTAGTCTTGATATCTAATTTTAAAATTTGCAGGGACATTCATCTGTTACTGTGAATCCTGAGAACAAAAATCATACTTAACCGTTGAGTCTTAAAAGAAAAAGCCCCCCCCCCCCCCACACACACACACCATTGGTTCCTGTTAAATGAAAATAATCCAATTAGGTACCTGCCCTTGCTAATATTTATGCTCCTTAACATGCAACAGTACCACACTCGCACATGTACTAGCTGCAGATCTGTAGCGGTATGGTTTTTATGTATTTGCCTTTGACCATAACTAATACATAAAACTATCGCTACAGTCTGCAGTCGCATCTGCCAACAAAAATTTCATCTCCAGCCCGTGCACAGACATGTATTCTTTAAGGAAAATTTCAACTTTTTTTGAGGGAGTGTGATACATGATAGAAAATGCCTTGGGACAAAAATTTTTGCTGTTGGGTTGCTCCTACAGGTACGTGAACATTTATTTTCTTTATAGTGTACAGACTGTACATGTACGCTTATACATGTATGATTTACAGGTATTTGAATTGCAGATTTTTATTCCAAACTTGTTTCTCAGTATGTATAATATAATTAAAATTGGCGTGAACAATAACATTTATTTTTTCATCGATCTTTATGTATTCTTTTACAGATAATTAACTGAATTTCCATAGTGAATATTTTTTCAATCTTTCAGGATATGAAGGATTAGAACTACTTAGGGTGAATACAATTTTGGAGAATGGAAATCTGGAGATCATCATTCGTTGTAGAAGAACCTGAATTTTACCCACAACCAGAGGAGCTAGACTGTTTAACTCGGTTAGAATATGATATATGGATATTGAGTGAGTGATACACCGGCATCTCTTGTTTAGTAGCAAGAATTGGTCCTTTAGAATTCAAAACTGGAAAAATTTCTTTATTTGGTTAAAACTCTGAATATTTGTGAAAGTATAAACTTGTAACATTTACAACTAGATTTATTAGTGTAATACAAGTACATATTATACATGCTGTACCCAGACAACAAATATTATTTTCAGTTTTTTGTATCATATTTATTCATCATTTTGCTTGTTTTATTTATTTAAAAAGATGTAAAGGATGATCTGGCCTTTTTTAAAAAAAATGTTTTAAATTTTACTGATGAAAAACATTTCATTTTATTAAGCGACAATGTTTTTTTCCTTCATTTTTCAAAGACCCAATCCCCACCCCGCTCTCCCGACACCAATTTATTGGAGTTTAGTTTAAAGATGCAGGTTTTACATGTTCATGCTAGTTTATTTTGAGAATTCTATTTTTTCAACTAAAATTGAATAATGTATCCATGTGTTGGTAAATACATTATTTAATGTTTCAGTTGTTTATAAAGTTTAAACCCTCAATCAACATTAAATCAATTATTAATTTAAAAAAAAGCTTTATGTACAACATATTCATTATCATCCACAGTGTGTTTTGTACTGATTTATATTTGTTTCAAATAAAAATGTTGAAAACTTATAAACACGTTTAAGTATTTATTTATTTTGTAAAATAAACACGTTGAAGTGTTTATAAATTGACCTTTAAACATGTTTAAGTGATTATTATCTGTTGCATCGAATAAACATGTTTAAGTGTTTAAATGTTTAGGTTGAAAACGTTTATTTATTAAACATGAAATGTTTAAATTTTAAACACTCATGGTGTTTATATAGTAAACACTAAGTGTTTATTCAGTGTTTAATCTTTAAACATTTTGTGTTTTTGAAGTGTTGAATATTAAACCTCATGTGTTTAGAATTTAAACATTCTAACGTGTTTATTTCTTAAACACTTCTTGAGGTGTTTAAATTCTAAACATGTTGAAGTGTTTATTATCTGTTGCAATATGGTGTTTATTTATAAAACACTTATTTTTTACAGTGTAACCACCCCACCCAACCCGTACCCCCAAAAAACAATAATTTTGACTGTGGTATCAGTAAAAAAAATATAACTATAAAATGCTGAAATGTGTTTTTGATACATACACCATAGAAATAAAGATATAATTGAAAGAAAAAAAATATTATGAAAATATGTAACAAACAATGATATTTCTTTAATTTGTTTCGGGAGTGGGGGGATTATCAATAATTTCATTTATTTATATATTTATTTTTTGTAATTAAATTTTAAAAACCATTTTGTCAAAATCTCACAGTTTTTTAAAAATACATTATAAGAATGAATGTTTGTGTCCCATTACTTGAAGTAAGATGTGTTCCTTTTTAGAGAAGGTTTCCCTGGCAACGGTGACTGTGATTCGATGATCGCAGGATGACGTCAGTTTAGACGATCGTCTTGAGAATGTGACGTAATCTCTTCTAAGTCGCGTCATCACAGCCATCGTCAAAAATTCTTTGATTTCAACTTGTACAAATTTCAGATCCTTGAAAAAAATCGTTGCATTGACAATTTTTTAGTTCTAAATCATTGGGTAGATAAGCAGCAAATACAAGATTTATAATAACATATAGATTGTACATTTTGAAATAACACTTGTGCAAAAGTATCAAACGCAAAGAACCTACATCATGACAACCCTGTTCCAGAAATGACATTAAGTCATTTTCTTTAGAAAGGGTTATTCCTCTTTGGCAACCATTTTCTTTATGAAAAAGACTTTTAAAAAGTCACTAAAATCAATTTTAAGCTGAGAACCTCATTTGAATTTCTCTTTGTCTCAGATTTTTTTTTCTTAATAATTAACTTGATAATTTTTACACAAAATTCCTGAGGCATCTATGATTAGGCACGTTGAAACAGTAATATCCAAGTCTTAGAATCAAAGTACTGTAATAATAGCGCATGAGCGTAGAGAATCCTCACAATACTGCATTAATTTCCTATTTTAAATGATATTTTAAATATTTTTTCATCACACGCTATTCCATAATCTCTTACAATACCATACCTTGTGGTTATCATACGTCACTTCCGTGCTCGGGATTTCTTTCCATTCTCCGTTTACTTCCGCTTTCACAAACGCCTCTCTGGAATGGACGTTTGCGCGGGAAAGTGTAAAAGGGATCGCCACGAACAAAGAACTCTGGAAATGAATTAATAATTTTATTTAAGAAAAAACCAAACTGTATTCAAAGAGTGAGATTTAAAGTAACCAACAACAAAATAACTTCATAAGTTTAATGAGTCTCTTAGGCTACATCAATTCATTTTCTTGGTCATCGGGCATCTGATGAAATCAAGTACATTGTACGAGCAGGCGAGCAATCAAATAATAGTATCATTTCTTTTTATAGGCAAAATATTTTGGCATATCATGAAACAAATTGAGCGAAAAAATACGTTTTCCACTTTTTTTCTGAACTGAAGAGTAGGTAGATTTAAAATACGAAAAAGAGAGCGGTAATATAATTAAATTAGCACAGAATTTTCCTGGTGCGGAAGCTTGATATTTGTATAATTTTGATAAAATATAAGCGCACAGGTCTGATATCGATGAGTCAAAAATTAAATTTTTATGGCCTAGTTTGCACTGTACGGACAAACTTTCCATGTTCTATCATATTGTTTTAATCTTATACATGTAAATTAAATATATCGAATACTTGTAAAATATATTTTCTTAAATAATTCGATTGGCTCGATATTACTTTAATGCAACAAGAGGTTTAACAAGTTGTCTTATTTTAACACACAAAAGCTCATGATTTTTGTAAAATATCCCCTTTATATGATATATTACGCAATTCTGGAGTAGAAACTCCAAGGTAGCCCTAATGTCATTTTAACAACGCAAATATACTACCATGATCAAGAGCCCGACTTGAAACACGACAATCTTAATCTCCCCATTTTAAGCAGTGGGGGACATAAACAAAAGAGCCTCAAGAGGGGTCATAAACTATCCTCAAGTAGGTTGTTTAAGCGACGAGAAACTCGTGTTCCGTTTTTATCCGTGGCTCTCTATTTAGGCTTTTTTAATAGTATACCTTTGTCGGTAAGTCAATTTTGTGCTAGGGATTTATTCAAAAAAGAAATACGTGCTTTATGACATACGTGATTTAAATTTTTTATGAGTTATTCATCGATAAATATTGATCAGAAAATATTTATTCTGTGGCAATAAATTGACATTTATATGTTTGTTCAGTGTGAAGCAGGATAAAATATTTGGATAGCATTTTGAATGTAGAAATAAGTTAACTCCAGTAATCGTTATATTTTATTAAAAAAAAAATTTGCGCTTGGAACACTGTCCTCCTTTAAAAAATCAATGGGCCGTCATCATTATTATTTACTTTATTTCAAAATAACGAATAACCTAAATTGACGGTGCATGTAGATATCTCGCCGTCTTCAAAAATTTGCTAAATGAAGGGTAACTTCTTACCTACTAAATATATTTGTTGTTAATTAACGTATTTCGGTAATAACAAGATTGGCTAATTAAGGCACGTAGCAATAGGGGTGCCCCCCCCCCCCATTAGGAAGTTGATATTAGGAAAATGTAGTAAATTGTTAGTGAAAGAAGTTGGTATTGAATAAAGTTGGCCTCTACCCCCCCCCCCCCCTAAATATTTCTTTTTTTTTGCATGTCAACTTCAAGTAAGTCAAAAACATTCTCTGGCTGCCCCCCCTCCCCCCTTTCCAAAACGATTCTACGTGGCTGTAATTAATGAGAAAAAACTTTATACTCCAACTTTATATTTCAGGAAGTTGATATTAGGGAAATGTAGTAAATTTTACTGAAAGAAGTTGGTATTGAATATAGTTGGCCTCTATCCCCACCCCACCCCCCGAAATATTTCTTTTTTTGTTTGTCAACTTCAAGTAAGTCAAAAAAAAAGTTTCTCTGGCTGCCCCCCCCCCCTCCCCCCCTTTCCAAAACGATGCTACGTGGCTGTAATTAATGAGAAAAAAACAAGGATGGTATTAATACTATTCAAAAGAGATGATTGAATCTTGTCGGTCAGATAATGATCGCATGAAACAAAAAAAAGTATAATTCCATCCTCATTTCGATTTATTAGAATACGTTGTCCCAAAATTATTGCAAGGACAACCATGGCGCCCCGAAGTATCAAAATATTAACCTGTAGTTTTGTCTGTTCAGAGGTGGGAACCAGTTGAATGATACTGCCCACCAGTTCTTCCTGAGGCCCGTATGTAAGGTGGATCTCTAATTGGTCAACTTCTTTACAGGTGACTGACGATTGGTCGAAACTGTTTGGCTTTCCACGGATGATACACGCCAATCCCCCATCCCCTGGAAGCTGCATTCTGAAAACGAATATGCAAATTTTTAATTCTCTTTCATTTATGATTTACACATTTTTTTAGAGTACTGTTACCTCCATAGTCATTTAAAAAATACATGTTCTTAGAATTAAAAGATTATAATGCCAAATAATATTTTGTATAAGAATAAGCAGTTTATTCAAATTATGTTGAATGCAAGGGGAAAAAAGTAAAAGTGTATGTCGAAGTGGGTTGGCTGTCTCAGCTACTTTTTTGTTGTTGTGTTTATCTTGTTTACATCGAATGCACGGATATCTGGAAAATTTAACTTGGTTCATTTGAGTTCGAGATAATAAAAATTAACTGCAAAATACAAATGTATTTGATATCTACGGTACCCGTCTTCTACACTTTTCTTACTCATGCGCAGGCCAAGTTTCCCAAACAGCTGACTTTTCGATTCCGGCATTCTCTCGCTTTTTCCATTCTGCCTCTTTCGCTCTCTTTTCTTCTTCCTGTCTTCGAGCTTCCTCTTCCCTTTGCCTTCGCAACTCCTCCATCTTTTTCGCTTCCTCTCTTTTTCGTCTTTCCTCTAGTTGCGCACGCAACTCTACCTCTTCCTCTATTCGTTTTGCCTCTTCCTTTGCCCTCTCTGCTGCGATTTGGGCCCTCACTGCTGTGCTCTCGGTTTCAGCTGATAGCCGCAAAGCTTCTGAAAGATCTGAATTTGCTTTGGCGATTTCTGCGTTTAGTTTTGCAAGTTTCTCCGTCAATTCTCTCTCTTCTACGCTTTGAAGATCGTCATCTGTAAAATTAAAAAAAAAAGTTACATGAATGCGTTGAAAGATAGTTTCCTTTACCTCGTTTACAAGGACAAAAATGTTTAATTATTAATTTAAAAGGGGAAAAGTTTAAATATTTATTACTCCTTTACACAAATTGAATACAATCATATACAACAGCAATAAATGTACTAAGTTCATTTTTTCAGTTTTTAGAGAGTTTTCTAGTTTGTCATTGCCGAAACAATAATCTTTGTAAAAATCAATATCGCCTTCCGCAAAAAAGAATTACGATGTACATACATGCATAAAGTGCGTTAGCAACATTTTTTTTATAATGCACTTTTAGAAATTAAAATAAAAAAAAAGAAAAAAATACTCCTAAAACAGAATGCATTAGATACGTAATAGATTGAAGTGCAATTTGATAAAATGTTTCAAATACAATGTAAGTGATAAAATAATTCACTACTTACAATTTAAGATATTTTAATCAATTTTCGTAAACTACGCCACATAAACAACGTTCGACATTTCACACAAATGTAAATTAAATATCCAATATAGTAATCGGGTTGGAAGTCAAACAAATATTTGATGCCTAGTTGTTGACCGACATGTAAGAGTAACTATCACTAGGCTTAACGATAATGGATGTTGAACAAGCGAAGTGAATTATGATTTAAGATCTTCGAGAAAACACTTCAAACATTCTGAATTTACGGCCGTGCTTTTAAAAGCCCATATCTGAATGCGAATTCTTGCTCTAATGGCAAAATTTATGAAGTTAACATCACAAGTAATATTTCATTTGTGAAGGGTGATCTTAAATGAAACACGTAATATTTTGATTTTAAATCTCTGGGTTTTTAAAGTTAACTGTGGCGTGTTTCACATAAAATCACATAAAAGGTTTGTTTCCTTTTTGAAGAGAAAAATAAAAGCTTTTTTTGGAACATAAAACTAAACAAGGAATAAACAAATAATTGCCCCTCTTAGCACTTTAGATATGACATTTATACAAAGTCACGTCCTCTGATATAAATATAATTGACCCACTAAAAGGACAAATAGATTCAATTTATTCTAAAGTGGAATTTAATTCATTCAAAGATGAAATCTTGTTTAAGTAAGCATTCAAAGATATCTATATACAGATATATACCACCAAATCCTGAATCTTGGGCTGAAATTATATAAAGACATTCTCTCTTTTGTAACATTAAAATTCTTAACAAATCCATTTAGGCTTCCTCTCCATGATTATCAATATTGATCCGCGCCATGATTATAACATAGATCCGCGCCCCTAAGTTTACTATGGTTTCGTTGAGATCTCTATCAATATTGACACCCCTATCATTACAAACTAGGGACCTTTAATATCTCCCCCATTGTTTGTCTTGGACTTATGAAGAAGAAAATAAACAAATGAGAGGTACCTCAGGTATTTCTCAGGTGAATTTTGACGTCATCATTTAGGGAAAATCAAAGTAAATGTTTGTAATGATCGCTGGTTAGTCGATTATAAACTATTATGCAAAGTCTTTAAAAGGGGATCCGTAGTGACTAACACTTTCCTTTAACAACTGAACTATGAATAAAGTAAATTTATTTATTTCAATTCTTCATAGATGAAGTTGAGTTCAATTTTAACGTCATGTCATTTGAAGTAAACAACAGGTGAATTTAATAACGTTTTACATGATATACAGTGAAATGTGTCTAATTGGGGTATTGTGTATTCCGAAATTTTATCCTATACGAATTGAAATTTTAAGTCCCTTCTCTTGAAATAATTATCCTGATATTGATAGGGATATTTTCCCCCTTTAGTGGATCAAATTTTTAGCCATAAATACCTTAAAGTATATCACGAAGTGTGCATGGGCGGATCTAATGGATAGTCGGGGATCATGTCCCCATCACACCCAAGACCCCCAAGACTTTTTTTGGGAAAAATTTTTGACTTATACTGAGTATTCATATAGTACAAATTGAAGATAAAATAAGAGAGGGGGGTTATAAATATAATATTAAATTATCTGACAAAACAGATATATACAGGTACAGTAAAACTATCGTACACGTTCCCTTACACAAATAAAACAAAACAAACAAAAACTTTATGTAACCCAATCGCTATTTAAAATCCGTGTAAACACGATCTTAAGTGTAGTGTTCATCTCCAAAAACGCGATCATTTATCATTTCTGATACGCGAGGAAATTAATCCGCGATTTGAGATCCACAGAAGACTTTCCCGACCTTGTTTTATCGTCAGCTTAGCGAGGCGAAGGGACTTGTAACCCAGCAGTATTATCTGTGGAGTAGGGGTGAAGAAATGGACGCCTCTCAAGAGAGGGCTTCTAAGAGATTTTCGAGGAGTTTGAACAGAAGTGGGGATGACAATGACAGAAATGTATATTACTGACGTATACTGGAATATGAAAGTAATTTAACTACTTGTTTCAAGTTTTACTTTACCCGACTTATCTTGTATATATACTATCTTTATTTCTGATTATTCATCGCCCTACACTTTTCTCTTCTCTCATGCATCCATCTCCCCACCACCCTTTTTCCAAAGTGAACGCCAATCCAAAAAAAAAGTGTGATCCACTTACTCCTGTCGTTAATACCGGTATCTTAAGAATTTAAGATGAGTTATTGCAAATATTAGCCCTTATACATGTGAAATTCAATGTCATGTTCCTAGTTTAAGATAGCGTATACTATTTATAATAAGCAAAAGTAGTAATATACACTTGAGTAATAAGCATTAATTTTGCAGTTTTAATTTTGTTTAAAGGTCTTTTTTTTTATATATCTCCGCAAATATTTGATCATCCGTATATTTTGATAAAATACTGATGAGTTGCCGAAATCTCAAACTTATCTTATATGAGCTAAATATATTAAAAATGTTAATTAAAAATCAGAAAAAAAACGCCTCACTCTGTCTTTAAATGAAATCGATTCATAAAAATAAATTAAACTCGAGATGAGTTGGATTTTCACGTTTGTTTACAAGTTATTTTAATTTTGCTTGCATTTCCCCCCAATACATATACTCATAGATTAAAATAAAAATCATATTGAAATCGTTAAATAACAAAAGTTTGCCAGCTAGTATATGTCAGATTTCTGTCAATATTTGTTGAACAATGAAGATAGTATAGACCGATGGAATTCATACATTCAATTAAGAGTATTCTACCCCATGTATGTTCTACATAAGGGTTTAAAGTACCCAGATGTTTGTTTAGGGAAGTCGGTCAACATTTGCACTGTAAATATTCGGGCTAATAGAAAAGTTGTCCACCTTGAACCAGAGCACAAAAATACCAACCCCCCAAAACACGTAAACAAAGTAGGGCGTGTTGACAGGATTGGCCAAAACAAATAAATCGATAGTTTTCCCCCTCCTTCGTTTAAATGACATCGTTCACCATTTTTGGGGTAGTGACCTATATTTCGTAATAATGCTCTTTTGAACTACTTTTAAATTTAGGCTTTTTGAAAAAAAAAATGTGTCTGATTATATTAGATTCCTGATCATGAGTATGTTTTAGTCCTGTTGCGGAACAAGTTTAATTCGCAAATGGTTAGTTACAGAAATATACATATTTCGAATCACTAGTATATACGAAAATAATTTAAAGTTTTTTTTTGTTTGAGAAATATCTTTAAAAAATTCCAAAAAGTCCGTTGAAATATAAAGAAATGGAAGCATTGAAAGAAGGATATGGAGATTACGAACAGTATTCAATATCAAAGTCCACAAAACAATACAAAAAAGGAGCAGAGCAAACACATACCTCCGAAACATCAGAGGTGGAATCAGTTGATATGGAGGAGTGAGCATCCCCCTGCTGACTGATCATACCCGCCGTGTGTTCCTTGTCATGATCGGGAAATAACGGAAAAATCTGTCGTCAATTCAGTGTATAAATAATGGACTAACAACTAGTATGAAAAACGTAGGTGAGCACCTGAAAAGAACCACTCAGAAGCAATCCATGTCGGATCTTGTGCCCTAAATGAGTTAGCATCCTTTGTCGACCAGTCATATCCGCCTTGTACATGTATTCAACTGCACGATTTTGCAAACGTTAAAAAACCTGTCTAGACAATTCATTGTGTAAATAAAAATCTGTATGATAACCTCCGTCAGAATTTTATTTTACATGTATTTTCTGACGAGCCTTTCTTTTTTAGATGGGGACATTGTATTGACCAAGGAATAGGCGGAATGTTAACTTTAAACAGGATTTTTAGATATCTTTGTTTCTTCAACTTGTTTGTCAATAGCTTTCCACTTTCAGACGAAAATCAACTTATCTCGGGTGATTTTGTAAGCTACATAACATATCTCAATTATGTTATTTTGTAAGTTCAAAGTCAACAGTAATTTGTATACATACCGATGTTTGTAAGTTTGTGTTTTTTTTTTTACCTGTTCTTATTTCAAATGCCTTTTGGGACACACTGAACTGGATGTTTTCTTTGACTTGCTTCATTTTCATTCGCAACCCCTCTAACTGCTGTTGACTGTTCTGTGTTTGCTGTTTGAATTCCTCGATTGTGTTCGATATTTGCGAGACCACGCCCATTAGATCCTCCACTGGATAATTTGAGTCCACATTTCGATAACGGTCAGAATCAAATATTTCCGTGAATTCCAATATGTTGTCATTAAACGAACGAATATTAAATCCCTCCTCCTCCTTCGACTTTTCAGCCCATCTATCCTGATCATCTTTTTCCGAAACACTCGGTTCATCATTCGCAGATTCGGATTTTTCGTCTTTTTCGTTTCGTCGAAATTGTTTTCCGATTCTGCTTTTTCGTCTTCCGTCTTAAGTCCATTCGGAACTTCTTCCGTTGTGACATTTTCAGGTGTTTCCTGGGACTCTTCTGGCGTTTTGTTAACCGACTGAACGGTAGCAATAGATTCCTCTTCTTTGTCTTTCGCAATCACAGTAGTTCGGCTTTTAGAGGAGGAAGATGGCCGCTTCGTCGTTTTAGTTGACCCATGACCTCCCCCGTGGTCATGGCGACCGTGTCCACCATGAGCCACCTGTCTCCGTTCGACTGGCATGCCTAAAAATTATCTGAAAACAAACCATAAAAAATTATAATGTATGTAAGAATATTGATTCTTCATTATGTAACAAAAACATTTTTTGTCCGCCGCTTGAAAAGTGGGGGATATTAATTTGGGTTTGTCCGTCCGTCTTTCTGTCTGTCTGTAACGCTTTCGTTTCCACACGATATCTCGAGAACCCTTTGAGCTTTTGCAATGAAATTTAGCATAGCAACTTCCTATGGACTAAAGAAGACCCCTATTGATTTTGAGGTCAAAAGGTCAAAGGTCAAGGTCACAAATAACCAAATTCTGTCTGTTATAACACTTTCGTTTCCACACGATATCTCGAGAACCCTTTGGGCTTTTGCAATGATATTTTACATAACAACTCCCTGTGGTCTAAGGAAGACCCCTATTGATTTTGAGGTCAAAAGGTCAAAGTTCAAGGTCGTAAATTTATACATTCTGTTTGTATGAAACACTACCATTTTCGGGCGATATTTCAAGAAGATTTTGAGCTCTTGCTATGTAATATTATACCAAAACTTCCTAGGACCTCTCTCACTCCTCTCAAAGTGCCCCGCCCCGTTTGTTTTATTAGTATTTATTGTGTTACATGTCGCTATTTTTAGCACAGGGACATGAGGAGAATTATTACGTATAAAACAGGTTCTCGGTGGACTTTATACATGTATTCTTATTACATCTATTAGAACTGTTTAATAAAGGTTAAATTAGACACTATGCATTGTGTAAAAATTTGACAAAATCGAACGTGAATATATACATGTATGTCACTTCATGTTTGTATACAATTTTCGCCAATTTACAGCGGCTCCGTGGTCTAGTGGTATGTCTCTCGCTTCAAATGTGAGAGGGCCCGGTATCGCATCTTGGACGATCCACCTTTTTTTTCGAAATACTTTTCTTTTTTTACTAAACGATAGTATTCAGCATGTGAAATGAAAAATTTATGAGGTCTGGCTTGTACAAACTCATAATATCATCATTACAGTGTGAAAAATATTCCATATAAAAAAAAATCTTCCACACACATAATAAAGAATAATCCATCAAACCTTTATATCCATATTGGCATATTTTATTTGCTTACATTGTATGTATACATTTAATAATTCTACAAATTCAGTGAAAGGGATCCGAACCCCCCCCCCCCCCCCCCCGACCCCCGAACTGCGCATGGTTTACTTTTCCCTAAGCGGGGGACACAAATTCTCTGAATTAGCTTGTTGGTTCATCTTACAAATGCAGCATTTTTTATTTTTTGCTTAACGTCCCTTCGAAATTTCTTCTGCATATTGTGATGCCACTTCGTGTCGGTGGAGGCTGAAAATGTAGACTTCTACCCAGACTAATGTTTTTGAGCAACGAAGTATCTTTTTGATGCTTGGGTCACAAGCACCTGACGTTACTTATTTTTCTTTTAATTAAAAAATATACACATACCTAATGTTTATTATTAGGTATGTGTATATTTTTTAATTAAAAGAAAAATAAGTAACGTCAGGTGCCTGTGGCTTAGGTCTATATCCACTGCGACAATTTGCGGTCTCATCTGAAGGACCGGTCTCTACCTCCCGCGCTAAGACTCGAACTTGCCACGTAAGGATCAAATGAAAGTAGAGCAAAAGCTAAAAGTCACTGATCCAAGCGGGCGACTCAATATCAATTTAGCAAAAATACTGTAGTTTAATAACATTATTTCATTAGATATAATTTTAATTTCCTAGACTCAACATCGTTGCAAAAACGTTGATTATTTAACTATTACAGTTACTGTTCAAAAATTGCATCACTTGATCATCACCTGATGCGAAATATTGATTTGAAATATAGGAAAATCAAAAGATAAGTATTATCCGAATCTGAATATTTTAAACGATATGATATCGATGATTTGGCCGGAAGTCATTCAAATAATGAAGGTTTTCATTTTCCGATGCATGAAGTATTCATTAACTCGGATCCTACCGGATATATTTGTGTGTAGGTGGGTCTGAGCGATAGTGTTTCAATGTTCTTCTCTTATCATTTAATCTGCATAATCGTTTGTCTTATATGATTGCTATTTGCATAATTCAGTGATTTGCATAATTTTCCTATTAAATGCAAATTTGCATTATTCTTTAATTTGCATTTCCCCATCATGTAAGTACAAAGTATGTTCTCTGATAAAAAGGTCATATTTGTAGATTGGTGGAATATTTCCTTTCGTTTGTATTGGAAAACTGGTCCTAAACTTTATTGATTGCATAACTTTACATGTATATTTTCATATACTTTTCAAGTAAACATAATTATGCATATCATTTAAAAAAAGAAAAATTATCTAAATACAAACTGTAATCTTATATAATGAAGACTCCTTCCGACCTGGATGGTTTAAGATTGACGAACAATCCAAATTTATTCTTAAAGTTTATTTAACTAAGTCAAGTCTGGACTTGTATCCCTTTGTTTAGCATCATTTGATAAAACCTGATGGTAGGAAAATACATCGTCAAAGATTAGTGTGTAAAACACTCAAATAAAATCAATTTTAAGTTCTGTTCGTTCCTGCAATTAAAGAGATGAATTTCCTCATTATATACAAAATGTAACCCTATGGACAGATGAAGGGAGGAGGGGGTATTAGTAGGATGCTTGCTGTTGTTAAAAATGAAATGTTGATTTTATATAAATCAATGGGTGCTACAAATGAAAGAATCAAATTATTTTATCGCATAAACTGTTTCGTGATCTCTAATATTGATACTTTGAACTCTGGTTACCTCGGCTAGAATATCACCTAGATCAAATCGCATCGGTACAGGTAAAAAATCTCGCCTAATCTACATATTGTTGACTTTTGCTTAGCAACAATAAAAGTGACATTTTAATATAATGAAACCAAGCCGTTAATGGAAAACAGGGTTTATTTGTGTTCCCTCTAACAAGTTACGGCCAATTGATGCCGAAGTATACGTGAATATTGGCGCGTTTGATATATATATAGAAAGATGATTACATGATTCATTGAACGGAGAAAATGGCAATTTGTTTGGGGAATTGAAACTTTAAAAGCGTCATGAATATTTTTTTCCTTATCGATGTTTTGTTACTAGTGAACATCATGCTTTTTTGGATAATGGAAATTTAAGATGTATAGAAAAGGAAATAAAAAGATGTATCTTTAAATATATTGATAAAGGTGACTTGCCATTTTTCAATTTGGTGGAAAAAAGGCATAAGAGATTTTTTTTTAAAAATATATATCTTCACGTTAAACTGGATAAATTATACAGTATGTTTTTTTTTATTTCAACTTTGTGATAAAACAAAGTTAGAGAAAGTTATATTATTATTTTCAAGTGCTTTTCCAATATACTAGTAAAAGATGATATACATGTATAAAAATAAGTTATATGTATATATAAATTTCCTTTTCTTGAAAGCTTTAAAAATTAAGTAATATTATACACCTGTAGTTACTTGAATGACTACATTATTGGAAGTCCAAGGACTCAAATCGATCCGCCATTTTCTACAATGGAATGTTTTATTCGAGTAACCTGAATTGTCTCGTCAATTACATAATTGATGAAACTCTACAAAAATATTCCTAGTGAAGGGAATAATTAAAAAAACTCTCTTCATCACATGATTAGATGCACAAGACATGAAAATCAATGGTTGTTATACAGAGAAAACTCAAATTGTTTAGACTCGGAAAAATCATTTATATCGATTCATTTTTTCTTATACATTTCATATACAATATGAATTTACTAGCTATTTCTATAAACCAAATTAATAAAGTATTGGATGAAAGTTCAATTAGTGATAAAGACTTCTCTCATTTCTCTCTATCCCAAGAAAATAATGCAGTTTTCCTACATCACATATATAGGATAATAAAGGGATAAAAATGGACACCACTATCTTGGTTTCAGAAAAAAAAGGAATTCTTCAGCCCCTCCCCCTCCACTCTACCCTTGAATTTCGATTTTTATACATGCATATTCTTAAAGAAATTCTGAAATTTCATATAAAAAAATTGAATATCCTAGTGAAAATATAGCTCCCAAAGACAAAAAACGGCGTACAGGAGAGAGAGAGAGAGAGAGAGAGGGGGGAGCATCTAAATAATAGCTAAATGAATGTACAAGCATTAAATAACTGTATACAAGCACGGTTGCGTTTTACTTAAGGAACGGATGATAATTATGAACCACAAACCTGGAAACTCGTTCACAGTTCCGCAATAATCCCAGAAGTCAATTGTTTTACAAAACCGAAGAGCATCCAAGATGCAACACAATAAACTTTTACCTCGGCGATCAATAAGAATTTCAAAGGGCGAGCGTGTTATCTACAGAATGCATTACCGTATAGATGCACCTCGAGGACTATCACGGTTCATCATGGATTTAAAGGGCCGGATAGCCGTTAACTGCTGTCATTTCTACATAGGGTGTTTTATAAGTGAAAATTTATGTGCATATGTCTGTATGTGAAGTGAAAAAGAGGATGATTTTTGGCGTCTCAATTTTTCTCACAGTCTCATATCTTTCTGTTACCCTTTTTCTGTATCTGTGTGAAGAGAGAGAGAGAGAGATTCATTTTTCTTAGAGAATGGGATCTACATTATTTGTGTGATATTATTAAATTCTCCTAGAAAGAAAAGTCTTAGCTTACATGTACATGTAACTACAATATATTTACTTTTAAAAAATGCTTTTATTTAAAAAATATTCTTCCATAAAAATACTCCTGAGGAATTTAAGCAGAATCAAAGATGAGTGGAGTATTCATGCAGAGACACTAGCCATCCCAGGTAGCACAACAACGTTATTAAAACGTTATAAAAACGTTTTCAAAATGTTATAAAAACATTTTCTAAAACGTTATTACAACGTTATTTTGTATGGTTTTTTTAAACGTTATCATAACGTTTTTCAAAAACATTGTCATGCAATGTTTTGAAAACATTTTTGAAAACGTTTTCAAAACATTTTTAACAACGTTTTCAGAACATTTCTGACATGTTTTAAAGGATTAAAAAAATTCTACAACAAAAAATTATTGTAATTCCTACAGTTTTATTTTGTTGAAACTATTTCACAAATGTAATCCATGAACTCTTTTATACATCCACACAGTCAATAACAGTCTTCTTAACAGAGAAGATTTGTGGTTTAAACTATATATTTCACAAATGTAATCCATGACCTCTTTTTTACATCCACCCAGTCAATAACAGTCTTCTTAACAGAGAAGATTTGACACAATTGAAATTAGGAAAAAAAATCACAATATCTTTCTTCCTTTGGAAATCATCTGTTTGGCACTTGGACTTCTTTGTTTTCTTCTGAAAAAATAAAAATATAGAGAATAACTTTAGAAGATTTAAAAGCTATAAATTGTCATGAATCCGATAAATACAAGGAAAGTGTGTATGTTTTTGGCAACAGTTCTATAAAATATATACTAAATAAATCTATCTCCGTAATACATTCTTGTCTGGAAACTTCAAACATACCTTAAAGAATTAAACTCCGGTAAATCCCTCCAGGACGGTGTGTAGCAAACCTCATTTTGCCTTATTCCTCTCATTAATGTAATCTTTAAAGAGGTACCAAATAATATTTAGTCTTTGCAAACAGCTTCTGTAAATGAAAAATGATCGATATTTATTTTAAGAATTGTAAATTGAGAAATATATACATGACACTGTATATGAATACAAATCATTTTACATTTCCGAAGAAGTATTTAACTAACTCGTTACCCCCCCCCCCCCCCCCACACACACACACACAATTAACCTACTCGCTCTATTTAAATCATGTTTTGAAGCTTTCAATTTAAAAATCTATCTCTAAGCCTGGATTGATTATACTAAAGTACACATTAATAAAGAAAACTCACACTAGACACAGGACATAATACATATGTAAATGCACAATCATGATTAACTTCAATGATCAGTTTACTTCAAAAACAACCAATTCACCGCCTTCAAATATCCAGGTTATATACAATCATTTACACGGAATGATTTAGGCTTATACAAACACATGCAGTTATAATACTATTTCTTAATACATGTATACACAATGAATACAACTTTAAATTCAACATACCATACGGTGATGTAAAATATTCCCTAAATCCTGTTCTTTGTCTTTCAAGAATGCTGCCCGGTTTTTCAAAATCTTGATAAGTTGACCTATATAGATCACGTGGAAATAGTTTGCAGCAAGGAGCGGTTTCATCAGCACTGACCACGGCATCCCGCTGTGTCACTCAATTAACTTTTGATAAACGCATTATTCAGGAGGAAATAACATAAGTGAATAAATGCACAGCAGTACTTTGTTGAACTACATCACATCTTGGAAAAAATACTTTAAAAAGGCTTTTTATACATTTTTTCAATATGTTTTTTTTTTTTAGGAAATCAATGTGGCATATAAAACAATTAAAAAAGAACTGAATAAAAAAACCCACATTTTTGTTTAAATTTATTTTTACTTAATATGCTTTAAAAGATATCACCTAGTAATTAATAACAAACAAACAAAAGAGTAAATGCTAAATGTATATTTTTTAAGAATTGAAATATAGAGATGTACGTTTGTTGTTTCTATAACGTTTTAACGATGTTTTTCAAACATTTTAAGACAATGTTATATTCATGTTTTCTGGTATCATTTGTAATCAGAATTTATAATAAATTTCATTCAATATAAAAAATGAATATTCTTAAAATTTGAGTCAACGTACACAACACACTGTTTATACTCTTAATATCATATTATGAGTTTTTAGAACAGTTTTTCCCAAACAATGGAATGTGAAAACATTTTTATAATGCTTTTCAAGCAATAAAAAATTTATTCTTATTATCATTATAAAAATGTTATGCAAAAATGTTTTCTAAAAACTTCCTTCCAACCAGTATTAAACGTTATGAAAAACATTTTAAAAATGTTTTTGAGAAACGTTTTCTAAAAACGTCATTATAACCTAGATAAAACGTTATAAAAACATTTTTCAAACGTTATGTCAAAAACGTTTTGTAATAACATCCTTACAACCGGAATATAATGTTATGAAAACGTTTTGTGCTACCTGGGATATACCCCCCCCCTCCCACCCCCAACACACACCCCCTCATTTCCCTGAATCTGCCTTTTCACCGATATGATTGGCTAAATTAATACTTATAAAAAATGACATATCAATGCAAATGCCAGAGCACATTTGATGCCCTTTGATAGTAAAGTACTTTAATTATGGATAGATTAGACCTGTATCCTATAAATCATTTCATTTAATCAAAACAAGATAAAGTGAAGATCAAAGTGTATTGTAATCCCTCAAATGAATTTCTACACAGAAATCATCCCATGCAATATCCTATCACTAAAACAGAGATATATCTATATCAATATTCTATAATCAATATTCGTAACTTTTCTTTTCAATACATACACCTGCATATTGTATTCGGTTTAAATTTCCGTATAGGGAATTAGAATGTATTTTAAACGTTAGAGTACTTGAGTAATTAAAATATTTAACTACAGTGTATGCCTGTGCATATGCTTGCAATCCGATTAAATGTAGGATAAAGCATTATTTGTTTATTTGCTATTCTCACGTTTGAGTTGTTTTAAAACCTTAAACTTTAGGTATAAAAAATGATCACTATGCCATGATATCCATATAAACACGTTTTTAAGAGGTATAAATATTATAGAATTCTAGTGTCATGAATTGAAAGTTTACATCAAGAACTTACCTTAGAGGCTTTTGATAAAAATCCTATGGATAAAAATTACAAAATGAAGGAGAAGGGGGTGGGATGAAAATTCAAACAAAGATTTTAACATCAGATGCAAGGCCACATCTAAGGTGCGAAGGGTCTTGTTCAGAATTTGTTTGGGATATAAAGTCGCCGCGGCTGTTTAACACGAATATCAACACCGCATGTACATTGTAGGCTTTAATCGTTTAAATGGATTTTTTCAATATATGACCCATACATAAAAATCTCTATTGAAAACGACGCTTATTCACCTACTAAAAGACACAAATAATGAATCTATTTTTAGGTGACAAACAAACAAGTAATGCCCTTTTTGGCGTATACAAAAGCGACTTTATTATTAAATGTTAAGTTAATGTATCGATACATTTTAATTAAAAAATCACACAAGGGGGGTGTTCGGCGTTGTACATTGTTTACTTATATCGGTATCTACGTACTTTTGCTATGGGATTAATCGAGGTAATTCGGATGGTGAGATATGCCGGAATGTTTACACATAGCTATCATCTTAATTATGTAATAGCAATGAATGAACTTTTAAAGAACAGGCATTAGGTTTTATCATCGTTAAAGGACGGGCCTGTAGATAATGGTATCGCTGAAATCATGAAGGACGTATAGATTTTGTCATAACGTGGACAACAGTTGCACAAAGCATTGTAAATAATTTTTTTGAAAATATCTCTTATATTTGTCTTTGTCTTGCTTGTTATTGTAAATAAACATTTTTGAAAAGATGCCCTAAAGATTTCTTTGGCTTATTTTCAGACAAAATAGTTTTCAAACTTAGCAGCGCATCATATGCGTGTTAAAAATACAAAATTGTTTACTGAATGTACTTGAATAAAAATGAAAATAAATAAAATATTAGAAATAAAGTAATTTCATATACATTTATTGTAAGAATGCACTTCGAAAATACGGAAATTTTTTGATAACTTACGCTGTATTTCAAATTAGAATTTACAAATTGTAATAGGTACTTTTTAAAATGTAAAATAAAATCAAATAATTGTTAGAACTTTTATAAGTTGGAGTCCGCTTAAAAAGATGCAAACGTCCGTTACTCTCTCTCTCTCTCTCTCTCTGGATCCAATGTAAAGAAAGACAACTTCTGCATGCTTAATCAATCCAAAGTCTAAGCAATCAACTGATAATATTATATCTCCCAGATTCAGTAATATTGTGTACGTGGAACATTTTTTTTCCTCTTAACATCATTGAAAGAAAAGCTGTAGAGAATCTCTAAGTGTTTTAGATTTTCCCAATTTCTAAATTTCTATGAATTTTAGAAAGACTTGATTTCAGTTTGCTTGTTTAGTCCATTGGAGGTACGGGAACTGTGAAAATTTGTTGTAATTTATCTTTTAAAACGTCTCAATCGAACTTTTTTTTAAAACCATTTTTTAATGCACTACTATACTATACCTTAATTAGACTAAACCGAAACAAAACTGGACCGAAATATTCAAAAGAAAAGAAAAAAAAAGTGGGCGTGCTTGGATCCCCCTATCTCCCTCCCTTCCGATGTCTCGTAACGGTGTCTTCCCACTGTATTCTAATCTAAAAAAGACTCTGTTTATATGAGGAAATTATATACTAGTATACTTTAAAATGAAAAAAAAAGTTTGTGCGACTTTTTACACCCGGAAGTTTATATATGAAGATAACTTTAGGATGGCTGTCAAGGCATATCTAAATTCTACTTTTTGTGTTATCATTTTTTGTTTGTGTAAATGTGCGGGTAAGTATTGAAAAATTGAAAATAATGTATTGTTTAATTCGACATTTCACACATCGTTGTGAACTTTTGTCCTTTTCAACATTAACCTGCGAATGCTAGATTTTACATATTTGTAACACTTAAGTAAGACCACGAAGTTCACTGTCGCACTATCGAGCATCGAATAAGGATCGCGATCACGATAATGCCAGGGCGTGATATCGACCCAAATTCCGATGATGTGATAGTTAAGTACATGTCTCCATTCCATGCATTTCTTGTTTAATGTCACATGTTACTTCATTTGATTATTTATAGGTATAAAAATTGTAGTTTAAAATATAAAATATATAGATATACCGGAAATTATTCAAGCTCAAAGGTCCAGTACAAAATAGAAGAAGAGCAAATACGGGCCTCCAAAACATCAGAGATAGGATCAAGTGCCGTGGAGGAGAAAGCATACTTTGCCAAACGGTCACACCCGCCTTGTGCTCCTTGTAATAATTGGGAAATAACGAAATATCATTCATCAATCCACTGTGTAAATAATTCACTAAAACTTGGTATGAAAAATTGTCAGTCAGCATTTGACTCAATGATAAATTGTATTTGCTGACAATTAAGGTCATTGTATGGACAATAGTACTTATGAAATATTGACTTCAAATTTTCATTAATATAAACGATGATCAATCCATAGAAGTTTTTTATATAGGGTTTGCTCTTTTACACTTGTTCTACATCAACATTAATTGCAGTTTTATCTGCTTAGCTTTCAACAAAGGATACTAAACTGCAAAATATACTATTTATGTCGTGTTAGGACAATAAAATTAATGTTGAAATGATGAAACTAACTGTGTATAACGCGTACTTTCAGAAGTGAACATTCAAAAAAGATAAATACAAGTAAACATTGATGTAACCATCCATTGTCGCCCGGGAAATATTTAAAGTAAGCAATGGAAATGAGTCTTGATCATCAAACTGCTTTGGTGTGTGTGAAACGGCATGCGTCTAATTGATGGCGACGATAGCCGCGAGCATTTTGAAAACTTACAGTCGGATAAAAATCAAACAAAATCGATACCATTTTAAACTTGATCAATTCCTCATGTAAATGTTGGCTGCATAAAATGTAAATTGAAGTTAGACAAATGTATCACTTATATTCAAAAATGTATTTATTTTCAATTTTAGAATATAAAACATGAACTAGGCAGAGTGCGTTTTTATCCGAGAAGTAAAATTCGATATTCTAAAAAAAAGGATCTGTCGTTTTTTCGATAGTATATGATATGCAACTTTATATATTAAACATGTAAAACTAATTTATTTTTTACGTTTTCATTTTATGGAAGTAAATGTATTATGTGTTTCGTAATTTAGAAAGGGAAAGAACATTCTGATTAACAATATTTTCAATGTTTAGAAAACCTTTAATTCTGATGAATAACTTCTCCCAACCCAATCACCATACACTAACACTTAAACTTATATGTATAGAGCAGCCCGGTCCTCCGGGCTGCAATAACGAGACAAAAATATTTGTTACCTTAACGGATACTTTCATTTTCTTCCTTATCACAGTAGGGCTACGTTACATGTATATATTTGTATATAATTTTCTATACTTTAACTTAAAGTTCCGCAATATTTTGTTCTTCATTGTAAATAAACATGAAGCGTATTTCAGCGAACAAGCAATAATGAATACTGAATTGATAAAACAATTGAAAACTAAGTTAATCACTGTAAAATCAAACACTTTTCATATAGATCATACGTTGATTTCAATTTATAAACACGTTTTGGGGAGTCTATGATCAGTGTTATAGCAATCACTTTTATACGCCTGTAATGACTGTACCTGGTATACTTTTTGATTGAACTACATTATTTTAATTTAACTTTCATCTTACATATTTTAGGCAAACTAACTTTAAGTTCAGCTGAAGTGAGAGAAGGAGAGACCTTAGTATTAACATGCCATTCAACAGAGCCTCTTGGATCGTATACGTTTTACTCTGAGAAAAATGGATTCTTCGACATATACGGCAGTGCTACAGGGAGTTTCAAGAACTGTTACAGTGGACTATCTGGATACTCAATGAGATGTGATTTTGATAACTGGACCTTCAACCTGACAATTCTACAGCCTGTACATAATCAAGTAATCATTTGTAACAGAACTACAGGCCCAGTTCAAATTACAAGCATAAACGCAACAATCTATGTGCAAGGTAAATTAAATGAGTACTTAGATATTTAAGGAACACATTGATTAACTGAATAATTCTTTAAAAACAAGAAGGCAGGGGGAGTGGAGGGGTAACCAACCAACCTAAAAAAAAAAATTCATGCACTTGTTTTTACGTCAAGATCTCAATAAGTGAAAAACTTAGGGTACCTGTAAAGTGCGAAACGAAATAGAAACGAAACGAAACGAAACGAACTGAAACGAAACGAAATCTGCCGAAACGAAACGAAATGTACCGAAACGAAACGAAACCTACCGAAACGAAACGAAATCAAGACGAAACGAAACGAAATCAAAACGAAACCTGTCGAAACGAAACAAACAGAACATATGGTATATTTTTACTTCATTTGATATTTATATAGTTCAAGCACCACAGGCAATTGTTTCGCTTCAAGCTCATACATAGGCGTCGGAAGAAAATTGAAAAGGGGGGGGGGGCTTAACCAACAAAAAAGGTAAACCCCAATTTTCAATGCCTATATAATTTCTTCGCAAAAAAGTGGGGGGCTAACCCCCACCCCCAACCCCGCTTCCGACGCCTATGTCATATTTTGTTAATATCTTACTGAATAATTTACCTACTTAAAAAAGACATCGTTCGCTTCGAGAGAATTTTTTCTTGTCAGTTAAATCGTTTTAGATGTCTCTGGTCGAGCCTCTTTATTGCAAGCCACTCATTTCTTCCTCGAAAATTACCTCGATAGAATAGGACCGTATGTACGTAGAAAGGATACACAAGATTTCGGTTGGAGTTATATGTATAATTGAACGATAAAACCAGACACCTCGGAATGGAATACTAAATACGAGGGGCTATCAAAAAGTTCGTGGACTAGCGCCATAAAATTAAAACCGCTTTAATAGATACATGAACGAATTTTAAAATATCTGGTTATCATCATCTTTTCTATCTATAGAATAAATCACAAATCATAAATTTTATTTTTGATTAAAATAGTAATGTTTTTGTAAGCAATGGTATGTCCATGCGGTGCAACCTCGAAAATGACGTTTTTTCTACCTAAGTATAACTATAAGAAAAACTGTTGTGATTTGAACATTTGACATCCAAAAGTCCCGTTAATTCAGGGATGTTTTGGGACACTATTGTTCCATAAAATATTAAATTTTTACCTCATTCTGGAAGTTCTATGAAATTTTATCGTAAATTTTACATGGAGAATCCACACAAATGTTGCCTTGAAAATGACGTCAAACGAGGGAGGGGTTTCCTTTTCCACCACTCTATCAATTTTTGCCCCTGGAAAAACTGGTATACACATAGGAAATGTTTAAACTGGCTAAGAAGAAATAATATGCATCCAGATTACTTGATTTTTAATGCCAAAATAGATTCAAAGAGAAAAGGAATGCACGGTTTATGTCGATTTGTAGTCAAGTGTGAAAAATCAATCACGTCAAAAAATGACGTTGATCGTGTGTTGTAGATATTGAACTCCAAAAAGCAAAATATGCTGGCACAATCAAGCAAGGATCTCTGCCATGTTATAAACCCATTTGCAATAGTATATGCATTGAAAGCCGCTGCTCATGGCATTGTAAAGTCATATAAACAAGACGGATTAAAGTCCTTACTCAGCTCCAGGGAACCTCATAAAAATAAGTATGAGGTAGAAGAAGCAGACATTGAAAAACAATGACGTTGTCGGACGTCATAAAACTAAACGGAGACGGCGCCGGGTGATGATATAATGTCCTTTTCATTTTATGATAATTTGGGAAATAATGATCGTATCAAGCTAAAATTCTCAACATTTCTTTATTTTTTGTAGTTTTATGTTCCATGAAAATTTTGTAAGCTCAGACTACATAGTACTAATTTTATAGCCTCAGTCCACGAACTTTTTGATAACCCCTCGTACTCTAAGTCTCTGGTTTATCCTATGTTTTAAGACATTCGCAAAACAAAAGAAAAGTGAACTTTAATTCGACCCGTAGATAAACGAGCCTTTACATGTAACACATCAATTTTGATAGATATTAGTATATTGTAATATGGACTGAAAATAAGAGTAAGATATAAAAATTTGAAAATACTACACATATTGAAATTATACATGCATAGTACGCTCGTGCATATTTGCAGCTGGCAAACATGTAAATACATCATTAGACTGAGAAGGGAGCCTAATGTATCGGTAATTGAATTTTATATTACTGTAACAAGTGCTTGAACTATATAAATTGTATGTGAAGCAAAAAGGGATCCACATGCAGTTACACATATATAATTATATACATGTACCTTGATTTGAAAAAAACCCAAAACATTTTGATAGTTTCGTTTCGTTTCGGTGGGTTTCGTTTTGATTTCGTTTCGTTTCGTCTTGATTTCGTTTCGTTTCGGTAGGTTTCATTTCGTTTCGGTACATTTCGTTTCGTTTCGTTTCTATTTCGTTTCGCACTTTACAGGTACCCAAAAACTTATACAATAATTTTTAACCTCATGACCTTGCGGTTTGTCAAACTCCTGAAAGGAAAAAAACCCTGGCCTTAACTTTGGTTGATTAGACAATAATTTTGATCGTATGTTTTTGCACTCAAATGTCAAGACAGATCATGCTATTATTTTCACGTATACATTGAGAAAACAAAAACTTACTGAATTCACTTTACGATGTTTGGCCTCGTAACTTTTTTTTCCTAAGTTTGACTTTCAAACAAAATAAACCTTGACACTGAATAAAGTTAAAGACTTTAAAAAATAATTGTTAAATGATCAGAAATTTTGGTGCTCTCTGATTGGTCTAAACGCCTTTTCCTGGGATGTACCTCAGAGTGAGTTCACCTCATATGACGTTCTGGGGGATTTATTCGGCTTTTCCCTCTTGACCAACCATAGATTTGCTTACAGTTTTTATCGACCAATCAGATTGCGTTTTTCAAAACATGTGTCGGTGTGAATGTAAACATGTCAGACTGTTATATCACTGTATTCACTACTAAGACCCGCAAGCGACCTACCATGATAGCTTTCTGAATGTGCTTGTTCATTTTCATTAACACACAGCAAATTTAAAAGTTGCATTCAGTTTCAAACATGGGTACACAGAATCAACAAAATGCTTATTTTTGTAGTGCCTGTCAAAAGTATAACACTGTCTACACCTTCTACGATAAATGTTGTGTCAGCGAATAGCTATACCTTCACCTGTAAAACATTTGGTTCCAGACCTGCAGCAGAAATTTCGTGGCACTTTGACACTTCGACTCTTGCAGGAAACAATACAGTGATATCAGAAAATGAATCTAAATTTGAAGTTACCAGCATTTTAACTCTAATATTAACAAAGGAAGATCAAGGCAAGGTTGTATACTGTAGTTCAAACATTGTTGGAGAAATACCATTGGAATCAACTAAAACCTTTTTGAATGTGCTTTGTAAGTACTCGGTAGCTATCTATCTTTTATTTTTGAAACATTCTTTTTACTAATTTGCTTTCAATTTAAAAGATTTTATATCTAAATCATATATGAAAATCTGCATTCGTACTTTCAATGTAGAATAGATAACACCAAAAAAAGAAAACATTGATATCAGTTTTGTACTATCGAAGCTAAATTAGCTTTTCTTACTTTTTGTATCATACATTTTAAAGTAATGAACTCACATTTTGTCTTGACGAAAGCTTCGACAGACCTTCTACACTACACTCTTATTAAGCTGTTTTTAACTCTACAATCTGCATGATGATATCTGACTTGTAGGATTATACATCCCTTCAGATATCTGACTTGTAGGTTAAAACACTCTTTTAGATATCTAACTTGTATGATTATACATCCTTTTAGATATATCAGAGGTTCAAATGATGCCAGGCAATAGTCTTAATATAGTGGCAGGGCAGAAGCTGACAGTGATTAGTTGTTATGTTGAGAGTGCAAACACAGAGGTCAACCTAACATACAGATAGATGAAAAATAATGGCTACAACACCTCTTTGATTTCTACAAATCAGCTTTATTTGATTAAACATGCCAGAGTTAAAGATAGTGGTAGATATTCTTGTTCAGTCTGTAACGCTGCAGGGAGCTCTAGTAGTTTTATTGACGTTAACGTCCAAAGTAAGTGTGCTTAATAGCATATATGAAATAAATTAGAACAAACAAGAGATCTACTTTTTAAGATGTATCACTTGGATATCCCATATACAAAAAAAATAATAATTTTAAAATCAAGATAAGAATAAATTCCAGACAACAAGGTTTTTATCAATCAAAGGTCTACCTTTTAAAAACATTTTAATGTTCTACCTGAAAATCAAAATTATATTTCACTATATTTAACGAATTTATGTCATTAGAAGGACTAAAATTAAATTATGAAACCAAAAAGACTTAATTCATTACCCTTATCATTGACAAAGTTCTTCTTAACACTCTGAAAACAGAATTCAGAAAAAAAGATTATATGTGTTATCTCAAATACGAGATTTTATCCCTTTGCATTTATATGTTGTTAAGAGGAAGGGTTGATATATTTGTATTGTAATAATTCCTAACAAATTGTGCACATGGTCTTTTTTGGTCAGGAACAAATTGCAGTTTTACACTAAAACAGAAAAAAAATGTATACTTTGTTAATCAAAAAAGCATGGAATGTCAATGCTCCTTTTCTAAATACTGTTGCCATTTTTAGAGGGTGAAAAAGAAAAATAGTCTTTCCAGTTTCAACTGGCAATTCATGATCAAAGTCACTTGGAATTGAATGGAAAAAACAATGCATGGATTCGTTGAAACATTGAAACATGAAGAAAAAATGTTAACAAAATGCAGATTGATACTAAATTAAAATTGAATTTTGCTTTCAATTTCAGATAAACCATTTCCTCCTATGATCATACAGGTTTTCTGTAAGACTAGATCCGCCTATATCTCATTTATGTCATCTTATCTCGGTGGTGAGGGTAAACTGGTTTTGCAGTATAGTAAAGTTGATGACAAATATGAAAATGCGACTGTTGAGGTTCTGAATAAAACCCAGCCTGAAATAAATACCTACAAAGTCCTGAATTTGTCACCTGGAACGGAGTACACATTTAGAATTTTGGCTTCTAATTTCTATGGTATGACATCATCAAAGAGGCAAACATGTTCTACAGGCATCGTTGCACAAGCAGGTATACTTCTTTTTGTCATTAATTTTAATGTACAGCCGTAAGCATGGTTTAACTAACAGAAAACATTGTAAATAACAGAAAAAGTAATCAATTTAATGCAAAATTAATAAAGTATTACAAATGGTACAGATATGTAGAAACATCATTGTACGCGGGGCACCAGTGTTTGTGGATTTCGTTTGTCATCCCTGTCCATGAACTTAAATATACACAATTAGATTCTGTCAATATATATGTATCATGTATATATATCTTCTTTATATGTAAGTTTTCTATGAAATAACTTCCATATGAACCTATAAAATTTTGCTTGCCAAGGAACATCAACCCCCACGATTTTAAATAATTCCACATCAATAAACATAAACTATGCATATATGTAAATTACATATGAAAAAATGATCGTGAGCTTTAAACATGACAGAAAGAGAAAAAAGCTGTGAAATGGAGTCGGTCATTGGAGGAACATTGGGAAGTATTCTTTTTATAGTTATTTTGCTTCTTTGTGCAACTGTCCTGTTTAACCTAAGGAGTCGAAGGATTAATAAAGGTATATTATAAGACTTCCTTTCAAGGATATTTATAAAAAGTTTTCTTAGGGATTTCCCTTGAAATAAATTATAAATGTTTTACTATGCTAGTACTTTTGAACAAAGGGAGTAAACAGGGGAAAATTGCTTCAATTTATAAAAAAACCCCACTTTTTTTGCAGGCAAAAGCGATCCAGCAACTAGCAGGTAAATTGAAGCAATCGTTATACATTATCATATTAAAGGTATAATTGTGATTTATATGAATAAAATTAATTTTATACTGAATCATGATTAGCGGAACGCAAAAAATTATATAGTAATATATTTTTGTTTAAATGATCATTTGAATAAGAACAAATGATGCCAGTTATGTTGATCAAGCTTTACCAAGTAAAGACCATCATTATCAAGGATTTTCCACCAAAGGTAACATGTATCAATTTTCTGCAAATTAGATATTAATAAATTATTTCCATGTCAGTTAAATAAGGCTATGAATATTTTTTTTCTTTTTTGTCCTTATGTATGCATCTAGTAATATTCTCACAATGTCAGTAAAAGTAATCCCCATTAAACCATCTTTAAAAAACAAAAATGAAAACGTTTTTGAAGAAAAAGGCATTTAATTTCATTTTAAGGTTTCGCTTGTAAAATATTAATCCGATACATTTGCACTTTATAAGGTCACGTTTTTATTTTAGAAATGATGATAACAAATACATATGAAAAGATTGAAGGTAAATAAATGAATTTACTTCCAAAAACATGTACATATACAATTTACATTTACGGTTTAAGGAAATAATACTTTAGTTGATCAATTGATTTATTCATTTATTTATTCATTCCTTGTTTCTTCAATATGGAGATATATAAATTATACATGGACAATTAAATAGATAAAAAAAACAGTATATTTAAACAGACATAAACATACAAAAATTAATATAAAAATATATTTATAGAACCTTTCCAAGTGATTAAAGAGAGAGGTGAAAAAAATAACTTCCAAAATTGAGGTGCCTTTAAACATGTATAATTTGTGATTAACAATTACAATTTAAAGAAATAAATTCTTTTATTTCCTATCTAGCTTGTAACACGAGCTTTGATTGGTTACAAAGTCGGGTGTAAATATCCGTGCACCCGACTTGAGCCGGGTGTAAATAAAACGTGACGTCACAATGCATGTCTATCTACACGCACGAAAAAAAAAAATAAAAACAAAATACAAATGAAATGGGGAAAAGTAGGATAAATAATCTATTCTTCTAAATAATAATACAAATAAAAATCCTTGTATTGTAATAATGATCTGTTAAAATTTCACACAAAATAAAAGAAATCAATTGATAATTAACTAGAACTTTTTTCTTTCGAGTATATATACAAAGCGAAATAACTCTTTCAATCATCGTCTGCGAAAATGGCGAAAAGATTTGCCTCACATACTCCGTCGGAAATAATAGAAAAACGGGCCAATGTTGTGCCAAAAAATACCATTGAAGGGAACCAAAAAAGCGCAAAAATGTTGAGGGATTACCTAAAAGAAAAAAAACAAGCCTTGGATTTCGAAAACTTTGACGCTCATCAATTGAACGAAGTTCTTTCTCACTTTTACTTAGACTTGCGAAAGATTGACGGAGAATTGTATAAATCTACATATCAGAAAATACACGGTATGGATTAATTCGGTATTTAAAAGCTCCACCTTTCTTAAAAACATGTGATATAATAAAAGTTCCAGAGTTTTATTCATGTAACGAGAGTTTCAAAACAGCCATGGCCGAGTTGAAAAAAGAAGGAAGGGGGGATGTGGAACACTATCCCTGCATAGAGGATTGTGACATTAAAAAACTATATAATAGTGTGCATTTATCGACCGAAACTCCTTGTGGACTACTCAATAAAGTCCAAATGGACATAAGACTTTATTTTTGTCGAAGGGGATTAGAAAATATGGCACAGATGACGAAAGATACATTTTGTGTTTCCACTGATCCGAACACTGGACTGAGATACGTAAAAAAAGCCAAAGATGAACTGGTAAAAAATAGAAGATCGAATGAAAAAGAAAATTTTGGAGGCTGTATGGTTGAAAATAAAGACTCACCTCTTTGTCCAGTTGCATCCTTTCAGAAATATATAATGAAACTAAATCCGGAAAATACCCGACTGTGGCAGCGACCTCGAGAAACATTCCTAGATAGTGACCCCATATGGTACACAAAACAGCCTTGTGGAAAAGATTCCCTTAGTTCTTTCATGTCAAAACTCAGCAAAAAGTGTGACCTCTCCCGAATTTATACAAACCACTCAATCAGGGTTACCGGAACTAGCATCCTTTTTAAAAACAACTTCGTTGATTCGCAAATCATGTCCGTAACGGGCCACAAATCGGTGAACTCCCTTGCTGTGTACCACCGAGTTTCGGAACATGAAAAATTGCAAATGAGCAGGGCAATACAAAACACTGTCAACACCGAGCAACCATGTTTACCAGCACCACCGATCATTCCTATGTTACCCGCCCCGCCTACTCAAAATGACCTCAGCATTGTGTCGAGCGACACCGCATCAGGGGGCGACAATCTTCAATTGCAAGGTGTAAACATTGATGATCTTTTTGATGACATGTATGAAGAACGGTCACAAATATCAAGCATGGTATCCATGAATATTTACATTTCCAATGTCTTTGTCTGAGATAAAATTACCAAATGTAAATGTAATTGATTTCCTCATGAATGTTCTTTGGCGCGGTTCCAAAAAAACCACGTGCAGGGCGGGACAACACCTAGAGAGAAGCAGGCTTGGAGCCCGTGGATTGGCGGAATCATAGCATGTAAATATAAGGAATAACTGTCAGATTTTTCAAATTCATGAAGATGATCAATGGATTGGCTTGTGTGATAATTTTATGCATAAACACCATAGACATTTATGCATATTATATCACGCAAACCAATCCATTGATCACTTCATGAATTCGAAAAATAAGACATTTATTCCTTAAATAAAACTACAGTAAATGTTCAACAAAGACAAGCAAATTTTGCACCTGCCCCAGAGAGCATTTTCCAGAACTGTTCAATTGGTACTGTTCAAATCATTTACAAGTCGTAATTTTGAAAAGAACTAAACGGACTTTAATTTCAGTGTTCATAATTTTTGATTAATTAAAGATGTTGGTTAAATTTAAAATTGACTTTATTGTTTTGATTTTTATACACAGCTCAAAGATCACATGTTCTGACGAGTACATAAAAACGCAGGAATACATAAATATTTTGAAAGTGTTATACACCCTTGTTTTGACATTAGAAATAAATTTATTTGTTTTACATAGGAAATAAATTCATTATCCAGGTTCAATCAAGGGTGTACGGGGATTTACCCCGGTTTTTATTCCATACACCCTGAGGCCTTCGGCCTTCGGCCTCAGGGTGTATGGAATAAAACCCGGGGTAAATCCCCGTACACCCTTGATTGAACCTGGATAACTAATATGGTCCATTGTTTAAGTAGTTTTTATATTAATAATAAATTTGTCTGTATTTTCTGTTTCAAACAGAATGTCATGAGAAAGAGAAAAGGTAAAACATTTAGTATTATAATAATTAACAGTTACAGTTTACAAGAGATAAAATAAGTAATAGTTTACACGTTATGAAATTTAGATTAGATAATATTTAATATAAGATAGAATATGTTATGTTGAAGATCTGTATATATGGAATTAACACATCCGAGTATACAAGAAGAACAATACATGAACAGAACAGGTGACACAGGTACGTTAACTTAACGGCCGAATTTATTTGCTGTATTATATTAATTAAATTTTTTTTCTTTCATAGCTACATATACTGTACGTTCTATCAAACATGTCGACGCCCGCAGTGGTAAGAGCTTCTGCTCTATAGTTGCAAAGTTAGGAGTCGATCCTTACCTCGCGGGTTCGAATCCCACTGTGAAGACCATTCCATCGAATGAGACCGTATAAACCGAGGTCCCGTGTCGCATTACGTGATGGCAATGACCCTGAGTGCCGAATATAGGACATACTTTGCAGCTGTCCACCAGCACGCGGTGGCGTCTACACACGAGTGAAGAATTCTCGAGAGGGACGATTAACAACAATCAATAAATCCTATTAAATACATGTGCTACTTTACATTATGTCCCCCACATCCAGTACTGAACTTCATCTTAACATCATTCCATATCAAAACTAGGTTAGGGTTAGGGAATACAACCTTAATAAATAGTAGTTGTTTCTTGCTTAACATTACAGTTGTAAAGGGTTTGTAATCTCTTCGCTGTAATCATATTTTTCATACATCTTTTGCATTATGAAGAAGATATTTTAAACGAAAACAAATAATGCTGATGCCTAATGTTTTATTTAACTTCAAGAACCAAGGGATAATTATTATCAAAATCAAACAAACGAATTTTAAAACGGAATTGATTTTTTTTTACCAACCATTAAATGATTATTTTCATTTTTTTCAGGTGGAGAGTACTCCGACATTCAGTAGTTTATGAAAGAAAAAAAAATGAAATACGGAAAATGTTTGAAAATCTATGCAGTTTTTTTTTTCGAACGAAAACGTCAGTCATATGACAGGAAGATAACAGTAAAAATTATGCACGCAACAGATAACTCTTATGAGTCATATTTTTCTTCATCAAACGTCCATGGAAATCACCTGTTGTTCCAGGAACAGTTAAGGATATACGATCCTCAGCCAGGGAGGATAACTCTTTGATTTATAAATTTAATTCAAAAAGTCTTAAAATAAAGCTTGAAATTGAAATTTTTCATCCAACAATTTTCATTTTATGTCTCTACGTGTGATTCAATGTTATTTAAAGTTTTAACAAACGTTTTTCAAAAAGTTGACATTTGTACCTCATTAAATGAAGTAAAACCTGCATATTTAAAAAAAATCAAATTTCTTTTAATTTAGCCTTAGTTACCAATGTTTATAAGCATGATTTGAAATTAGAAGTGATTTACGGTGTTTTCTTTGAAAGGAAACACTTCATACACTATGCATTATGAAACAATGGAAGTAATTAGGAGAAAGTAAAGACCAAATAAGTGTAAAATTCATGCAATTTTCTTTAAAAGCCTGGATACCTATGATTTTTATTCCTAAAATGTATTTCTTGATCAATTATCAATTTAGAAATACGCAGTAGGTAGTTCAAATCGCATTTCCTGATTATTATTTGAGATTTACTAATTTTCTCTATATAATATGATTAAATTTAAAGATGAAGTTTAAAGAAACACAGTGGGTAAATACATTTAAATTTGAGAATTTAGAGACATCTTTGTGAGCATTTTCAAATACTCAATGCCTGATTTTCAGAACCTGAGGATCGGATAACCTTAATTAAAATTATTTTTTAATTTAATAAATCTCATAATAAAGTTTGAGCTTTGTTGTACCAATTTTCATTGAAAGCAAGATCCCTGTAGCAGTAGTTGTTGACAAGAAACAGATCCCTGTCTTCTCATTGACCCAAACTGCCAAGGGGACAAAACCTACTTTTAAAGAAAGTAATGGCGTCTAAATATGAATAAAAAATTCTAAAGCGACGTTTAATCAAACAAAAGTCCCATTGATATAGTTGTAAAAAGATATGAAAGTAAAGGTCAACACATTTCGATTAAAAGGAAAAAGAAATCATTACTACTTAAGCAATTAGTACGAAAGCATGTTATAAGGGTTACCTTGAAAAATTAATTATTTGTGTTAAACGGCGATTTAAAATGGATTTCTTTTTTCTATACCTAGACGTTGATTATACTTTGAGTTTACTTCAGTATTTTAAATCGACTTCGATCCAAAACGGCTCGAAAGAATGTAAGTAATAGCTGATCAGAACGGTCTGATATTAGACTACCTACACACAAGCTTATCACTGTCAATTATAATCATATTGTAATTTTACAAATGAACCTAATATTTTAATGAAAAGCAATCCTTGTATGATCTGTTTTTGTTTGTTTTTACCGCTTTTCCTCTTATTGAGGTCATTCTGCTATCCGACTGACTTCTGCAGAATTAATCCTTTAATCTCGGCAACTACATGTACGACCTTTGAGAATCATAAGGGATCTTTTTTATGAAAATACCTGTGACACTGTACATGTGCCTCGGATTATGCGGTCTCATCTGCAGTTAAATTCGAACCCATGACGTTAGGATTTAATCCCTACTTCGCGATGCTAGAGCAAACACTTTTCAACTACGCAAACCGGACGACCCCAGTTTGTTATGAAGTCAATAGAAAGTGCTGCAAAAAGTAAAAAAAAATAGCAAAATTCTAATATAATTATATGTTTGATCAACTTATCAAATATGGTGATTAACTTTAAGTAGAGATTTTTGTAGGTACAATTTATCTTATATGTACTTGTATTTTATTAGTTGTTTGAGTTTTTTTACTACACATACAGTCTGTTTAGCAACGTTCCTTTAGACGATTTACATGAAAACTTCTTATAAAATTTCTACGACAATTAAACATTTATTCAACATATGTGCAAAATCAAACAAAATAACAAGGAATCCTACTTAGATTCTGAATTGAGTTAAGCAGTGTAAGGTTTCGATATTTATATATAAATAGCTATTTAAGAAATCATCTTAGACATGGATTAATATGGGTAACGGTAAGTAATCAAATCTCAAAAAGCCGAAAGAGCCAATTGTTGGTCTGATCACGTTTATGTAGACATTAATGTTTAAATAGAAGATTTAGATTGAAATCTTATTAGTCATATTTAAAAATTAACTTAATTGTGCATTACCTATATAAAATATTTTCGCATACATATTAGTTAAGCCGTGAAATGATTTCCCCCTTTTTTGAATTTTGAATACATTTACCATACATGACATGACTTTGAAATTACATGGGACTTTTGGTGACCTAAAATTGGTCAAATATAACAAACAGCAAATGCATAAAAATACGTAGTTCTTGTAATGTTATAGAAGGGAAGTTATTTGCAGATATATATTGAATTCTACATATTTACATATATATTACAAAACGTTAGTGGTATCAGCTTTATGTCTGGCTTAAATGTGTTTCTTGCAGACATAATAAAAGGTATGTCTACAAGGATAAGCAACCCACTTCCAATTCTCGTCTTTCTTCGCTGCTGCACAGTTGTAATGTTTTCCTCCAAGTGGCTGTCCCTTTGCCCAGTTCTCGTTAGTAACTCTGGATCCATTGCTAACATAGACGTATACATCTTCCAGCTCGATATGTTTTACGGCAATCCAGACACCAACATCTTCTAAATGATCAATAACACAAATAAACTTTCATTCAGAAACAACAACATATATTTCCTATTTTGATGCTCAATTATTTTGAAAAGTTTGTGATACACAAGGAGAAATGAGATCCTTTAAAAAAAATAATAAATGTCTAGCTATGTTTAAAAACGTGGCTAGTTATAATTATTTTTAAAAATTAACCTAGCAAACACATGCCGATAATAACGAACACCAGAATCTCTTAACAATGTTTATGAAAGCAAGTGGGAAGAAAATGAAAACATTGAAATGATTTTAGATGGTTTTGTTAATTATATATTTTTTTCCGAAACTTACCTTCTTCTCTTAACTGTAAACCAACCACTTTCTCTATTTTTGTGTTTTGGTGTTCAGTTAGACTTGCGGTCTCATCTTTGCATGCTTTCTGTTTAATCATTGATGGAAAAACGCCAGTCATTAGATAAGGCGATTTAAACTTTCATTCAAACTTTTAATTAGCTCTTCTGAGCCAAAGGCTCAAAGAGCTAATGCTATGGCCATTTGTGCGGTGTGCGGTGTGCATCGTGCGGTGTGCGTTAACTTTTTAGAATATGGGCCATAACTCAAGAACCCCTTGGCCAATCATTGTCAAATTTGTCACAGGGTATCCTTGGCCCAAGGGCTACCATTTACACTAAAACTAGGGGTAGGACCCTAAAACAAGGGGAGATAATCAGGAAAATGAAACCAAAAGTACTGGTTGCTAAAAAATCCTCTTCTCCAGAACCACCAGGCAGATTTTCACCAAACTTACATACAAGGGTCGGCATATGTTGAAGATTAAAAATTGTTCAAGGCATGACCCTGGGGCAAAGGGCGTGGTCTCAAGGTCATTTCAAAATTGACCAAAATTTACACTTAATAAAAACGTTGATATTTTGCTTACTATAAAGAATAGGATCATCAAATCTTATAAGTTGATGCATCTCAGGACTTCACATCATGTTAATACAAAAGTAGGTCATGGTGACCTACTTTTTAGATTTTAAGGGCTTTTGTTTTCAAATTGATTTGGAGGCATATTTTGGACACTTTAACGCCTATGATCATAAAACTTTGTCAGTTGGTGCATCTTGGGTCCACAAACAACATCAACTTAAAAGTAGGTCATCGTGACCTACTTTTTTGAATTTTATGGCTAATCTTTTCTAAAACATTTAATCCCATTTTTTCAGACACCAAGAGGTTTAGAATCACCAAATCTTGTTAGCTGATGCATTTTAGGGCCTTAAGACATATCTATTAAAAAGTAGGTCACTGTGACCTACTTTTTCAACTTTGCAGGCATTTGTTTTCAAATTGTATAAAAGGCATATTTTGAATGCTACAAGATCTATGATCATCAAATTTTGTCAGTTGATGCCTCTTTGGTCTTCAGAAAATATCGACCAAAAAATAGGTCACTGTGACCTCCTTTTGACATTTTATGGCTAGATTTAATTATCTCGGGTACTTATTGGCTTAGAATCATCAAACTTTGTCAGTTGATGCATCTTGGGTTTTTGGAGATCGACGACCAAAATATAGGTCATGGTGACCTTTTTTTACATTTTATGGCTAGATTTATGTATCTCAGGTACTGATTGGCTTAGAATCATCAAACTTTGTCAGTAGATGCATCTTAAGTTTTCGGAGCATTTCCACCCAAAAAAAGGTCACGGTGACCTACTTTTGAATATCTAAGATACTGATTGGCTTAAAATCATCAAACTTTGTCAGTAGATGCATCTTGGGTTTTCGGAGAATGTCGACCAAAAAGTAGGTCACTGTGACCTACTTTTCACATTTTATGGATATATTTAAGTATATCGGGTACTTATTGGTTCAGAATCATCAAACTTTGTTATTTGAGCATCTTGGGTTCTTGGAGAAGGATCATTGAAAAATAGGTTACAGTGACCTACTTGTGACATTTATGGCTATATTTAAGTATTCTAGGGTACTTATTGGCTTAGAATTGTCAGACTTTGTCAGTTGATGCACCTTGGGTTTTTGGAGAATGTTGACCAATAAGTAGGTCAGTGTGACCCACTTTGAAAATCTTAGGATAGATTGTATAATTTATCAGAAGAGCGATTCAAGGCCCTTGGGCCTCTTGTTTTTTTTAAAGCCCAACATTTTTATACTGGATAAAATATTAATTTGTATTGCTCTACATAAAACAATGCTTACCAAAGCATCTTCAAATGTAACTCTTTTGGGAGAAATAAAGTTGCAAGAATTTTCTATGCGAATCCATCCCTTTTTACAAGCTATTCAAAAGAGTAAAATTTTTAGTGTGGCGAAAAATTAGTATCAACATAAAGAATAAATTATGAAAATATTGAATTAAAACAATTTTATTACTTGCAAGAATGGCATTTCCCGCGTATCCATGTCCATCGTTGTCACGTAGCCCGTAAATTATTACTCCAAAGGGTGACCCATATGTTGTTCTAACTTTCATCACACCACTTGGAACACTTAACGTCCATACGCTGTAGAAAAATTCACCCACTGAAATCGTGGAAAAATTACAGGTTTGGCTCTCGTATGGGTTCGTTTCATTTATTTCGAGGTACTCCGGAAAACTGTTTTTTAAGATAAAAGTGGCAAAACTAAAATTGAAATTTCCTGGTACAATGAGGTTGTACTCATTGAGATATTGATTTATTCCGGGAATTGTTATCATAAACGGATCACCGTATACATCATGCTCGACCGACGCATGGGCAAAACTATTAACTAGCAAAGGCCCAAGCCCCTCTATAGTAGCTATTTCATTTTCTCGGATAAAAAAATCAAATTTCTTATTTCTTGAAAGAATTGCTGATGTCTTGTTTCCGTCAATAGAATATTGAATTTCTGTTTCAAAGGGTGAAACTATGCGCAGTTGGGATTTGTATCTATGTACTAGCGGTGGAACGATAAATATCTTATCCAATTTTTCAGTTGGTGGAACCATTTCCATGAGCATGCTACATGATCCATACTCTCCCATTCTATTGCATGCGTTTCCTGCGAAGATTGCAACAGGATGAGATGCAATGATAGTTGTCCCCGACAAATCTGCATCAAGTCCCACTTGAAATGTCTGATACATATTCAATACAATTCTTATTTCGTCATCATTACCATACATCTTACCCTCAAATGTAATATTGGCATCTGTATCGATAACTAATCGGATACTGACTTTTGTATTATCTGTGTTTGCCGCAACTGTAAAATGACTCCCAAAACTACGATATTTCATTTTCGGTGAAGCGGTTGATACGACGTAGTGTGTTGAAAGTTTGTCAACGGGAAAAACTGTCGTACTATCGGAGTTAAAATCGATATCGTTCATGGACAAGACCGACGCCATGGATGAGACTGTGATTGCAATTGCCTTACTTTCAATGGCCAAATAGGAGGGAACCAACGAATTATGAACTTCAATCTTTTTTATTGTGGTATTTCCAGATCTTTCGCTAGATACAGTTATCAAATTGGAATTCTGATTTTCTGAGACTGTAGCGGTAATATTGAAATCATTCTCTGCTAAGACAAGTATTGTTCTGTTACTTTTCTTTGCGTGATTACTACTTTGAATAAAGCTAACCAGGAAAGAGCGCCCTCTGCTACCTGCAAAGACAATCAATATTAGGTATGAATATTTAAAAAAAACATTGCAAAAGAGGGTCTATTTAAGTATTCAAGCTAGAATAATTTTAAAAGAATACAAAATTTGAGCAGAGCAATTCCAGACCTCTAGAATACTATCGGAGGTGGAATAAGGTGACATGGAGGAGTTAACGTCCCATGTCGATCGGTTAATATTTGACATGAGCTCCTTGTCATGATCATGGAATGGCCATAAAAATCCGTCGATAATTCAGTTTGTAAATAATGGACAAAATAATTAGTATGAAATACGTCAATCAACACATAAATTAATGATAAGTTGTATTTGCTGACAAGACCGCTGTATTGAACATGGTACAAACAAAATAATTCAAACGTCCCTGATATTCTTGTTTCAGCAACTTGGTTGCCAGTAATTAATCTCATTTTGAAAATGGTTTTGCGTATCGAATCAACTGAGAGATGAAAACCTTATATTCAGGTGATTAAAGTATATTTCTGCCTAAGTAAGGGATGATGACAATTGAAAAAAATAAAGTTAAATTTGGAGTTAGTATTAAGGACACCTAATGTCTTTATTAAATGTATCCTTGAAATTTACTTTACAGTTACTGTAAGTTCCAGTGTTAATTTGACACTTTAACGTCCTAAAGACCAGATTTATGATAAAAGTTTGAAGATATACTTTTATTGTTAACTGTTTCGCATTTCAAATTCTTTTAATTAATTTCGTGCCTATCCTTGAAATATTCAGGCATTTCCTTTGGATTTCTTTATTTTTACAAAACTTACCTGTCCATGCTCTAAGTATTTCCTGCGAACTTCCCAGCTGACATTTCGTCTTTTGCTGTACATGTAAGGTATGCTGCTGATCTAAATTTGAAGATACAAATTGCAATCGATGAATTAGAAAGAAAAAAGTGCAATATATGCAGCTACATAGTGTTTATCTAATGTGCAAAACCAATATATGAAATATCGAATAAAATTGAATTATAATTACATCAAGAATGAAGGCCTTCGTTGCTAGCTAATTTTAAATAATGGTATTGTTGTAAAACAGTTCTTTTTAAAATAATTTAAGACAAGGAAACCTTTTATCATTCCTACATACTCGTATTTAAATGAATTGCATCATAACAGCACAATCAAAATCAGGTAATGTTTTCCTATAATTAGAAAGATTGCTCCACATAACATGTTATTTTCCAACTAAAGAAAGTTACATGTGTATCGCAAGTAAATTCCCAAGGTGCAGCTCTCGTTTATTTTTTTTTAATATTAGATTTCAACTTCAATTTCTCATTAATGCCTTCAACGGCGTGGACAGCTTAGAATTAAAAATTTCAAATGCTTAATTTTTTCAATGGTTTATTGGTTCTTTGGGAGATTTTTAAATTTCATTTCGAAATTCTCTTAATGTTAGGGTGTGTGGAGCCAAGATAAGCAAATTGAAGATTTGATAAGTTAAAAAAAGAAAACTTTACACATAAACACATACCCTCATACCCTTTCAGAGAGAGAGAGAGAGAGAGAGAGAGAGAGAGAGAGAGAATTGACACAGGTTTCAGAAAATGATATGAATTTACATATCATGCGATATAAAGTAGCACAAAAAGATAACAAAAACCCATGCATAACCTCACACAGTACTTGCTTTCATGAAAATTAGAGAAATTTAGCAAACAGTGCTTTTAGCAGATTTTCTTCAGGTGTTGTAAGATAACTAAATTTGGAAATCTCAAAATAGAATTATATAAACATCCAGAATTCTTTAAAAAATTATCAAATTTAAACTTTACAACTTTATTTAAAATTTAAAAATATATTGCAGCCCGGGGGACTGGGCTGCTCTAAACTTACGTTTAAGTTTAAGGTTTGAAGTATGGGGATTGAGGTGTGAGAAGTTATTCAGAATTGAAGGTTAACTACATGTATACATTAAAAAGATTGCGCATCAGAATGTTCGTTCCTGTTATGAATTACGATATACAAAATATACTCACTTCCATGAAGTACATCTTTAAATATAAATATATTTTTTTTAAATTTGATATACATGTATAAAGTTGTTTATCAATTAGTATCGAAAAACGACAGGTCCATTTTTAGAACATTAAACTTTACTTTTCGCATAAAAACATACGTTACACAGTTTGTGTTTAATTTCATTAAGTCAAATATATTTTTGCTGATAGGTAATCCATGTGTCTGAATTAATTTTAATTTATTATTTATGCAGCCAACAGTTAGGTAAGGAATTGATAAAGTTAACAAGTGTACAATTTCTGTTCGATTTTGATCCGACTAGAAGTTTCCGTAAATCTTCACTATAGTTTCAGTCATTCAGACTGATGTCGTTATCAACAAATCGAAAGGGTTGATGATAATTTCCATGGTTTACTTCATTTTTTTCTATCGACAATTGATGGCTTCATCAATTTTACCTGTCTAAAATTGTGCTAATTTTATGGTTCTAACACAGGAAAAATCTTAGCCATCCAGACTATTGCTTCGGCGCTGAGAATTTTAGAAAGGCCGAAGTTACTTTATTTTTGCTAATTTTATGGTTCTAACACAGGAAAAATTTTGGCCATCCAGACTACTGCTTCGGCGCTGAGAATTTTAGAAAGGCCGAAGTTACTTTATTTAGTCACTTTTAAGTAATCTATAAGTCGCTGTTTGGTTAACTAAATGGTGAAATTTCAAGAATTCAATTTTGCAACACTCTCGAAGTGGTAAAAGTAGACTAAAAAATTAATGGAAGTAGGTGGATTATTGCAGTTATACTAGCATTTCAATTGGAAAAATTCTGCATAGTTTTTTGTAATCCATTCATTAAGAACTATAACCACATTCATCTCCATCTAGTTTTTGGTAATTAAAAAAGTATTATAAATCGTCGACGTCACAAAATTGTATAATTTTTCTGCTTTTAAACACGTCAATACAGAGTTGTGGATTAATCAATTTACATCATTAACAATTGTTAAGAGAATAACATGATAAATGAATGGAATTGTTTACCTTTTCCTTGGTTCATATCACGGTAGAGCAACACGGTCACAACGATTAATCCCGAAATAATAACAATACTAAAAGGAATGTATATCTTTATCATGTGTATGTATGGCGAACTAGCTTGCTTTTTAAATCTCTCCTCTCTGGCAAATTGTTTTATTTTTGTTTCTTCTTGGGTATCTTCTTCCTCCGCAATGCACTTGAAAAAATGGTACATAGTTATATGATTAGCACAACAAACGAAGGTTTAAATTGTTCAAAGTAAAAAAAAGTGGTTAATAATAGAACAAACATTACTTTAGTATATACATGCGTCTCTCGTTGCCTTTCAACCTGGTTCTGAAAAGAAATTATTTTCATGAACCAAGGGTAATGGATTGTTCAAAGTAAAAAAAACGCGGTAAATAATAGAACAAACATTACTTTAGTATATACATGCGTCTCTCCTTGCCTTTCAACCTGGTCCTGAAAAGAAATAATTTTCATGAACCAAGGGTAATGAATTGTTCAAAGTTAAATTTGGTAAATATTTTAATGCAAAAAATCATTAAAAATTAAGATTTAGAAGTAAACTATATTTATAAATGAAAAGTTATTACACAGGGACGATTATTTACAAAAATATGGCACGACAGTCATGCACTCTGAAAAAGAAAACAAACGTGATTGTGGTTGGAAGGATATGGAGATAACGAACAGTATTCAATCTCAAAGTCCATAAAACAATACAAAATAGGAGCAAAGCAAACACGGACTCCCGAAACATCAGAGGTGGGATCAGGTGCCATGGAGGAGTGAGCATCCCCTGCCGACTGGCCACACCCGCCGTGTGCTCCTTGTCATGATCAGAAAATAACGGAAAAAAATCCGTCGTCAATTCAGTGTATAAATAATGGATAAACAATTGGTATGAAAAATGTCAGTCAGCATTTAACTCAATGATAAACTGTATTTGCTGACAAGGTCATTGTATCGACCGTAGAACTTACGAAATGATGACTTTAAACGAGACTGCTGATATTCTTGAATAGAACAAACCCCTCCGTATCTCCGTTAAAACAACATATGAAAAGATTTTCACGTCCTGACCTGGGTTCGAAAAAATACGCCATTCCTGGTTATTAAAAACAACTCAGGGCTTTACATAAGAAAAAAACTGAACTTAGGCACGCTCGAATTCTTAGTAATTCCATAGATATATTATCTCAAGTAGTTATGCCGAGGAAGCTTGCTTGGCACCTGATCCCCTCTTTAATGTTTTAGAGGTCCATATTGGCTCTGCTCCTGATCTGTATATTTTTAATTGACCTTCAAGCTTGAAAACTGTTTGTTATCTCCATATATTACATGTACATTGCGATCTGTTTCCTGTTGAAGAGGACTTTCGCTAAATTGCCTCAGAGTGTAAGGTTACACTTAAATAAAAAGGAATAGAAAAAAAACCCATTTATAATTATATTTACCGCATCTACATATATGTTTTCTACAGATCTTGTCAGATGAATTGAATCAGACACAAGGTAATCGTCACAGTCTGCCTGCTCGATAAAAAGATAAATCAACTTATTGTAAAAATGTCTATATTTTTAAGAAATAGAGCAATTCTACCAAGTAAAGCATACTTGAATTACATTTAATTTTAATTGATTTATAATGTCTAGATTTGGTAGTCTACTTCCTTTGAAACCATAGTAGAGTTTAGGTTTTTTTTCTGTGTTTTTTTTTTTTTTGTCAGTTTGTATCATTTACACCCCCCCCCCCAACGCTGCAGATTAGAGCTAATGGTTAGAGAGATAAGGTTCAGATTCAAATTTAGTTTTGGATTCAGATTACATTAGCTAGAAGGAAAGGTAGTATTGCCGATCAAATACTCTGAGATTGATTTTTAAAAAAAGATATATATTTAAAAAATGATACAATTGATTACAATTTGAGTTAACTTTTGAAAAAAGGAATAAAATCGAATCAATCATAGGAAAAATTTCAAATCTCTTTGCTGTATAAAAAAACATGACAACCATTGCGAACCAAAAAGGAATATCACATTTTCCCTAGAGACTCGTTAATAGATTTTTTTTCTCTTATAAGTTGGTTGGAAGTTACAGTGTATCTACATGTATTATTGTTATTCTATTTAGATATATTCTATTTTAAAGTTAAGTGAAGTCAGAAGGAATTTCAGATACACACAAATGTGCTTTTCTTGGTGAAATTTAAATTCTTATAGAACTATTACTTTTTTTCAGGTGCATAGCCAGGCTTACGTTTGTACGCAAAAACGTCCACATCATTTCATGGAGCGAAGCAGAGAGGGAGAGGCAGGCGAAATTTTTATGCTCTTAAATCATTTTATGATAGTAGACATCTCTATTTCTGAAATCATAAGATTTTCCTTGAATCTGGTTTACGTATTGCTGATTTTTTTCTAAGATATACATAAACCACTCCAACCGATTAATTTATCATAAGTATTTTGTCTCTTCAAAAGTCTAAAATTGTTTTAAGTGGGCTCTTCATATTACATGAACGACACAATGAATTGGGCATATCCTTTCTCATTTTAGAGTGTTTGTCCATATTTTGTTCAAAAAACAAAACAAACTTAAAAGTGTAAGAAAAATACGATCAGGGGGTCGAATATGCTCATCGAAATAGCTGTCGGGGGCATCGCCCTCTGGATCCTCACCAGAGCTTAACCACGGACCCATTGGGAACATTAGGCCCACAAACCCCCTACATACTCTTGCGTCCACATCAAAAGTAGCCTGGCTACGCCACTGAATATTAAAAACAAAACCCAAAAATTGAATTATCTCTCTCTTTCTCTCTCTCTCTCTCTCTTATCATCATTATTATTTACAAGTACTTACCATTGAGTCGCCGATAATGAATTCAAAAGCCTGTCAAAGTTCAACAATCAACATTTACAAAATGTCATTTATGACATATATTTATTCATAATTTTTTTGAAACGATTCCAAAATAAGGTAATGTATCTATTTGTTCTTTTATTTTCCTATTATTGCTTTTGGACTTTTCTATTTCTTTTGAGATATCTTTTGTCGTAAACTGTTGCACTGCAATTTATCTAAAATATAAATATACTCGGTTATGTAATAAATTGCATTTCAAACATTTTGAATATAAAATAATATTCTCTTTCTCGCTTACCTTTTGACACGAAAATTAATTTAAAAAATCATATATAGCTGAAACACCTTACAAGAGCCTTAACTTTTAGAAGAAAAGACAAAGCTGCTAAGCATAAATACCAAAAACTTCGATCACGTGACTTCCTTCTGTATCTCAGCCAATCATTGGACTCACGATGGAAACATACAATTTCCATGCACGTTTGATAATATGTGAGGGTGTCTGCTATAAATATAAAAAAAAGAATTGCTCTTGTGTCAATCATACCAATGGCAGTGGTATTTTTGTCAAAAGGTGGAGTGATTATAAATGTACAGTAGACAACAACAACACAACTATAGTTAACAGCAGTATAAAAGATTTTCACTTAAGTAATTCGCTTGTTAATCAGATTAGTTTTACTAAGAATTTCAGATTGTTTTATTTTATGTTAATCATTTTATAACTGTATTATTTCTATTAAAGCTCAAATAAAGTTACTTAAAGGACCTAAATATTCTCAAATTTAATGCAAAGGTTTTTGAATTTTAAAAGACCTTGAAATAAAGTTTCATATTGATATCAAAGCTAGAAGTTGGTATCGTATTATTTACCTTTCTCTTGAGAATGTGATCAATTGAGTTGTTTTAGAAATATAAGTGAAGCAAATTATAGAAGGGGCAATCTTACACAATAATCACGCTTTTCATTTTTCCTTATCAAGGACCCTTCATAGTCTAATTCTCTAGCGCCACAAACAAACCTCTTAATTACGCACAGTTTAACATTTTTCAAAGCATTTATTGTTAATTCATCCAATACACTGTAAGGCCCCATTGTTAAAAAAACAAAATATGCAACGTTTCACTCTTAACGATAAATTCAAATGAAAAAGAGTTTAACAAAATTAACAAGGTTTAAAAGGAAAACGATTTATTTATAAATTGTAGATTTATTGTTTTTTTTTCTCATAAGGGATACCAAATATCAACGCTACCACATAGAGGTGAAACATAGGGAAATAATTTGGAACGGCCGTATTGCTAGTATTCTTGTTTGGCCGTGTTACAGTAAAAACCATGAAATATATCTCAGAGATATTTATTATTCCGGATATAATGACTATGCTTTTATCTAGAAAAAAAGGTGCAAAGGGATATACCAGGGTATATTTAGATACTGAGATGGCGAAAGTATCGCGAATGGAAGTAAAATACTTCATAAACACACGTATCTTTAGATATAATGATAACACGATTTAAAATGTACAATGCAGTTCGAACAGGAAAACGAATACTAGCTAGGTTAGAAAAAAATGAAAACATTAAATGCGGTATTTATCGAATATTTTTCTTTAAAAAAGTTCATGTAGTTAATCGAGGGGAATCATATTTGTATGTTTAATTAAACACAAATGCGTAATTTCTAACTCACACATACAATCTTTTATTTTCCCCCCTATTATTTCAAAGAATCGTGCTTAATCAAACATATGCTAAACTGTTCAAAGAAATCCAGCCAAATATTGAGCATGCTCACTGTAGCACATTTTAAAATGTACAAATCAAGGTAACCATTTTTTTTATCATATGTCCTTTTCATCCATAAACATTCAAATTCAATTTCTAGTGTACATTGTTTTTTTGGTTTTTTTTTAGCATCCTGTGTTAAAAGAAATATATAAAAACATTTCCTGGAATTGTCGTGACTCCGGATGTAACAATTCTAATAATATTACCAAAACACAGAAGTATCGGGAAGTACAACGATATTCAATTACTTTGATATGTTTGAAGACATCACCAATAATGATAAAAATTAAACATATTTTTTATTCACACAATGTTTTGATTAAAATAAAAACGCACTTCACAGAACGACTTGTACGATTGTATATTTTTCATATAAGGAAGTAAAGGTTTTGTTTTCGTACAATCTCGATTATTTAAAACAATGGGAAAAATAAGATTAAGGGTCATAAACCCTCTGCTCATTATGAAATATTTTTTTTTATGAAAAAAATATATATGCTGAATAAAATACAAACAATTATAGCATGGCTTGCGGGGCAAAATTTAAAAAAAAGCACTAATGACAAATTTATAAAGGAATAATGCTGTCATTAAGAGTTATCTCTCTTATGTTTTCAATGTAAAAAAATTAACATATTTTATGATTTCCGTAAGTTTAAAATAAAGTTATTGAACATTTAAAGAATGATATGAGCAAATTCAGCAAATTTTAGAAGTCAAATGATTCAAATTCATTGCTTCGACATCTGTTGTAAATTTTACCACATTATACTTAGCTATATGTAGATCATTAATCTCCTGACTTTCGAAATTAAGAATTGTCCTTTTTTAATTCATTTTTTTATTAATAGGTTATATTAAATTCATTTTTTCTATATTTGATAATCTCTCTTATAACATGTATTAAAGTGATAAGTTGAAATTATTTGGTATGATTTCCGACCAAATACATTAAAATCGTTAATGAACATTTGAAGAACGATATGAACAGTTCAGCAAATACGATCTACCAGTACGTAAAATGCATAATAAGTTGTTTTGATTCAAATTTTTACTTAATTCGCTATATTTTAATCGACTTCATGAAGATTTTGTAATCATCAGCGACAATTTTTCAAACATATGTCTTATATTGAAATGACTTTAAATGTCTTTCTTGATAACTTATATGGCTTTGCTCCGTTTGACAAAAATGAAAACACAAGATTAAAATTTGATATAATAGTAATTTATTAATGAATATTTATATTTTCAAACATCAAAATGTGTGTTTTATTTCCCCAGTAAACAAAATCACGTGCAGGGCGGGATATTCAGCCAAGTTGACTAATCAGTATATTAAATATAAGATATGTCAGAGATGTTCAATTTCATTAGAACAAAAGTCTTCATAATATTGGTATTTAGGGATGTAAATAAACTAAAAAAAAAAATTGAATAGGAACATCTGATTATCAACAAAGATTTAAATACTTCTATTTCATTATGCTGAACTTGTCAATGAACACATAAAGTAATATATTTTTTTTTTTTAAAGAAAGTAAGGTATTCTACCTTGAATTAGCAATTTTGCACTTACAATTTTTTTTTTCATTTAAACATACCGAAAACGTTTTCGGTGATAGTGTTGTGTAAAGAGAAGCCTTTTGCTTCTATTTCCCTTTCCATTACATTAGATTAAAATCCTTTGCATAAATTATATTGGCAAAATATTAAACAAAGTAACACAAGGTTAGAATTTATAATCGATAAAATATGGAAGGCTCAAATTATTTAGTATACGACCATTAAAAATCGGAATGAATCGATGTATCATTAGATAGTATATTGTTGTTGTTAAATTTTCATTCGATATATTTTAATTTATGTAATGAAGTTTTTCTTTAACATGTTTCAAACATAAACATTATTTTTTCACTTTCTTATTCTGAACTTATATTAACGTTTGAAAGAGAATTGTATATAGGTACAGTAAAAAATTTAATTATATCGTGAATTATTTGATATTCAATTGTCATAGTTTTTTAAGCATGACATTTATTTTCGAAAGATTATATTTACATAACACCAGTAAACTGGATACTTTAAAAACATGAGATTTATACAAATAAAAAACTCGCCTTCTAAAATTCTTTGAAAGTGCTATTAGAATCCCTAAGTAAGCATGGTTTCAATGGAAAAATTCTGTTTATATGTATAAAATTCAAAACATCAGAAAATGTTTCTTGCGAATGTGTTGAATTATAATTGTTCGAACAGGGGGAATCTCTGGCAGCACTTCCTTAGCAAAATACTTTTTTTAACTTTACTTTTCACATAAAGAAGTTATAAAACCCCTGGGTAGTGTTTTTCTATTAACATATCGCTATTAATAGCAGTCCCGTGATGATGTGGTGGTGTACTTCTTGACTTAGAGAATATTTGTCTATAATCATGCAATGGTTATTAAAAGTTTACTTTTTATCAACGACTTTGATAGATTATCACACTCCATTTTCTCTTAAATTATCTTTGATTTTTATTAAATTTCCCGAGAAATGATTTGAATGCTTTTTTTCCCATACCCTTGATTAAAAATAGATTCTATAAATGGAATGACAACATGCATGCCAACACAACTCTTATCCATGTAGAAATAAGTATCCTGTATATTGGCGTATTTTTTCTCGTTTGTTAAGGACAGATGATATAAACAGGCATCTATTTTGTTTGTTTCGTCCTGGACATAATTTATCTTGTAAGTAGGGGGCAGAAATATGGTATAACATCCACCATAGACAGCAATTTATAAGATTTGTGCTTCCTTGTCATTGATCCTATCACAACACTATTTTTAAAAATTTCCATTTGAATTTGTAACATTAACTAATGAGGCAACGAGTTTCATTTTTTCTTCATTTCGTTTCAGTTGTTACGATGATCAACTGCAGTAATGTTTGTCATGGTGAACAGTTAATATTTCTGTCCAGTATACATGTACTGTTTTACGTCAAAATATGTTTTTGCATATATTTTGAATTTTTTAACCAAGTTTGCAGGATGACATTACTCAAACACGATAATTGGAATGCAAAGGATATTTTTATTCCGACTATACATATCAAATGTAGTGAAAATGAACAGAGAAGAAAGCACACAAATAACATGAAAAACACCAAGTCATAGATTATTATAGTTGATGAATACATTAACCAATCAATAAAGAGATACACACATAAAGAACAAAATGGATGTTGTAGCTTCTTTTGATATACTTGTATGATTATGATCATGTAACTTGATAAATCAGATTCAATTCTCTATGTTCTGTGAAGAAAGTACAGGATCATGAGTCAATATCACTTTTGGTCGACATCACATGGATTAGGCATTAAAGTTACGTCGTCGATGGCAATATCACCCCTGAATGATCGTCCCCTGACAGCTTGAATAACGATCTAAACAGAAAAAAAATAATTAGGTGAAACAATCACTTTTCAATGGAGATAACTGAAATATTGATAAAAATGGTATGATTTTTATCTTCGACAATATTCAATATTGACAGTTTTATAAGTAAAAATTATTTTTTTTGCATTACTCTCGAGGATATCAAAAATTGCATGTTTCCGAAAATTAATAAAAGTTCAGTTGTTTTGGTTTGACAATATTGTATCGTAAATTATAATAACAAAGAAATCGAGCACAAGTGTTGGAAACCTTCGTCCTCTCACTTCATTTAAATTATATCTTTCTTGACATTAAAAAATCGTTGAGAATATTTCTCAAAAATATAAACCAAGTTTTGCTACATTTCTATATATAATTTTAAACAGAATATAATTTTTGTACCATATGGTTTTGTAAAATTTGATTGATTGATTGATTGATTGTATGCTGTTTAACGTCCCTCTCTAGCACATTTCACTGATATGGAGACGTCACCATTGCCGGTGAAATTTTTATTATTTCAAATGAAAACTGATGGAGACCATGTTTTTTTCTGGAAAGTAATTTTTGCCCATTTCCACTTACAAACAATTTTGGCACCTACGGCCTTTGAGCATTTTTATATCTGCAAAACACATTGTGATGAGATTTCTGAAAAGTGATCTTTTTTTATAATCATTTTTAAGCCACACCTGCTGTGTCATTGACACGGGGCCTGCAAGATACGGTAATTTTTCTTATAATCCTTTGGGGAAAAAAAAATAATTTTCCAATTTCAAATGTTTAAGTGTTCGGATTTTTTAAAAACGTTTAGAAACTGGGTTAGAAATCAGAATGTTATTAAAATTTTGAATAATTTTCATACATTACGAAGATATACAAAACAGATTTTGAGGAACGTCTCGTCTGACCTTAATATGAATAACAGCTTTCAACAAATATCTCGAAGACGTTTCGGGAAACTTGATAACAAAGAAATTATTACCGGCCGCCTGGAGGCGGTCGGTTATTTGATATGAAAGTTTGAAGTCGTCGTGCGTTTCTGCGGATTTAAAACAATTTAAATAAAAAAATTTAACATTCGTAGACAAGCAAGGGGGTAGGGGGTAAATGTTTCATCCAGTCCTGATTAACAAACTCGACATTACGGAGATCCCCACGGTTTACAAGTATAAACAATTTTTATTTCTCTATTTAAACAGGATTTGTTGAATATATTTTAAAATGCTGTATATATATATATATATATATATATATATATATATATATATATATATATATTTCCGAAAGATATGCAATTTATTATCGTATGTATCTGGATCCAGGTCAATATTACGCTCTACTTTATGCCACTGGTCCCCTTGTGATCTTCTAACCGAAAATACTTTCTGATATCCATTATAAAACTTGTACGTATAAATGGAAAACGATCCTATGTCTCTTCCATACATGTGGTAATACAGACTCAAGCAATATGTTGTATCTTTGAAAATAAGAATAAGTAACATATAATTTTTATTACTTCAAATGAAAACTGTATACATGTTTTTTTCTTCCAGAATAAAAAGAGAAATACCGAATGAGTAATTTGTTCATACAAGAAGTAACTATGGCGGACGGAAGCAAGAAGAAACTTTCATGGATTGATTGTGTTGATCCACGTTAAAAACTGTTAATGTATCACTTAACCCATACGTACCTTCAAAAGCGACACCATTGTCAACAAAATAGTAATTTCCACGGCGCCTTCGGCCCGTGGCTTCAAAATAAAAATAGAACTGGCCTCCGTGTGCGGATGAAGGTCCTGTTCCTTGTGATGGTGTCGGTCCCTAAAATTTGAAAACAAATTTTTATGCAAGCTATTCTCGATCATTAAAAGACCACGTAGCAGGTGTAACCGATCGGCAGGGATGCCCACTCCTCCATGGTACTTGTTCCTACCTCTGATGTTTTGGATATCCGCTTTTGCTCTCCTCCTACTCTGTATTATTTTTGGACTTTTGATCTCGAAAACTGTTCCTTATTCCCATATGTTTCATTTGAAAAATTGTTTTGATCGCGGCTAGTGCAGGTTATGTATTTCATTTTAAAGGCCATCACTAGTAGATGGTGATTTCTCTATATCTGTCATTGAGTTTTAAAGATTTTCAAGGATTAAAAGTACTTTATAAGACAGTTCATATAGATATTTTGAATCAATTTGAATTATAGAGCACTGTTTAAATACATGTATAAAAGAAATATGCAGGAGAATTTACTTCTCCCCCGGTGTAAACTACCGCCTTTATTCAGATATTATTGAGTTCAAAACAAACGATTCTTAATTTGAACGGTAGGTTTGTCATATCATTCAAAACTTTTCCTTAATATAAATCTACTATAAAAAGTGACTGAATCAAGCTTTTCAAGAGAAAATCATTGTTTCGTAATTATGCCCTCCCTTTCCCATCAATAGCGTTGTTTTCTAAACACTTCTCAAAAAAGAAGGTCTCTACTTAAGTTGTAAATTAAAGGTGCATTGACACAGATCTGAAGTTAATATTTTCTGTATAATATCACGATTTATCTATTTTTTTGCATTTCATGCAAAAATATATTGACAATTTCATTTCATCTTTAAGTTATTGAAACTTTAAATTTTTGGATTGGTTCGATTGACACGTCCTGTTGTGTATTAATGACAAATATTAAAACTTTAATCCAGAAAAAATAATTATATTCAGATTAGAAATGTTTGAAAGCAAAACCCCTTCAAAAGTATCGTCATTCGGCACTAAGTGTAGTGTACAGAGTTTAGCAAATTGATCATACCCGGGAAACGTAAACAGTTTTTGTAAACAGGGTACATGTATAAGCTCTGTAATTGTTGATGTTTACAATTCACGGGTGTGTTCAATTGTTAAAGTCTTCTCACCACAACTGCTTTGACTGACAATATACTGGGTGTATGTTTTCTACTCTGAATTTTTTATATTATAGTTTTAATATTTTTTTTCATTTATTTGAATTATTTCTCAAGATTGCCACTTTTCCTTAGTATTAGGAATAAAATTAAAATCTGTGAAAGTGCGAGGACGTGCAAATCTAACCCGTCTAAAATTTTAAGTTCTACTAACTTTCAGATGAAATAAGTTTTTCAATATATTTTTGTGTGAAATGCTATAACGAAGATAACTCAAGCTAAAAAGTATATTGAAGCAGCACAGAGAGGGATAGGAGCAAACACATACTTTTAAAAACATGAAAGGTAGGATCGGTGCCATAGAGGATAGAGAATATCCTCTCAACCGGTCACACACGCTGTGACACATTACCTGTCTTCTAAACCAGTAGGAAGAGGGATCATTTGTATCTAGGAAACATGCAGGGTCATTCTCCAGTTCAAATCGACAGGAACGACCTGCAAAAGTAAAATAATTTCAAAAAGCATGGATATAACATATGATAGGAATATGTGAAGTTATGATGCAATACTAGACCTTTGCAATAACAGTTAGGAAAAATGACTTTTATTGCCCTGACATTTTTATTACGTTTTATTTCACTAAATAGATCACAATGTGTTCTGAACTTCAATTCATTACCAAATGGGTTGAAAATAGCAAGTATAATCAGAAATAAAAATACAATATATGTTTAATTGGACCGCATGCATAGTTATTGCACCAAACTTATTCAGGAACACCAATTACTTGTGTAGGAATGAGGGAAAACTTTGTTCTCTTGAGTAGGAAATCTTCTGTGTGAAAAAAGTTAGCGAACAGCACGTGTCTCATTAAATTAAAAAAAGACGAACAATTCAATTCTGTAACAGAAAATTCGAACTTTCACAAGTAGAATCTGGCACCGTGAAGAAGTAATCATTCCCTTCCTATTGACGGGTCACATCCGCCGTGAACTCCATGTATAGATCTAATACAGTCTGCCCCACATACATCAACATGCAGAGCAGAAAATCTGACTTGCTTGGACTTAGTCTTTATTTCCTATTAAAAATCTTAAAGAATATTACTACCAATGTCTTATCTGTATACAAGAGCTGAAATATAGTTGCCCTACCTTCACAGTTGTCGCCAGGAAATCCTCTGGGACAGCTACAACTATAAGGGATATATCCAGTCGGGTTTTCTACGCATGTCCCGCCGTTCTGACAAGGATTGTCAGCACAGGAAGTGGAATTTCCACCGTCAATCATATCTATGATACAGGAATTTATCAGTAAGAATAAATAAATATTAAAGAATGAAATATCCCTAAAAAATTAAACTTTTGTTTCAAAATACTGTGGAATCATTTTGATTTGTGGGGGTCAATGTTCGTGGGGAAGCATATTTTTTTTGGTTTGTGGGGACGAAATGTCGTGGATAAATTAAATATACAGACGATTAAATAAAAAAAATACGTTTATGAAATAAATGATCGTGGGGATGTTTATTCCTGGATAAGGATGACCCATGAAATCCACGAACATTTATGATTCCACAGTGGGCAGGACGAATACACAGTGTAAAAACAATGGAGAAACTTATAATGATAAGGAAATTTAACGTCGGAATACTCAGTGTGACGGATTGGAAAGTTTTTGCTGCATTCATATAAGGATTTGCTGTGCATTTCTTTTAACAATCAAAAAAGTTCTTGTTTTTATTTCCATAATTGACATAACTTATTTTAATTTTTTAAAGTACTGAGCATTTGAAGGATGCAAATGTTGTATCAAAATGACACATAATAACGTTGTAAAAGGCAGCATTTAAAATTGCAAAAAGGCTATTCTTTATAGTTAAAAGCAATGCCTGTAACACTCATTTTTTTAACAAGAAATAAAAAGTTTGCCCACAAAAATGATACTTAGTGATGTAAAATGCATATGAAATAAAGACAGTATAAAAAACTTTAAAATATGTATTCGTAGAGTATATTATCTTCGATGAATTAAATTGTTTCCCAAAATTGTGTAAAATTCTATTACACTGATATATTTTATAAAAAAAGAATTTGACAAAATAGCTTTAAAATACCATTATTTATTTTGTCAGTTGCAATATTTCTCCCTTACAGATAATTATTTAGTTTTCAATGGTAGAAGTAGAACATTAAAAAAAAATAAATATGGTTTTAGAAATTCCTAAACTTACATGCTTTTTAAAATATGGTTGTTTGTCCTCTCCCGACTAAGGACAAAAATACTCCAAAGGTAGGAAGAGGGATTTTTTTTTCAAGAACATTTATGAATATTTTGTTAAACTGGGTGTTAATGGGACAAAATAATATATATATTGTTTTATGGAGGTTGAACAAATTTTTTGGCATTTTGGTATTTTTTTTTCGGGAAGAGTAGTTATTCATATATGACCTTACCTGCACAGGTAGTTCCTGTGTAGCCTATGGGACATTGGCATTGGAACGAGGTAAAACCGGGAAAACAAGTTCCACCATTAAGGCAAGGAGAATGTGCACAGGAATCTGTTGAAGCTGATACCGGAAATTAAAAAAAGAATTTTTAAAGTATCATTTTAATTAGATTTTCTTGTGTAAAAGAAATTAAGCTTCTTGCAAAAACGGTCCATACACAACAGATTGGAAATCTTTTTTAAAGGCGGAAATAAACGGAAAATAAATAAATTTGAAGATTAATAGCAAATTTATTTCTTAACTTAATATGAGTGATTTTACACCAGGAATAGTTACTTACTTTCACATCTTGTTCCAGTAAAACCCGCAGGGCATTGGCATATTGATGTGGTAGCGCCGGAAATACATGTTGCACCATTTTGACAGGGGTTATTGGCGCAGAAATCTATGGAAGCTGAGAAAAGAAACATTCAATTGAAATAATTTAAGTAGCCTTTTCCCGAGATTTTTCTTTAAAAATCTAAATATTCATAATGTAATTCATTTCTTTACTCAAAGTCAATATTTTTCAATCAAGAATGGGTATATATGTACTTACTTTCACATCTTGTTCCAGTGAAACCCGCAGGACATTGGCAAATGTATGTTGTTGTTCCGGAAATACATGTTGCGCCATTTTGACATTGATTAACATCACAGTAATCTATCGAAACTATGAAAAATACAAAATCGGTTGCAATGTTTTGAGTAGCCTTTTCATCTCGGTTTGCCTTCTTAAGTATGAGTATTCATGATGTTATTATTTATTAATTCAATCTATAAAATTCAAAACCAAGAATGAGTACTTACTTTCGCATTTGGTCCCAGTAAAACCCGAAGGACATTGGCACGTGTACGAAGTAGTGCCAGAAATACATGTTGCACCATTTTGACATTGATTATTGGCACAAAAATCTGTCGATGCTAAAAGCAAAATTTTCATAAGAAGACATCTATGGTAATTAATAAAATAATAAAATTGGTACCCCAATACTTACTTTCACAATTGGTTCCAGTAAATCCCGTAGGACATTGGCATATGTGTGTTGTAGCCCCGGAAGTGCATGTTCCACCATTTTGACATGGATTGTTAGCACAAAAATCTATCGATGCTAGGACGCAGAATTTTAATTAGAAATTTTAAATGTAAAAACATCAATTAGAGATTTTAGAATTCAAATTCAAGTACAGGCACAAATATTTTGAAATATTTATAAAACAAAATGTGACTTAGATTACTCGGCAGTTTTACAATAATTTCTGAAAATAAGATTGGACAATAAATGAATCATTTTAATGGGAAACAAAAACGTACTTTCACATTCGTTTCCAGTATATCCAGTAGGGCACTGACATGAGTGTGTGGTAGTGCCAGAAGTACATGTTCCACCATTTAGACATGGATTGTTAGCACAAAAATCTGTCGAAGCTTAAAATTAAAATTAAATAAGAATATATCTTTGGTAAATGATAAATAAGATATGTTTGTGAAACACTATGCGCATGGCCACAACAAAGTTTGAAAAAGGTATATTAAGCGTATACATGTAGGTCACATTCAAGGTCACAAGGTCGTTTATTCTGGTGTTGTTTGAAGGTACGTAATTAGCAGAGTATTTTACATGTACCAAATATGAAGTTTGTCTCTCACGGTTCAAAAGTTATGGTGAAAATTAAAATTGACAACAGACAGACAAATAGCGAAACAGATAAACAGACAATGAGACAAACAGACAGCCAGGACAAAAACAATATACATGTTTGCCAAAATCTATCGATCTCGGCGCATAAATATAAATTTGGTACCAGAAAACTTACTTTGACAATTGCTTCCAGTATATCCCGTGGGGCATTGGCATGAATGTGTGGTAGCCCCGGAAGTACATGTTCCGCCATTTTGACATGGATTATTGGCACAAAAATCCGTCGATGCTTAAAGCAAAAAGACAAGTTAGGGTAATACAAGTATTTGGCCCCCAATTTTGGGTGTCTTTAAGAATGATCCAACAGTTTATCCATAAAAACCTGTTGTCACCCCTCCTACAGAATGAGTATTGGTTCTAAGATTTAGAATATGAGGTCACAGTGAGGTCAGGAAAGAGGTCAATTTTCGAAATTTCCCATTTTTATGCAAATTTTCATAGCTTTTACAACACATTTTGTTTCGCAAAACATAGAGCACACGATTCCCTATCTACCAAATTTATATATTTCATACACTAATATCAAATGCAGTTGATGTGTAATAATCTTAGATAGGCAAGCTTGTGCTCTATGTTTTTCGAAGAGAAACTATTTCAAACATAATGAAATTCCACCAGAATTGAGGATATTCTGGAAAATGTCTTACTTCTGCACCCTGTAGTAGCTTCCATGTAAGCTTTGAATCTAAATTAGTGCTTCTTTTAAAGTAAGCATCATTTTTACATCTTACAATGTAACAAACAAGGTACAAACTATAACAATTTTACCAGTGTACTGATATTTATATCAAATTAGAGGCGATATTCGGCCGTTACCCTATCTTGTCCTTAAATAAAAATATATCTATGGTACTAAAAAGGAAATTGGTACTAAACACTTACTTTCACAATTGCTTCCCGTAAAACCCGTAGGGCATTGACATGAGTGTGTTGTAGTGCCGGAAGTGCATGTTCCACCATTTTGACATGGATTGTTAGCACAATAATCTGTCGCTGAAACTGAGATCATTAGTTAATTTAAAATACATTTTAAGCAGTTTTTTTTTTAATTTTCCTTTTAAAAATTGACTTTTTTTAGCTGGATTAGCATTTGATTAATATGAAAATAAATATAACTGGATTATCATGTGATTAAATACACCATACACCATACCCCCCCCCACACACACACAAAATCTTTATTCTATATTGACATGTTAAAGTGAAAAATACCTCTGCTTCACATTACATTAGTTTCATTAATTCCAAACATTGATTTTCATCAATACTTTAGCATTAGTTTCATATTTACAGAAGTTTGAAATATTAAGTGTTGTTTACTTTTTCAGGAATGAATCATATGCCTTATTATATAAAATGAAGATTATAGTAATCATAAACATCTATCATTTCAAAATAGATTCAATTAAATAAATTCGCTGTAAAATGGTCCTGTTAGAAGTATTCATCTTTGGCAAGACAATTCATTGATTTGCTTGAAATATTTTCCTCGGAAAGTTTAATCTTTTATCACAGGGATATTACACCTTCATTTAAATTGTATTTAATGATTAGTAACATATAATTAGCATTAACAATATGAGAATATCTTAATATAGAAAATCACTTTGAAAAAATAAAATCAATAAATTCTGGATCATCTTTTGAAGAAATCATAAAAGCTTCTAATTATTAAAAAGAAATAAAAAAAACCGTATTTTATCTCTTAATTTTGGAATTGTAATCAGACTTTGTTCATCTGGTATCACAATGAATAATTGGAATATTATACAATAGACCTACATTCACATCTATCCCCGGAGAAACCTGTGGTACAAGTACATGTGTACTTTCTTCCCGTGGGTGGGCTGGAATCATCACAGGATCCGCTATTAAGACATGGATTCGGATTGCAAGGAGTGTTCGTACCTGAATTTAAATAATGATAAAAAAAATATGAGATTTTATGAAATATTCGATATTAAATGAAAGAACAATGAAAAGTGAAACTGTAAGTAAAGTGAAAACATCTTTTCTCGAACGTCAAACCAAAGCCTCATTTACCTTGTTTATGCCTAATATGTGTATATTAATATTTTTTTTATAATCACGCACAACCATAATATCTGTATGTATAAACACATGCAATTAATCTAAATTTTTAATTCAAAGTTTCAGCAGTAGAACAAAAGCGAAAACTTATTGTGCAAGACAAATAAATTAATTCCTGTTATATAAAATTTTAGAGATAACTTTTGATGAAATTTACTTTAATTGTGCTAGTTGCTCAAATTAGCAATACTATACGAGCAAAACGTTGTGATAAAAAATATTTACTTACACAAACCCGGACGAAGTGTAATACTGTCCACTCCTATTAACTGTGGTCCTATTATTCCTTCTATACTAATCTGTGATATAAATTTATTTGAATGTTTTGCATTACTGTGAAAAAAAATTCCATTGTTATATTTCAATGTTAGTACCTTAATTAATTATGATATTCATTTAAAAATTAATTTATTAACTTATAGATTTTTTTTAACGCTTTCTACATTGAATGAATAAGTAAACTATATAAAATCTAGCAAAGAAAAAAAAATCACGAAAAGAACAATAAGTAAAGAAATAAAAACAAACTTTTTAATCATTAGAATTTATGTCAAATTTAGAATATGTATACCACTAGATTCTCTACGGCCTCGATGGACACACTTTCACTTCTCCACTCGTAATTTGTTGTTTCCTTGATACTTTTGACGCTTGTTTTTGACTTTCCTGTTCCTTCCACGTAAACGTTCAGCTGAGTCAGATAGCTACCCTCATTAAAATTCCCAATGGCATATTCAAAGGATAGACATCGGTCAACAGCTATGGAAATAAAAAAAACATATTTATATAATCTAATAATCTTAATTCCTTCGAAATAAAGAAAGTTGTTGTAGTATTTAAATACAATTATTTAAACTCTATATATTTTAACTGTATTCAGGATCACACATTAACACTAGATATAATGAGTGTTATTCACGGTTTTTAGGTATTTTTGTCAAAAATGACAGAGAAACTAAAAATACTATATATATATCATAATTTGTACCCTTGGCAGAATGGATTATTAAGGGCATATTAAATATAATATTTGATTGTCCCTCTTCCGACTGAGTATAAATTATTGGGTCGGTAGAAGGGTGGTAAAAAGGAGAAAATTTTAGCATATTTGTTGACGGATTAAGAAGAAAAAAGAACAAATTGTCCAGAAACGTAAAGAAAAAAATCGAGTCGTGCCATTTTTAGTCCATTGATCGGGAAAAGAACCAAATAATCTTAAAGATGGCGTTACCTGTGAATTTTGCAGTTGTTTTGATGATGGACTTTGATCCATAGGTCCATTGAACACCGTCATAGTACGGCGTAAGAGTAAGATATTGGTAATTAGTACCACGTGTTAGGACGCCATTACCACACCCTCGCCAGTCACACAGTTTCTAAAAAAAAATACCAAAGATATACAGTGGAGTCTGATTAAGTTGGACTTTGATAATTTGCTTGATTCATTTTTTTTTTAAAAATTTTTCTCAGCTTCGCCTCGATTGGCAAAGGTTTTCGTGGGGTGTTCAATGTTACACTCAAGTACATGCAATATTTATATAGTAATCATATTATCTACTAAGACTAATTTTTGAGCAGTAGGTCATCAATAGATTTATGAGGTTCATACCAATTATAAATAATGATAAATATTTAATCTACTCAATCCTCTTTAGATGATTATATGCTCAGATAAAAATATAAAAAAAAATTCTTTGTTCGTTATGGTAAAAAAAAATTCAGATATCGCAGAAAAAATAACATAATCATGCTCCATTCAAGTACCAACAACCAACAAAAAATTCCATTACATTACTTACAGTATTAAAGCTCCACCTGATGTCAGAAGAAGCAGAGCTATCCTGGTCAAAAACACACGTTCCGAAGTCCTCCTCCATATTGCATTCATTATAAGCCGGGGCTAAAATAAAGAAAATTATACTTTTTGGATAATCTGTAGATTTGTGCTGTAATATACTTTAATAAGGAAATGGAAGCAAGTAACGGTGCAAAATATCATAAAAAGTGAATAAAAACTACGAACATAATAAAAATTGACACAGAGCATAATCAGGAACACTTTAAAAAGTCAGGTTGGATCTGGTGCATTGATAGCATTAATTTGCAAGATATCTCTAAATGATGTTTATTATTTCTAAAGGATATTTGTTTGTTTTGTTTGACACTGTATATTTTATTTGAGAAAAAAAGGTGAAAAAAAATATTGAGCACGTTTTACCACTGAATTCGTCACAATTGGTCCCTGACATTCCATTTTGACAGGTACATGTGTAAGATCCGCCCCCGCTTCCTTCAGTACACAACGAACCCGTCTTACAAGGCGCACTCATACAACCTGTCGGCAAAAATAGTATGTACTGTAATTGTTGTCAAGATAGTACTGGACTAAAAATAAGCATGTACTCATTAATTACGTGGCCTGAAGTTTATAAACATGCAATTTATGTCTATATGTGTTTATTTTTGCCTCGATCAAGATTCGCTTTTTCACAAATTCTTTAAATTGATTTCATCTACCAGTTAAAGTGTAAGAGATGAAATAATTTACAAGTATCGATGTCAAAAGTCCATAAACAATATGAATATGGCAAAAACGGATCCCTGGAAACTCCAAAAGAGGGATCAAGTGCTTAGACGGAGTAAGCATCCCCTGTACACAGGTCACGGTGAGTATTGGTTAAGGAGACATGCTTTCACTATTATTGACATATTTTTCATCAATGTTAAAAATAAATTTCACCAAAAAAAAAAAAAAAAAAAAAAAAAATTCCCTCGAAAAGTTTGAAATAAATACACATCAAAAGCCTCACAACAATAGTTTATGATTTATCTTGAGTTATAACAACAACAATGAAATGCCATAAAAATAAAATTCTGAATGAATATGATAAAATTCATGTTTACCTGATTGCATGGCCTCTACTCTTATTGTAAACCCTGTCCCGGATGTTACGCCATTCTTACTATTGAATCTGATCATGAAAGGAGAGGATTCCCCAATGTTTGCTTGAGTGTACGTTTTTGCCACGGTAGACTTCCCACAAAGCCTAAAAATAGGATATACTCATATAAACAGAAAAATGCAACATACAATCCAACTGTCTAGTGATCCTCGTATACTCGTATTTCTTCTGTTAGGTTTATTTTCTAGAATTAGTAAATCCTATTTTATTATCAAAAATTAATATTGAAGCTTGAATTGTTTAGCCATATTTCTCTTTGTTTTTTGTTTGTTTGTTTGTTTGTTTTTTGCTTGTTTTGTCTGTTTTTAAATTGATATGAAAACTAATATTTTCCTAAATCAGTTCATATGAAATTAATATTTAAAAAAAATGAAAAGTTAAACTTAATTATCTTGAACCTGATATATCAAATGAATATAATATACCGAAACATTAAAGTTTGAGATAAAAACGTTAATGTTAAAATTGAATGAACAAACAGTGATCAATCCCATACACCACGTTAACAAATGAAAACAGGATGTGTTTGTGAAACACTATGCACCCCCCCCCCATAATTTTAGCATATAGGTCACAGTCAAGGTCACAAGGTCATTGATCTTGATGTCCTTTAAAAGAGATTAATCAGTGGTGTACGCATACCAAATATGAAGTCTCTATTTTTAATGGTTCAAAAGTTATGGCGAAGGTTAAAGTTTGCAGAAAAAAACTACTTTTATCATATAGGTCACAGTCAAAGTCACAAGGTCATTGACCTTGGTGTCATTTGAAAGAACTTAATATGTGGAGTATGCATTTTAAATACGAAGTCTCTGTCATTCATGGTTCAAAAGTTATGGCGAAGGTTAAAGTTTGCAGATAAACAGACAAACAGATAAACAGACAAACAGACTGCTAGACTGAAGGACAGACAGACAGACAGGACAAAAACAATATACGCCTCGGATCTTTCGATCTGGGCGCATAAAAAACTGAGCAAGCTCACATACCCCACACTCCCTTAATTAAAACTCGAAGTGCCGAAATTCCTGGGAAAAATAAAAAAAAATCGGAATTTCCTGGCAATATGCACATCTACACATTATGTCCTAAATATCTGCAAAGTTTGACGAAGTTGTGTGCGGAGTTTTATGAGGAGTTGCGCTGACAACCCGTAAAAAAGAAATCGGAATTTTCTGGTAATATGTACATCAACATATTGTGTCCTAAATATCCGCAGAATTTGACGAAATTGTGTAGTGCAGTTTATTAGGAGTTGTGCTGACAAACTGTACATCTCTATATTCAAGATATGGCGTAAAATCTTAGTTGAAAAGTGCGGAAATTCATAGGAAAAACAAAGGAATCGGAATTTCCTGGAAATATGCACATCTACACTTTGTTTCCAAAATACCTGCAAAGTTTGACGAAATTGTGTGCAGCGGTTTATGAGGAGTTGTGCTGACCAATAAAAAAAAAAAAAAAAAAAAAAAAAAAAAAGAACTGACGGACTGACTGACTGACACACGGACGGACGGGTCAAAAACATAATACCTCACGCAACGTGTTGCGTGGGGTATAATGAAATTATTAATTTGTCAAAAACGTAGATTTTGGATCAGCAGTTTTGTACAGAATATAAACAGGCAATGCCATACTCTTTTCCGGGGTCTCCGATAAGATAATCACGAAACTCCAACCAATGCTGACACTCGTTTTGTGAGGTGAATGGCAGGTCAACCGACGTCACTGTGGCTTTTATGATTGAATTCGCTTCAGCCTAAAAGAAAAGGAAAGCAAATGAATATTAGAATTGTGGTACAAAAATTAAAATTGTTGGTTTATTATGTTAGATATTCAAGTATAAGTAGTACATATATTTTCACACTTATACATGTATTCGTATGACCTATCCATTTTTTATGGAATTTGAAGTGAAAAATATTTGTATAGATAAACAAGGATGATTTCAGAAATTAAAAAATTTTAACATCATAGAAGGTTTACGATTTCTTCATATTTTAGAAATATATTTATTGCATCATTTGCAGAAATAAATCCTGAGGTGTATATCAATCCTGATGTCAATTTTTTGTTTGTATTATCTTACCGTAAAGTAGAATATTTTTGTAATATCTTCAAAACAAAATAACCAAAGAAATATGCATTGTACTATTGTGACAATTTTTTTTTATTTGGTTACGATGATAATAAGTATTTATACCTTCACAAGCCATGTGCATATTTTTCCAGATGTGTATGACGTCATTTTAATTTCATCAGATCCGCCATTCGAAAGGTTAATAATGCTTCCGCATTCTACATTGAAGAGAATATACATGTATCAACAAAATCGATTCTAAAATATACCTCATGTTCAGCAGCGCTTCAAAGGGCATTTGGTGACTTTTATTTAATCAGAAAAATATTCTCGAATGCATTTGAATTCAAAGGGAAAAAAAGATCTTCAGAATTAAAAAGAAGATTCTTATTTATCTTTCCTTCACACCAATAGCTTATCAAATTAATTGTTACGATGTTATCAGCAGTTACATTTACGGATAAAAAATACAAAGATAAAAAAACAACAATCGGTACAATTCTGTTAACAAGAAATATAAGGAGAAAGATCAGATGTCTTGGGGGAGTAAGCATCCCATGTTCTTTCATGCACACGTATAGCTTATCAGACCTATTGTTACGATGTTATCACCTGAGTCAGTGTCTAGTTGTTCACAGGTTGTTCCCTTTAGTCCTGTTGGACAGTGACAGCTACACGATGCCTGGTTTACCGCCTGTTTTCTGAACCCTTGATTTTGACAGGAGAGAGTGCAAGTATCTAAAATGAAAAAGTCAAGAAATATTATTATTGTCTTCAAAAATCTGTACAAATTTAAAATGGAAATGTATCGATTCATTTCCCCTCAACCAGTAAATCCAATTCCTCGAAATTTATTTTTTCATCATGTCATTTTAATTTATCCCCATGAAAATCAATGATCTTAAAATTTATATAAAGAAGGCAAACTAAGTATATATAGATTAAACTTGAATGGGGTATGAAAGAATGAACAATCAAACAATCTTATTTACACACCTGATGGGCAGCTGTAGACCTGATTGACCTCTGCTATGTCGTAAAAAGAGAACGTGTATTTACTGTTGGAAATCAGATATTCCAGATCCTGGTCAGGAATGACCATTGTTGCTTTTGAATTTGAGGAGAATGCCTGAAATACATTAAGCACTATTGAGGTGTACATTTAGGACCAATAAAAAAAATCATGAAAAAATGGAGATAAGGAACACTGACTAAGATAAATTCTTTTATAGCGTAACCCGTAGAATACTATAAAATCATATTTTCGTGGGGTCACGTTTTCGTGGTTTAAGGAAAAACTCTTGGTTCGTGGGAATTTGAATTCATGGATGAAGAATTGTTGCGTAGTTGTTTATGTAACATTTTACATTACGTGGTGGACATGAATTCCAGTGTCTCTTTATACCTCGAACACAACGAAAATTAAACCCCAACGAAAATTTATGATAATACAGTAATAATGTGCTGGATGGGACATTTTACACTGCATTATGATTAACAAATTTATCAAGTACTCAACAAAATGAACTAAAAAATGTATGTGTCCACTGAATTTTATCATTTACTATTATCTTTCCTTTTTTTTGAATATATATAATGTTTTTCTCACAATCCAGAAAAAAAACTAGTTTTTGCTTCCTGAATGTACTTTCAAAAGGAACATGTCTCAGATTTCCACAACACTTGAGTTTTAAATACGTTAGCATTTTGATATACTCACAGTTAAGTGGTACTGCAAGATGGATTGATAGTCGTAGATTTCTCTGTTTCCCGTGTGTTGACTTAGGGCGTACTGGTCGTTGTAGTTAGATTCTATGTTCTCCCAGTTGATCTTGACGAAGTATTTCCTTCTGTTTCTCTGTTGTTCGTGAAGACCCCCCATAGCATGATGCATCTCATGAAGAACGATATATTCCTGCAAAATAGAGTAAGATACATGTACACTGTTTATGCCTATACATGTACAAGCAAACACACTTAAACGAATTCACAAATTCACAATTACAGTTTTCATTTCCCGTAGATTTGGATAAAAAATATTGGTGATCTGAAAGGATTTAAGAATATCATTTAACTTGGTCTCATGCACTTTGTTTATGTGTTAGCATGTTTTGTTGTACGTTTTTGATAGAGAAAGTACGAGTTGTAATAATTACGTGTTTAATGCATCGAACTTGAATAAATTGACTAAATAATGGTTCGCATGGTTAAACTTTTAAGACAATTCAGGCTTGGAATTGCATTCTTTATAAGTTTCCTCCCTTACTAGAGGTTCTTTCCATCTTAAGAATTTTCAAAAGATAAAATCAAATAAACAGTTTTTTTTTGAGATGTCAAAAACATGAACAAAAAATTGTGATAAAAACTCACATCTAGGCAACCTGAACCCAGGTTAACTGGTTGTCCTCCTGTCTGTTTGATGTTCCCAACATAGGACCAACATCTGTCAGTAGAAAAGTTTGTTATTAGTTTGATTTTAAGGTTTATCTGGTAAGAGAGATAAGTCCTAACGACATAATGTCTGTAAGTCGTTTATAGCTTTTGTTAAGTTGAAACGCCTTTCTTGTTTAATTTTGCCCCGCAAGCTGTAATATAATTTTTATATTATACGTATATATATAATACATTTCTTTTCAAAAATCATAAAAGCTAAAGCAGCATTTTATATTAGTGAGCAGAGGGCTTACGAATCTTAAATTTTGCATTTGTCCATATCAGTTCACTATTATTCAATTTATAAAAAGTTTCTAAATCACAAAAGGTATCCAACACTTGCACTAATTATTTCATTAGACTTATAACCCTATATTATCTTGAAATTTTCTCCATATATGTTTATTATGAAACAATTTATTAACATTCTCACATCAGAAGATCTTTATAAAACTGAAATCTGAAGAACAGATTTTTAAATCACAAGATACATTTAATACTTTATCTAATTATATTCCAAGACTTGCCATCAATTTTGAAAAAAAAAGTATTTCTTGAAGGTTTCCTCAAGTCAATTCAATAATTTTTTTTCTGTTTGTTCTCAAATTAATTATAAAAGGTTTATTTTATACGTAAACTAACTCTTTTCTAAGACTTGTAAAAATTAAATTAGTGAATGTCCCTCATATCCGTTCATTATTGTTCACTTTTATCAATTATTATTTGTCAGAAAAGGAGTAAATATTTTATTCAATTCTTTCTCTAGAACTTTGACAATTGCAAAAAATAAATATATATCTATATATATATGTTTATATATAAATATGGTTTGTTATTCACCAATATTTCTATTGACCCAGGCGAAGCCGAGGTCATTGGATATTTTTCTTTATTCAACACCAAAATTACAGTATTTTTTTATTATATAGTCGGAATTAGAATAGATAAGACATTGAAGGCTGTATGACGACACCATTTTCATTTGCGATCTTCCATTGTTGAAAATAAAAAATATCTCCAGATTACTGTTCGTAACCTCCGTGTTTTCCTTTCCGAGTTTCGCTATATATATAAGACGTCCAGATGTTAAAAAATAGTCTTGAAATAGGTTTGAATAATTGTTTTCCTGCTCAGATACGTAGCTCCCAGCGGCCGTTGCAACCATTGTTTACAACGTCGTTTGATGCTTTGATTGTGACGTCAAAATGCCGTTGCACGCGCATTTCCGGTGAAAATTAAAATCCGGTGAATATGTAGTGTTATGAACTGTTTGCGTTTGTATAGATTATATAGGGACAATAAATAGACTATATAATAAATACTATTATTTACTTTTTGAAAATTACAGTTCTCACATAGAAAAAGGCACTTAACAAGCAATCACACATGTTCAAGCACTTTAAAAAAAATCATTAAATTTTCAATTTAATTCCAATAACCATCTATTTTATACTTGTTAAAATCTCATGAAATAAGAAAAGTTATTTTCCTATTCAAATATTATGTGATAATAGTATCTACGCTAAACGTTAGAGAAACTTGCACCGCGCTATAAAGTGCTTGCGGGGAAAATGGTAACGTCACATTTCTACGACCTGAAAATAAAGTTATGTAAGTCGTTAAGAGTTAATCTTAAAATTAACTCTCTCCCAAGACAAAGAAAAATAATATCCTGAAATTCTCCTTCTCCTCTACTTACCCGGCTGTACTTCCCTGAAATTTGACATAGTACTGATCGTCTGCTGTTTTGAGCCTCCATTTTACACACGTGGTTTGGGAAATATTGTTTGCAGTGTTTTGAATAAGATCGGAAGCTAAAGATAAGCTGGAACCTGCAAAGTCAAAAAAAAGACTTAATGCAAATATGCAAAGAAGAGAATGAAAGAAAAATGCATGATAGTTTTTGTTCGTAGAGAACAAAATGTTCTAGTTAGTTACAACTGTAAAATTATGTAGTCATTTTTCTGAAATAAACCACTTGCTTTAATAATTTTTTGGGTAAAAAACAGCCTAAACAGTCAAGATGGGTCATACATTTTTGGGGGGGGGATTTAAAAAAAAATGTTTATCTAATTAATCAAGTTATAAAGAAAAGAAATTATATACTGATTTTTATTAAGTTTAATGTGCCTCTTTAAATATTCATAGTTCTCTCAATATTTTGTTGTTGGAGCATTTCAATTCAAATTCTTGGAAAAATGTTACATTACATATATTTTATAGCAATCATGTTCGCAAGATTCATAGAATTCCACAGGATGGCGTAGTGAATTTCATCCTATTGTACATTGTTTGCATTTTTATATATTTTTTGTTATTACTTTATACGGCACATCTTAAAAATAATCTAGAAACCAGAAGCTAATTACTAAAATAATTTTCTTGTATTTTATCAAGTGAGTCAAAAAGAAAGAATAATCAGGGATTAACACTACGTCACCTAAATTGTAATGTTTTATCTGATCATTACTCTCAATATTTAGGGAAAAAGTCTCTAAATTTAACAAACACGTTTAAAGTTAATGATCGGATGTATTCTAAATAATTTCGTCTTTTTTCATGATTTCTTAGACTTTAATGATGGTTCCTTCAATTTCAGACCTTTCACAATGAAGAAAATTACCAAATGAGTTCGAGTCGATTTCATACGGAATTATGCCATTAGTCCAAAGATTGGAAGTGGAGATTCCAAAGTTTCTTTTCCTTGTTCCTTTCACCTGTTTAAAATTGATAAAAGTCAAATTTATTCACTAAGACTTCAACACAAAAATGTTATTACTGGAATATACATTGTAATACAGTAAAAAATATATTGTAAAAGAATTTTAAAAAAATATTTTTAAAAGTGAAGCAGGGTGTCCCATAATATATGATACCATTTCATGATTACATAAAATATAATGTAATGAATTTTGAATAACAACAAATGTCCATAAACATTGCATATACTGTCCAATTTTATTAACACAATTTGATGGACATTGAAAGGAACACGACAAAATGAGTTTACTTTGAAAAATGCTATCATTTTTCAATTATGTTCCCTACATGACGTCAAATCTTGGTGAGGATCATGTCAAGACATTGCACAAAATGCCCAAACTTAAGACAACAGTGGAAATGTGGATAAACATATTCGAAAGCTTTCCTCATCTTGTAAATCCCAAATTGGGATTGGAATTGAATCAATGCTCTCAAATGTTTGCCTCACCGTTTTTATCGCAAAATAGGATTTGGATCTTCTAAGTATGTTCTCTAGTATTTTGCCTTTCCTTTTAAATACCAAAATAGAGCAAACTTGTCTTACTGTTTAAATCCCAAAAGTGGTCAAACATCCATGTTTTTAGGTGCTTTTCTTACCGATTTAATCCCAATTTGTGGCGGTGGTCTGTCATTATTGTCATCATCCTGCTGGTGTTTATCAATGCATAGATCTGTTGGCTGCAAATAAAACATAAAAGAATGTAAGTTAAGCTTAGACGACTTTTTAGCCCATGCTTTTGGGAGTCAGTATAAACATCGGAATAGTTCATGATTAAAACGTGTTCTCATTGTTTTTTTTTTAAGTCAAACCTATATAAGATATGCTACACAAACAAGTATCAAAATGGTCACCAAATAAGTCAATTGCAAGAATTTCTCATTTATTTTAAGCAAATTTCATCCATTCTCATTAAAAGTTCTCAACTTACCACGGTTTTAATTGTGTTTTAATTTTACATGAAGCAATGGCTAAAATTCGGTTACATGTACTACCGTACATGTACCTTGTTATTTATAGTACATGTATATAAAATGTGGAACATGACGCTTTTGTTTACAACTCATTCTTGATTATTGAGAACCGGAGCATTTACGTACGTGGCTATTGTGACCCATTGAGTTCAAAAATACTTTGGCTTCTTACAATTTACGGTAAGTTTTTTCGAACATTGATCTTACACATTGTAAGCCATTGAATAAAAGAGAAGTTTTCAATTAAGGGTGACATGTGTCTTATTCTGAAGAAAATTCTAAAGAAAAAATTAATAGCCAGAACTTTTCTTTTGGATGTTTTTCATTTGTTATTACTTTATTGTGTCAAAAATACAGTATATACATGGATCTTTTTTGTAAACCTTTATTTCCCGAGATCTGAACCAAGACCAATTAAAGAACTTTGTTAAAGAAACATACACACACATTTCGTCTTTTTTACTTTTTAAAAATAATTTTCGATTTAAGCTATTCGTTTGTTAACAAAAATTTATATTTTAATCATGTTGCATATTATCGAAACTAGAGGTACTGTGAGCAATGAGCTCACTAAATAATCTACCCCCCCCCCCCCATGCCTCCCAAAATATAATGGCATGTCCATGTTTTGCTCTGGAAAATCCAAAATATATGTTAGATCAAAAAGTAAAATAAGAGGTGCACAATGGCAATATGTAATGAAGATTCTGTGAAAGTTTCATTAAATTTTCTTCAGTGGTATGAGAGGAGTTGCGGATAAGAGATGTGTACACCAAAGCGTAACAGACGGACGGACGGACGGACGGAAATACCGATTCCTATATACCCTCCCACTTTTCAAGCGGGGGTATAATAATGTTATTTTGTCTGTATCTAGTTACACCTTTCCGTCTTTATCATCTATTCGCACTGTCTGTCTCTCAGCATCCTCTTCATCATCAGAACAAACTTCACTCTATCCAAATAAAAAAACATCAATTTATCAAAGACCTATATGTAATGTTCAAATTTAAGCTGTGTAAAACCATGAACTTTTCATAAAACAATTCTTATATATAAGTAAGAACTGCATACCTTTTTTGAAAAACCATGATTAACTTCATTGGACCGTAGATGATCACGTGACTTCAGATTTCTCTGATTGATATATTTTTCTAGTGCTCCTAGGAGATTTTCGAGCCGTGCATCTATAATTAGGATTTAAAAAACTCAACATGTACATGTTGTCAGTGATGCAAACATTGAATTTAAATAACTGATAAATTGTAATTAAAAATAAGATAGCAATTCAAATCCAGATACACTACAAATCAAACTTGTCTCCCTTGTATATTTTGTTCTGAATCTTTCATAGATTTTACAAATTTGAAATTGAAAAGGAAAAGAATTTTTTTTTCTGAATAGTAAAGTTTTGTAGGTATCCGTTATAAAAATGTATCTGTAACTGTTGTTTCTAAAAAAACCACCATTATGGATCCCTTAAAGGTCTCCAGAATAAAAAAAACAATTATCATCATTGAATGTGTACTATTATCTGCTATTTGCATACATGGTACAGTGAACTTAATTTTTGTTTGCCAACAACAGAATTTTATCAGAACAGCACAAAGAATATGAAAGTCATGGAAAATATTTATTAAGACAACAAAAAGAATAATGAATCTAAGATTCTTTTCATATATATAGGACTATGCAGACATAGCAACATACATGATACACGCTGAAAACAAACTTTTTGAAAGAAAGGGGAGGGGGCATTCAGTGTTATAAAAGTGCACTACCTCGACACATGTGGAAATTGTAGCTTAAAAGTTACTGTCCAGGATTTATTGATTGATTGTTTGTTGTTTAACCTCCCACTTGTGAATTTTTCACCCATATTGAGAGGTAACCGTATGCCGGTGAAGGGCTCCCAATTAAGACCTATACTCGGCACTTAGGGCCATTAAGCAGTCAGGGTTCTTTATCGTGTTAAAAAAACCTACCGCGACACAGGACCTATGTTTTTAAGGTCATATCCGAAAGACCCGTGACTTTCTCTTCTAATGCAAAGCGTTAAGCGTAGGTACAGTCACAACCTATGTTTAGGTCATAGGTCTGACGCGGGGCCACAAACGAGAATCGAACCCGAGCTTCCCAACACTCTACCACTAGCCTACCGTGACCTGTTTACTGTCGATGAAAAAGTTATACCAGGTCATGTGTTAGGTTTTAGAAAAAAAATATACACTGTTTTCATCTGAACCCATTCTGTTCAATACCATAGTAACAAATGAAAAAGCATTTCTTTAAAAGAATGTATTCCCTTTCTGGAGGACGATAAAGCAAATAAACATCGTGCGATATATCTTTGTTTTGCCTGACTGATTTTTGGATGTGCGGGTGATTGTTCGGTTGTTTAAATCTGTTTGTTGTTTTTGACAAGAATAGGTACCAACAGGGGTTGATTTGAAGAAAAAAAAAGAGATCTGGAGAGATCGATGGCCCATCTTATCCCAATTGTCTAATAAAGGTTTTCGCAACTAATGAGAATTCATTTTCCTAGAAAAAACTTTACCATCAACTGATAGATTGTTCTATAAATGTTTGAAACCGTCCCTGTAGCACAGTCGCGATCGGTAGAGAGCTCATTGTGTAGTCAAAGCTTGAACCTAAGACCTTGTTGCCATCTAATTTTTTTATTTCTTTTTTAAGTTTATTTACATAAAAAGCAACTGTTTCTTCGCCATGCGCTTGACACTTTGACGTAAATGTTTTAAATACTTGGGATGATATCTTAAAAATCAAGGTCCCAAGTCACGGCAGGCATTGTCACGATCTACATGTATATCCCTCTGCTGAATGGCTCTGAATGACGAGCAAAGGTCCAAATTAAGAGCCCTTAATTATCATATGATGACGTCTCTACATGACTGAGCAATTCTTGAATGGGTCGTAAGACAACAATCAATCAATCAATCAATTTCTGATGTCTAGTAATCGATATATTTTAAAAAAAACTCCTGTTGTTTTAACAATTCAGAGGACATTAAATTTTGCTTTAATACAAGAATCTTATAGAAATATTTGTCACACGTATTTTATAGTGCTTTCTTTAATAAAAAATATCGTGGTCTCATTCCCGTTACGAAATGTGGAAGATTTATGGCTATTTTATTCATGTTAAGACTGTCTCAGAACTAGATTTATAGCATATGTCCATTGATATTATATATTAGTAAAAATTAGTTTTTTATGTTTATAAATTGTAAAGGTAAAAATACTATATATGCTGAAGCAACATCAAAAGCTGTTAACATCTACTTTAAGTTCACAAACATTATAAAATTTCAAAAAAGTGTAATTTCTCTTTCCTATTTAGCAAATTTTATTCCATTAAGGGGTTAGAACCACTTATCATAATCGTTTTGTAGATAGATGGTACAATCGGAATACACACCCGGTTTTTCATTAAAACAGGTCAACGACAGGTACATGTACCCGTCAATTTTTTATGGCTAATAACTTAATTGAATGCTTTTTGCAAATATATCCACCATTTTTTATGAAAATAGCCCGAGGTACAACTATTTTACAGAACTGTAATTAAACATCCATGTAAAGTTTTAATGTAACTTATTTTTAATGTGCACCCATGCCAACAGCTTTAAAAAATTTCAAATGCTGTTTTTTTCACACAATAATGAACATGAAAAATGACTGTTTATGTACTTGAAATGGTGTTTGTTTATCTAAGCGTTCTTAACTGAAGTATTTAACCTAAATCAATCATAAATACGAATGTCTTTAAAGAAACAAAATAACACTTTGACCAAAGTTTAAGGAAAAAATATTTGTTTAGAAAAAATATTTTCTCTATTTTCTTTAAAATAATAAAAATATAAACAAAAAGATATATTTCCATTATTTTTGACAAGTCATTTAACATAATTGCTAGGTAATGTATAAGCCTTTTGAAACAATTATACAATTAGTAATTTGTCTCTGTTTGAAGAGAACTCTTTAAATCCGATTGAAAATGGTCATGATAATCTATTTGAATGTTCTTCCTTTCGTGTACAGGTCTAGAGTTTCATTCCCATTTTTCTGCCCCTTGTCAAACTAAAGACTTAAGAAGGCTGGTGGGTCAACAAATTAATCCCAAATTAACCACCAGATTTAACTTATTTTTTTTTAGATACGGTATCTTTAGGAGTCAACTATCATTTGGCAAAGAAAAAATTCATATATCTTCATTTTAAAATTTGATCATTTTTGTATATCTTTATATGGAGCTCTCCTTTTACAGGAGATTGAAATAGTTTAAAAATGGCTGCCACACCCTAGCCTCGTTAAATAAGGTAGTAGCCATCACCTCAAGGAACAATTACTCTGAGTAAAATTAAAGGGTTTTTATGGGGAGGGGTTGTGAGACTTTAAAACCGGAGGCCTAGGCTCCGTTTACAACAGACATTGGCAATATAAAGACCTCTCACTGTTCAACAGTATTGAGTACTGAATTTATATCAGAAACTGAACTACATCATTGCAAGGTAAATTATTTAACGAAACTTTTTAGATTATTTTTTTTAAATTAAAAAATAGCAATATACATCCCAATAAACAATTCAAAAAATCCAGGTAAGATATTGCACATATCGACATTTTAAAAGATATACAAATTTGATCGTTTAACCATCAACATCTTTATAGATATCTTAATCCACCTTTATGATTTTGTAATCCCTAATAGCATGAAAAATTAACAGCCTTTCTACCGATTCACTGGCTTTCTCAAAGGTCAAGAAGTCAAGGTTTTAAAGAATAAGTAATGTATTTTTGACTTCTTCATACGAAAGATTTAATTTTATTTTGTGAAAAAAGAGAAAATCTATCCCTTTACATCGTGTAATGCCCTATGGGTTTATAATCTCATGATTGTATTGGATAATAAATGGTACACATAGGTCACGTAGTAAACCCATCACGAAAGCTTTGTTCGGTCAACCATGAAACTTTTTTAATCTAGCAATGTCCGATTAAGTAGTCAAGCGTATCAAAATACCTTAGAAGTGATATGACACTTTACAAGTGTAAAGATGTCAAGTAATAAAATTGCAAATTGAAAATTTTAAGATTATTAAACATTTAATCACTTTGATCGTTGTATATCCTTTCTTAAATCACTGTAACGTGTATCGTGAGATGAAATAGATATTTAATTTTACTACAAAGAAACCGATTTGAGCTTGTTATGTATAAGGAATACAACTTTATAAATTTATAGAGCATTCAAGTAAGAAAAAAAATAAATTTATTTACAGCGTATATTCTTTTTCCATATTCCAAAAAAAATCATTGTGATATCAAAAGTTCGGTTTAACATTAAAAAAAAAGCTTTCCTTGTACATGTCCACAATCATTTAAATTCATATGTTAATTATGACTACAAAGTTTAAAGAAAAAAAATCCACATATTTAACCTACTGCACTGTGAATTTTGAGCGCATTGATGTTTACCAAGTAGTACTAGTGTTCAAAAAGATGAAAAACTTTTTTTTAAAAAGCTACTATCCGTGGCTAGAAAATAAAAAAAAAAAGAAAAAAAAAATGAAATAAAGTTGCACCAAAATTGACCGAGGAATTGTTTTTAAAAATAGTAAATAGAAAAACCTTAATGGATATGAAGCTTATTCACTAAGTTGTTTTCTTATTGTTTGGATAAATGAAATAAAAAATTATTCTTATCTTAATAAATATAGTATATATAGACTATGACAACATAAAATATTTTGCCATCTTTTGTCTTCATTAGTTACATGTAACTAATGTATGCCTTCAAATGATATCGACATTTTTTTAAAACGCAATCAACAATTAAATATAAATTTCCTTAAATTGAAACATATCTATTGTTTTACAGATATACATGTACATGTTACCTTTTGAATGTATCTTCTTTCCTGGAAACCCTTGTACAGATATTAAATAAACCAGCAATACTAGCAATACAGTTGTTATTAACCTGCCCTTCTTCATCTTTTTACAGCTGCCCGTTAAAATACGACAGACCTTTCCCTTTCCATTTTATATATGAAATTCTTGATGAACATAGGTTAAAGTTAGGGTACATCAACACACACAAAGGGCTAATAACAACAGGCTGGGCAGAGTGCTTACTGACCGTCAAGGTGAAGTCTCATTCATATCTTTGATTATGTCTTATATTTATTGAGTTTTTCCATTAATTTTCCTTTAAAGAGGAATTTAAAATCTAATGGCGTTTTCCGCTGTGGTCATAGTTGGTGGATTTCAATAACTATCTTATCTAGATCGGAATATATGTTCAAAATATGTTTTTTTTTAAATTGACCAAATAGTTACCATTAAGTTCCGTCAAAACATGTTAAAAGGCTTTTGACGTTTTCAAGCTGGGTCTTCATTTTTTTCTTGCTAGCCTCTGCACCTCATCATATGTTCTAAACGTAATGAAACAATAAAACAAAAATTAAGCAGAACCACTCCTTGCAAATTATTTGTGTAACATTTTTAATTTAATGAAACATACACGTACCGTTACTTATTATTAAAAAAAATCAAAATAGATATTTTTTTTTACAATTATTTTTTTTGTGGTATCTATCAATCCTACCTTTTATATACGAGATACTTATCGCACAATAATACGTTTAACATATATTTTACATACGTTTTTTATCATACCATAGCAAACAGCTATGTACATGCAATACCTGTACCTTTTAATTAACTTCTGTTCACAACTTTAAATTGTAAAATTTTATTGACATATGCTGGGACTTGCTAAAAAACACATATTCTGACTACTCAAAATAATATCTTATTTCAAGAAATCAAATCTTAATCTATTTGTTCCTTTAGAATGCACTTATGGAAGACTTGATGTAAACTGAGCGTAATATATGGCGAATACATTGGAATATGGAGCAAAAGTTTGCACAAAAGATGCAAGGAAGGCTTGGGAGGGAAAACATGTCCTAGCGGTATATGCATTATCTATTTAGGAATGGATTAATGAAGAAGAGGTGAATGGATGGATGGAGGGAGGGAAGAAGTGATAGAGAGGCAGAGAGATATGTACTTGTTTATTAGACTATATTGTAAAAGTACTTAATTCCATAGAGTCATTATCTTGTGGAAACAAAATTTCTATTCAATCCTCGAGTATTAGATTACGCGAATATCTTGGATTGATATTATATGTCCTCAACGAATCTGTAGAATGCAGTGACAAATTTCCGAGGGAAAATTGTGTTCGTGTACATAGCGGAAACTAATCCCATGCGGATAAAAGTACGTCTACAGTAATTTTGTTTGTTTGATAATAGATATGCTTCATGATCTGAGTTAGAGTAGTTTTTTCTAAAAGTCGAAAAATGTCTATGATTATTTTAAATATGATTAAAGACAGGGTTAATGAACATTTTGTGTTAATTGTCAACCGAGGGGCCTTTTATTGTGCTCGTCAACGAAAACGCCAGAACAATCACTGGGGAAGGTAATAGATGCAAACCGGAATAAGGGGATGAGAGAAGATTGAATTGGATTAAACGCATTGTTAAACATATCTATATGTCCCCTGATTTAGATAAAATTCTCTTATCCTTGTACCCCTGGTTCAATAGAATATCCTACAATAAAGCATTATCTTTAATATACACAATGAAACTTAAAAAAAAAACAGCCCGCATTGAGAGACATCTACTATGCTACAAAAATAACATTTTGCTTGTTAACAGTCTTTTAGGAAACGATAATATCTAAGCTTTAAACTCGTTATATTGAAGTGTGACACTTACATATTATCTTCAAACTCTTAATGTTTGGCACTTGTATGGCACTTGTTATAAATTGACTCCTCGGTTAAATATAGTATATCAATGATCGGTGTCAAAAGAATATTTACAAGATATGTATTTGAATGCCATATGATTGGTTCATTTTCTAAATATTTCAATGACAACTTTTGATTCATATCAGAATAAATATAGGGAATATTACGAAACACTTATTGTTCTGGCACTAGAGGGCTTTATATATAGAAGCTCTTGTCTATTTCTTGACCTTTGCTTAATATACGTACATATTATGTATATGTATATATATTATAACATTGAATGAACCAGTCAATATTGCATGGATTTATTGCTTTATTATTTAAGTTGAGTAGAGGAAAACATTTACTTTGTCAAATTCAGGAAATTATCAATTAGTTACCAAGAAACTTTCATTATAGATAAATTTTAGCTTTCCGCGATTGAATGTAAATGATGACGATATGCAGTGTTTAGAAATTCATCGATCCTTATACAATTTTTGATGATTTTATATATCTTTTTGATTTCTGACTGTCAATCCGTTAAGCCACGGGGAGAATGTTACATATGTGTAAACAAGTCTGTCTGCCTTTTTCGTTGCTCATTCTGTGTGTTTCATCTGAGTATGGTAAGGCATATCTTCCTTAATAATTCTAATTTTGATAATTATATAAATCGATAATTTTTTTTTCAGTTTATTTGTCGAAATAGAAGTCTGATATATTTTCATTTGAAATGAAGGGATGAAGAATTTGATGGATTTTACAAGTAGTACACCTCGATTACTTAGAGAATAACAATCATACATTGAATGCTTAATTATCCTTCTTTTAACAAAAGTACATTGCGCTTACTTCTTTTTCTGAAAAATTAATGAAAGCTTCTTCCATGATTTATCTCATAGAATGGTTATCTAAAAATTCATAATATATTGTAGAGGGGGAGTCTCTATAAATTTATCCTTTGCGGAAAAAATGTAAAGGGTAACTCAATATTGTGCATTATATTCAAAAATCACTAAATTCTAAATCTTTTTTTATTGTGGTATTTCAAAAATTGAAATTTACGAAAGTATCCTGTTTTATTGAAAACTACAAAATTGAGTTTTTACTTTTACTGTTTTCAATTAAAAGTCATGTGTGTGTCCTTTTTTGATATTTTCTAAATGAAACATTAACTGACCTTCCAATTTATATAATTTACTTGCAGCGCTTTTTCTCTAAGTAAAACACGTTCTTCAAAAAATATAATATTTTTCGTCTCTGTGAAACCATTAATCGGCCCTTTCGACTTTTGAACTACTTTTGCCATGGATGAACAACTCAACTTTAATTCGAAGTTAAAAGGCAGGAAGTAAACACAAAGTAAATAGTAATATTAATATATTTTTAGTTAATGATGCATATAAACATCCAACCTGGCAACAAACTACACATTCGTCTAATTTTGGAGCCGAAAAAGCAGTGGACGGCTTGAAATCTGACTTATCTGCCGAGGGGCATCAGTGTAGCATTTCTGCCAATAACCAAAGAGTGGCATCTTGGCGAGTCAATCTGCTTGAGAGAAAGTTTATTCATCATATAGTGATATATTATAGAACAGACAATTTTGCTTGGGGTAATACATTTATATTGCTAGATTTAATTAGCATAATTAGTCTTAATCTTCTTTTTCATAATTCGTTTTTTTCTCGTTTTTAACTACATATAATTATTTATAGTATCTAATACTTTTTAATTCTATATTAGTTCAAAAGTCATTTTTTAAACTTATTTCATGAAATATATATATTTTTTAAGGAATTTAAAGATTTTTTTATGAGAACAAACAAAGACTTTTAGAAATGAACTCAGTACATTGTTCCCCTTCCCCTACATGTAGCAAACTAGCAAATAATGCCCTATATAGAGAAATGAGAAGCATAAATATGTGATATACTGTATTTCAGATGAAAATAATGCTTTAGCTGGGAGATTTCTAGGGTTTTCTATCTATGTATCAGACACTGAAAATAAGGATGATGGCAGATTGTGTTTCCATGACACTGAGTACAACTTGACAACAATACCAAGTGTCCTAAATATCACGTGCAAAATATTCGGCCAGTATGTAATTTATTATAATGAAAGGAAAACCGACAAAGTTTACCCGGATGGTTATTCAAAATATGCTTTCAATGAACTTTGCGAAGCAGAGGTTTATGGTAAGAATAACTTTACATGCTTTACTTAATCATATACAATGTCACTGATTTTTTTTTTTTTTAATTTTGAATGCGGATTGTATTTACAAATACTAAATCAATCTGTCTAGAATATAATGCATATCTATTCACCGATCCCTCATTTAGGCCGGTCGTTAATTGACTCTAAAAATACTATCTTTTAATTTTATTTAACTCCAGTATCCATCCGATATAAACCTAATTGTAAATGGTATATACAAGGATTTTAGAGATAAAAACACTGACTTCTTTTTTTCAGCATACTTATATACATGTTTATATTGTGCATACTAAATGGTATTTAACAGGTTGTGCCTCGGGGTTTTATGGACCAAACTGTTCACTTCCTTGCCAGGCAAATTGTCAGACTTGTAAGGCAGATACAGGCGCCTGTTTATCGTGTAATGTTGGGTACATGGGAGAAAATTGTGATTTCAGTGAGTTTTCCAAATAAGATATGTGGATCTGGAAAGAATACTTAAAATGTGTCCTTATTTTTCTTTCAAAAGAGAAAGGAGTAATGTGTGTTTAATGAAACAACTAATTTTACATATTCACCAAATTCGCTGAAAAATGTTGTAAAATTTCAAAAAAAAATTGTAAGATTTTTTTTATTTGGATTTTTTTTTCAGAAATAAAAAAAACCATAATCAATATACAAATTGTACTTCGTTAATTGTAATATATCTCCCCTCAGGCTGTGAATCGGGAACTTTTGGTATTAACTGTTCCAGTATATGTGGAGAGTGTACAGGAAACTGTGATCATAGATTTGGAAATTGTTCTCAGGGATGTAAAGCGGGATTTAAAGGAATCATTTGCAAAGAGAGCCAGTATCATTTATTTTGTTATTTCTTATAAAAAAAAAAATGTAATGAGTATATTAAGGGCAGATGATACAAACAATTTTTTTCTTTGGAAAAGATTAAATATCATGTTACAAGTTTAGAAAAGTGGATGGTTCTTAGAATTTTTCTCCGAAGAACTGGAAAATGAAATAGATTTTGAAGATATTAGAAATATTTCAATAAAAAAACGAATATAGACAAATCACAATCAGTAAAGGTTTACAGGTGAAAATAAATTCTAGAATATGTTATCCTGGCGCTAAAAAGTGTAAAATAAACCTTAGAAAAATATACCAAGCCAGGTGAATTTTAAGAGGAAGATCGAAATGACAAAAAATTGGCAATGTCACATAGGCTGATTTTTTTTCCATTTAGCTTTTCCTAATAAAATTCACCTGTGCTCGGTATATTTTTCGTAAGTTTATATTAGACTTTTAGCGCCAAGATATCGTATTATTAAATTTATTTTCACCTGTAAACCTTTACTGAATGTTATTTGTCATTATTTTTTTTATTGAAATATTACTTATATTTTCCAAGTCTTTTTCATATTCCAGTTCTTCGGAGAAAAATTTCTAAGAACCATCCACTTTTCTAAACTTGTGACATGATATTTAATCTTTATCAAAGAAAAAAATTGTTTGTATCATCTGTCCTTAAGAGCACTCTTTCAATTTTACCCATAATAAACGTCAGCAGTTTATTTCGCGCATAATAAACTTTTACTTGAAACTTCTTTAAAATACTGCTATGAAATTCATATTCTCTTGAAAATTTCATACAGATAAATGAATTGTTTTCAATATTTCAGCTTGTGAACCAGGAAAGTTTGGAAGTAATTGCATTCAAGATTGTGGAATGTGTGTGGGGGAGTGCTTTCATATAAATGGAACATGTATCGGAGGATGTCAACCCGGATATAAGGGTTCTTTGTGTGATAGGGGTAATTGAAGATATATGTTGTTTTTTAGTCAATACTGCAAAAATGATCATTTCTCGATGGATCCTGATTTCACCTCTGATATTTTACAAGTCCCTCTTTGCTCTGTTTTTTATTTGTATTGTTTAACGAACGTTTTGCACTGTAGCTAGCGCTTGAATACAATTTATAATCTTCATTTATTTCATTTCATGCCTTCTGTAATCAAAGTGTGTCTTAAGCTGTGATAATCGCTCTCTTATCAATTTCTCTTAACCCTGGGTAGACTGACTATGTATGCAGCTCTTCTTCATTTCTGGCATCGAAAGATGTCTCAAATTGGATCTTCATGACTTTTTGGATTTTTTTTTTCAAAGACAATTACTTTTCGTTCAGAGAAAAGCTTACAAATTGTCAACTTTGTCTGAATCAATATCAAGAAGCTGAGCACTGTTTTAAATTTTTGATCGTGCGTGCTTCGGAAATACTTTTTTAGACATTTTTCATCTGATCTTATTTAAAAAAAATAGGGAAAAAAATACTTAACCCTCTTCAGCGTTTGGGGGAAAATACAGATGTTAGAGATACGAGATACAGATGTAAAATCTCTTGTGCTAAAAAAAGATGTTATAAGAGGACTTATTTTTGTATTCACATGAAGCAGCATTTGGCAAAATTTTATGTGTAAAATAAAGAAAAAACTTGCTGTGTCCTTCAACTCAACAATAAGATATATCGACGACGCATTGTAAATTAACAATGGTCATTTCCATTTCTATGTCGACACGATATATCCTGGTGAGCTTGAGATAAAAGATGCCACAGAGTCTGATACATCTGTTTCACATTTGGATATTTGTATTCGCAAAAGACGTTAATTGTAATTTAACAGCCAAACTCTATGATAAACGTAATGACTTAACTTTTCTATCGTCATCTTCCCTTACTTATGCAGCAATATACCTTCATCACCTTTATACGGCGTTTACATATTCCAATTGATTCGATAGGCAAGAGCATGGTCTACGAATGAACAATTTCTAAAACGAGGTAAGTTATTGACCAACAAGCGTACGTTCTTTGGTCAATACAATGACCTTGTCAGCAAATAATTTATCATTGAGTCAAATGCTGACTGACGTTTCTCATACTCATTGTTAGTCCATTATTTATACCCTGGATTTGACGACGAATTTTTCCGTTATTTACCGATCATGCCAAGGAGCACACGGAAGGTGTGACCGGTCAGCAGGGGATGATCACTCTTCCACGACACCTGATCCCAATCTCTGATGTTTAGAAGTCCGTGTTTGCTCTGCTTCTAATTTGTAATGTTTTATGGACTTTGATATTGAATACTGTTCGTTATCCTTTATTTCTAGACTTTCAAAAGAGTTTACAAATTTGCTTTGTTATTGAATCTGTGGTTGGGTCATCTGATTGATCGATATTTTCTTAATCTATACTTCTCTTTTCTTACATGTGATACTTCATTATCAAAAGCTTCCTAGTTTTATCACCGTTCTTTTAAAATGCATTTCAAAAGTAAAGAAAATTGAGAAATGATATCATATCTCAAAAATCACAAAAGGGGATACATTATACTTTAAATGCTTAAAAATATATCATTCCATGTTTAACATAAAACACTGACAAATATTTCATGGTACTCTCAACTGGGTAGTTATGGGTTTCTATTTTCATAGTGGCAGTCTGTAAGATTTCTATTTATAAATCTGAAAAGGAGGGTTTGAAAGATGGACAACAATAATCAAAATACTAGTAAACAATGTAGTAAACAATGTAAAACTCTAAATAATTCTGGATCACTATCATACATTGATTAATTATTGTCCTTTTTTAATCAACAGAATGTTCCAAAGGTCGATATGGCATTGATTGTACAGAATATTGTGGACAGTGCGAAGGAGAATGCAGTCATGTGCATGGAACGTGCCAAGGCGGATGTAAGCCTGGTTATTTAGGATTAACATGTCAAAAAGGTACACAACATCTATTAAATTGAAAACTAGCGAAAAGAAGTCCATATTTTATCAACAATTTTCATAGTATACATATGTATTACCAAACACAAGTTATCCTCAATTTGGTTAATTAAGATCTTTAATATAATTCAAATTTTCATGAATGTAACAAACCTTTACATTTTTTAGGGGGGGGGGGGTACAATTTGGAAACTTTTCCGTATGTTTTAATATAAATCATATTGTTTCAAATATATTATATTTTTTGAAAGAGGTTATTCGAATGTGTTTTTTTTTTCATTTATAGATTGAAATCATTCTGCCGTGTAGAATTTTTCTTAAGATTCATACCTGATTTATTTGATTATCTATTGAACATAAATATCGATTGATTTATACTTCACTAATGAGAATCATTACATACATGTATATGTTGCGTTCAGTCAGAAGAATAATTTTTTTTCTCGGAAAAAGAATTTCAATTAATAAGCATCCGGACATAACTTTTATCATACTTTATGATGTCTTTTTTTAGAATGTGATTTGGGAAAATATGGTGTAAACTGTAGTAGATATTGTGGAAAGTGTAATGGAAGATGTAATCATGTTGACGGAAGTTGTGCTGAGGGGTGTAAAGCAGGTTACAAAGGAGAAATGTGCCATGATGGTAAATATTTATCTTATTATGCAGTTGCATTGAATGGATGTAAGTTGTTTTACGTAAAATTCGAGTATACAGTATTTTACTAATTAAGACACCCAACCACATATCATTAAAGGGCTTCAAATTTTAACCTTTACTCGGCACTTTCGGACATTGAACAAAGATGGATTTTTATCGTGTCTACTGTGTCATGGAGTTTTTAAGACCTGCACATTTTCCTTTATGGTACATAAACATGTATTGATCGACTTAAATCAGTGGCCGCCAAGATTCGAATCTACAACCTTCCAAACACGGAGCGAGCGCTCTTGAAAGTGAGCTTCTCTGATGGAAGGTTTGGAGTTAGGGAGGTTTTGTCTGATGCAGAAATAAATCGATGTGAATTATGACATGTTATTGCTTCTTGATGGAAAATATTGGTTTTAGGAAAATATATTTTGTTTCAATGAATTGATTGTTCGTTGTTTAACGTCCCTCTCGACAATTTTTCACTCATATGTAGACGCCACCACTTGCCGGCTAAGAGCTGCAAATTCTATTCTATACTTGGCATTCAGGGCCATTGAGCAGTGAGGGGTCTTTTTTGTTCCAGCATCTACTAATAAACGGTACTATATGGTCTCATCCGAAGGACCGGTCTCCGCATCCAACAGCAGGATTCGAACCCACGACGTAAGAACCAACTCCTTACTTTGCGACTCTAGAGCACAGGCTCTGACCATTTCGCCACTCCGGCGACTTTTTATTATAATTAAATTCGTGAGTTTATTTTTATGAAAAATTCTCTCAGTCCAAAAAATCTTAATTAAAAGGAGCTGTGCTCTAGTTAGGTGATTGTTGAAGCATATTACGTGACAATGAGCTAAATAAATGACATTGGTTTGACCAAACCCGAGGGAGATTATGCTAAAATGTGTCTAGTCGTTATTATTTTATTTCATGACAGTTTGTGATTTTGGGTATTTTGGAGTTAATTGTCATCAGGAGTGTAGCATGTTTTGCTCAACATCGCGCAACTGCAGTACAACCAGTGGCAAATGTATTAATGGATGCAAAGACGGATGGGAAGGAATGGATTGTCTAAAGAGTAATGTTTTACATCCATTTTCGATTTCTGATTGCTAAAATTTATCATTACTATTTCATAAAAAAAAAACTAATCTAAAATGCATTTAGGTGTATGTAATATATGTATAATGTCAAAATTTAGTAATTTTTCCGAAGGAGAGCAAACTTCTAGGATCAATGGAAACAGTTATGGCACTGTCAGTCAGCCTGTTCATCAACATATGTCTTATGTTGATCTATTGCATAAACAGGTAAAATCCTCAGGCTTATCAATTATTGACATCAATGATACTTAGTTATATATATTTCCTTCGGTTTAAAGTTATACACATTATACATTGACTTAAATAAAATTCAAAAAAATATATAAAGATATACATGTATACACGGAAATTGCATTTTAGAGGTCGGAACAATATTATTTTAAAAAGAAAATCCTGAATGGTTAACATGCAGAACATCATTTCGTTTGTCCTAAATATTCAATTATCTTTAAAAGGCACGACTCTGCTATGGTAAGAAAACAACAAAAGACAGATTTTCGTAGTTCCCGACAGGATTTCATGTCAGTGGGAAATCAGACAGGACCAATAACTCTTGAAGTCGAGGAACAACACAACGAAGGGAGTTATACGGAACTGCAATTTCTAAATAACAACACAAATAGTGACTATTACAATTTGTAAAGAAATAAAAATATTGAGTCTTGATTATTTATATAAAAAGGAAAATATTTTTAATTTTTGCTATGTATTTGATTTATTTTACATAGATCCTTTTCCATTAGGGGTTCTGACTTTCAAAATCAAAGTACTGAAAGTACTGAAAAGCGGTTAGCATGCTTTCATGGAATATGACTGTACAGAGTAGAATAACAAAAAATGCATTGAGTGATGATATATAAGTAAGCATGCATATCTTTGTCCAATGTCATCAGCGAAGAAGCAGACACACTGACTTTTGTAGTACTTAACTAAATGGTAAAACCAATAACATCCCAGATTGATGTCACAAATGTATGTTTCAAAATATCAACCTGAGATTTTCAGTTTGAAAGACAGGAAGTTCAATTTCAAAAATTTCTTCCTAATTGTCTCCATTGGTGGCGTCCAAAAGTGCTCAGAACAAAAAAAAATATGTTGATGTTGCAAATTTAATTGTCTTTCATGCTCTATTGATTCTGAAATTAGCATGATTAGGTAACTATAAAGGCTACTATAACAAACAACTCAAAAAGAAAAATAAATGATAATTCAAATTTTTTAGATTAATTTATTTGATGTACTGTACATAGATCTTTAGCTGGCTAGTCTGAGAAAAACGGATGGACGAGCAGAGAATTTGTAAATTAATTAATTTCAGAGAGCTTCAGTTTCGTAGGCTCACTGCGGGTCAGCAGGTGTGACCTGTCATTGGGGATGCTTACTTCTCCTAGGCACCGGAACTTTCAAGGATCCGTTTTTCTTTTGAGACCGATCGCTGTTTATTCTGTATTTTGATACAGATACTGAGTACATCTGTTTATTAATATTATGAACTATTTCTCTCACAGGAAGAAAGACAAGTAAACAAGATAATAAAGTTTTAAGAAATGTACATTATTGACTTTTCATACAATTAAATGTTCGAATAAGTAATAAATGACAATTATTTAAAAAAGAGTCGGCAAATATTTAAATAAAAATGTGATCGTTTATAATCGTTTGTAATAATTAGACTGAGTACAGAATTTATCCCTGGAAACAAAGCTTTCATCATCTTTTAAATAATTTCAATTGAGAAAAAAAAAAGGAGAAGAAAACAAACGTTTCATTATGGAAGTAATCCATAATTGTACAACTTACAGATGTATTCAGTTTTTTATATTAAGGCTTTCTTCATGTACTAGTATTAATCAAGTTAATTAAAGGGATGCCTTAATATTCTTGCAAAGAAAAGGAAACTCAATCGAGAGATTCTCCGATGTTTTGCAGTCGGTAATAACCTTCAACCCCTTTAGCCAGTAATTAACCCGTCCTTCCTTGTGCCAGTAGCATAATTCGGTCAAATATTTATTGTTCACGAGGGGTGCCTTATAATAAATCACAGGCACCTGAATTTTTATCAGTAAGTCTCTAAATTAGCCAAATATCGAAACATTCTATCCCCTCTATATAAAGTATAAATACACAAGGCGTGCAACGCCATTTTGACCCCTTGTTCGATTCAGGCCTCAATTTAACACATAAATCGGATACGCCTACTGGTTTTCGTGTAGCATTGGGTTCAAATATGATATTTCTCGCTATATATTTCTTCCTTAAGTTTAAATCCAACGCGTTGATAAAGTTATCAGCTAAACTTCATGCTGACTTCGAATTTCGTCACAGGGCCCGATCGCCATCAGCTGACGTCACGGAAAATTAATCTCGACACCAAATGCTCCTATACATAAACTTTTTTAATACAACAATTATAAATTTATTTCATTGACAAACAAAATCAGAGAAAAATTAAAAACCGAAAGATTATGTTGTTTTGATAGTCTTGATTTTAATTAGCATATGTTATATGTGTTAGAAACAAATCATAGGTAGAGGCTTTGTCGATAGGTAGCGCCTTATGGAAGTTTCCGGTGTCGATACATGCCATAAAGCGGTTAGCGAAGCTAACCGCTTAAAAACTGTTTTGTTATTAACCCCCCCTTCCCAACCCCCAGTTTAATACATTTCTTATTTAAATACAAGTAACAGATAATATGATTTAAAATTCGTAATTCATGTGGTCTTATTGTTGAGTTTGGCGTGCAATATTAGTAACATTTCAGCATTTCAACCAGACATTGCTTTCATTGCACTAAAGTGAATTATGCTTAGATTAAATATGTGTCTTCGTGTGGAAATCATGTAAATATAAGTAATATAAGTATAAGTAACATAAGTACTTTTTGATTCTAATGACAATCCACTCAAAAATAACTATATATATGTTAAAAAAATGTATTAGGAAATAAAATGAAACACTGCGCAAGAACAATAAATTCCTTCTTTTATATCAAGATGCAAACAAAAACAAATGTTTTCCATTTGAAAAAAAAAATGTTCGTTTTTTTTCTTAAAAAAAGACACTATAATAATTCTATTTACCTATAAGACCTTTGCAAACTAGACTTTGAACTTTGCGGTAGTGAAAATGTTTGCACAATAAAACAAAATATTATCTTATTTTACGTACCTAGGGGAACACTAGGTACGTAAAACGAGAGAGAGAGAGAGAGAGAGAGAGAGAGAGAGAGAGAGAGAGAGAGAGAGAGAGATCGTTCTTCGAAGGTAACTAAACCATCGCATATACTGAATTACCAGTAATAATTATTTCATTATGTGATTTTTTAAGATTTATTAGTTTTCATCAAGGAAATCATGCCATCTTTCTTTTAACATTTGCTGAAGAGACAAACGTGGTTAAAAAAATATTATGTTCCAGTAAATAACAGGCACGTTAATAGGATAGTTTTTAAAAAGAAGTTTTACAATGAACAAATAACGATTAAACAGACCCCTCCCCCCGAAAAAGAGATGTATTCAAAATTGAAATATATGCATGTTGGGGGAATTAGGTTTTTTGACTGAAGAGAATCAGTCCTTCAACCAACATTCCATGCTTTATAAGTATAAACTTACGTTAAAGAGTAAGGGGATTGGTAAAGGCTCCAAACATCCCTTTTCTTATCCCCTTTACATCTTGGATTCACCCCCAGATTTTATGTGCCTGGATGATATGTTCACCAGAATGGAAAGAATGTAAAGAAACAAATATTCTGAGAGTAACTAAAACACTGAATAATTGGAAATATTTATATGATTTATATATTTTTCTTACATACATCCTATACCACAATGTGTCTTACCTTTTTTAACCATGCGTTTATTTCATGATTTCCGCCCTCCCCTTGTTTGGAAAAGACACACGTAACGGATAATGAAATATATGGAGATAATAAGTGTTATTCAAGTTCAAAAGTTGAAAACTTGCACTATTTTGTTTTTAAATTTCCATCTATACTTCCAGAAATCTAGAGTATTTGAAGTGTGTAAGCAAGGGAACTATTTTTTTTATCGACAATGAAGTGGCAAATTTTCTTCAATGTGATGTTGACTTGATGCAACGAACGGAACAGCGTTCTTTGTAGCCGAGGTCACTGTAGACGAGGCTAAGGCAATAAATCGATCTGTAAAGATAGAAGTAACATACTTAATGTTTTCCTTTTGTTTTATAAAAGTATAATGAGTGAACAATTGTGACAAATTTCTCGTCAGATTCAAAACATCTTCGTCTGTGCTCTGTATATCATAATAATACTGAAAGAGAATTAATGGATTTCTTTCATAATCGAATGCAAGGACATGTGTGCACGTACGTGCGCAAAATACATGAAATGACCAATATTTGTATAGTCGTAGCTTTAAAACATTTTGATGAAATGCTTTAATTCACTGCGCCCTAATGTAGATTTTCCAAAGGGTTTGGAAAAGTTTTGGAATTCCATGGAATTCCATTCGTTTCCATACAAAACTCGAAAAGTGTGTCTGGAAATTTTTGGAATGTTTTGGAATTTGAAAAAAAAAAATTGGACTTAGACATTTTTTGGCTAGGAAAGTAGTGGAATTCTTTGGAAAAAATTATGAAATGAGAAACTTAGCCATTTTCTGCGCTGTAAAACTGTGGAAAATTACTTAGATTTTTTTTTTTTTTAATAAACAGTCGACTTGTAGTACAATAACATCGGGATCGAAGTCGGGCTCGATGAACAGTTAATTTTAACAACACGCTGAAATTCAAAAATATCGAATGCCATGTTGATGTTGCACAGAAGGAAAGTTGGAAAGAGATTGTCATGAACAGGGGAATAATAATTAGCTCGGGATGGAAGAAGATGAGGACATCTGAGGACCCGGTATGTACAATATTGTACAGTATTTTACTATTTTATGTGTCCCTGAATGAAGAATGCTTCTGCTACTGTTCATTAGTCTGGGAACCATACTAAAATGCCCGACTGTGAAATCGTTAGGACAAGCACTATTTCAAGTTTGTCATAATTATTTAACAACACTAAGCATATCATTTAGTTCATGAATTTTAACCCGAATTTCCTCGTTTGAAATCGAACTGATGTAAAGAATTTTATCTGTACGTTCCTTTGTTCAAGACAACATTTACAGAGTATGATGTACATGTTATTAACTATATATTTTGTAATGCATGTTCATGATCATCACCAGCTCTTATTTTGATTGTTTTAATAGTTGCTGCAGTGCCTTAGATGATTTCCACAGCGCTGGCATTTTGATAAAAGTGGATATACATGTCTACAGATGCTTAGCCAATCATTTACTAAGCTTGTGAATGGGTACAAGTCAAAACGGCACCTGGTGAAAACGGCACTTAGGAAATATGCAAAACGGCACTTGAGAGTAGTCAAAACGGCCCTTTAGAAAAGTCAGAACGGCACTTTTTTTATTTTGAGAATTTGATATTGTTTATACGGAAAATGGATCTTTATGTTACATTTATAGTAATAAATGTGTATATATTATTGATAAAAATGTTTAAGAAATATTTCAGAAATATTCCCAGGATGGGGAGTATCTATTGTAAACTCTTTTTACATAACCATAAATTATCAATTATCTAATCAGAGATGATAATGAAATTGAAACATAGTAGCAACAATTAAA